TAAACAGGTAATGAGTTAGAATTATAAAGATGTAAATATAGTGAAAATAGACCCGTTTAGAGGTTAAAAAGCCTTGACCTGTTCCTAGACTCTGGGGTTTGATTTATTGACCTGGTCCGGATCCTAAGCCTGTAGTGCAGGAAAAACACAGGGCAGGAAAAACACAGGATTTTTTAGCTGGGCCCAGGCCAGAACTGTTGGGTTCTTAGATTTACAATAGATTATCAAAATTAAATAGCAATAATATACAGGGGGATTAAGAGGATATTGAAGGATATAGAGTCATATCCAGGGATTTAAGGGGATTCTTAAGGATTAAGGTGAATAGATGTGAAATAAGGTGGATATCAATTAATTTAGAGAGATTAAGACGGATATTGGTGATTTGGGTCAAGAGATACTGAGGGATTGAGTAGGATTAAGTTGGATATCAGGAGTTCTTGCTGGGATATCGGGTTATTAAAGGATTTAGTGTGCTCTAAAGATGCTCTAAATCCATCAATTTTTCCTAGATCAATCCCATCATTGATTATAATTTTTAGAGTGTAATTTGAGGGAGTAAATTCTCTTTTTGCAAATCAAAAGTAAAATTTGAAGGGATTCTAATACATATTGTGGGATTTGGGTGATTAGTCGGGATATCAGAGAATTTATAGGGGGATCTGGGCTCCAGATCTATGGAATTAATAGAAATTCAATAAATTTACTTAAAAATTTACGAATTTTTTTGAGTATCGGAAAAAGAATGACCTCTCTAATTGAATGAGAAATTTTTGGGGTATTGAAAAATAGAATGACTGACATTCAATTAGAGCAAATACGGTTCCTTAATGGCTCTTTTCTAATAATTTCTTGATTTCTTCTACTTTCAGCACCGCAGGCAAAAATTTTGTGAATTTAGGAGTCCTTAAGCTGATTTCTTCCATTTTTTTTCAAAATGTTGATTTTAAAGTACATACTTTCAATAAAGTACAAATTCAATTTCGTAAGTACTGAAGTCGATTTTAAAGTACTGTACTTTCAAATAAAGTACGAATCGTAGCCCTGCTTAAGTATAATTGAGGTTATCTCATATCGAGGTCTATTTCTTGACTATTTTCGGCTCTTATTTTCTTTCCTTCTCCCATCCATACACAAACAATAATTCATGATTTCCCTTCTCTTTTTAATAAGCTAAAGCCGGTCCACTCTTTAAAAATGGCTTTTTGTTGTTATTGTTGACCGTTAAAAAGTCGATAAATGCTTGGGTAAAAATTATGTAAATAAATTTTATAAGGAAAGCCAAAAAAGGCAATTTTTGTTTAGTTTGGCACTAAAATGTGCCTGCCGTTTCTGGGGCTTATTTTTATAATTTTTTCTGAGGACACTCTTCTGGATTATTCTGATTTTCTACCTTTATTCTGATTTTTATTCTGATTTTGTCATCATTTTATTTTGTTTTTGTTCTGAGTTTTTCACACTTTGTTCTGACTTTTATTTTGATTTTTTGTTCGGACTCTTGTTCTGATTTCTGTTCTGATTTTTTCTGATTTTTATTTTGATTTTTATTCTGATTTTTATTCTGGTTTCTATTCTGATTTTTTTCTGATTCTTTTATGATTTTTATTCTGATTTCTATTCTGATTTTTATTCTGATTTTTGTGCTGATTTCTATTCTGATTTATTTTTTTATTTATATTGATTTATTATTCTGATTTAATTTTTATTCTGATTTATTCTGATTTTTGTGCTGATTTCTATTCTGATTTGTATTCTGATTTCCATTCTGATTTATTCTGGTCTTTATTCTGATTTTTGTTCTAATTTTTGCTCTGATTTCTGTTCCGATTTTTGTTCTGATTTTTATTCTGATCTTGTTCTGATTTTTGTTCTGGTTCATTGTTCCGAGTTTGATCTGTTTTTTGCTGATTTCTATTCTGATTTTATTCTGGTTTTGTCCACTACTATTCATCGCTTCCTCCAGTCTAACTTTTTAAAATTAATTTTATCAGAACAAAAATTCCTTTTATTTTTTAATAAATAGCTTTAAGGACAATCTCCCTCAACCTTTTTTCTGTTTTTCCTTCCGCTTTATATCGTCCTCTTTTATCCCTTTTTTCGCGCCTTCCTCTCAAAAACACTCTTCTCTTCTGCTTATTTGTTTTGCTCTAAAACTTTTCAAGTTTTTTTTCAACTTTCCAAAGTGTGTACTATTAAATTGACAAAAAGTCTGGCACTTGGCTTTTTTTGCCTAGCTGTCCTTTTTTTGAATTTAAAAAATTTATTAAAGGAATTTTATTGATTTTTCTAATAATGAGGGATATCTTGAATAGAGGGTACTGCTTAGGCACTCCCGCCCAGTGGTGTCCGCTAGTGATGGTCGGGAGTTAAAAAAAGCCGAGAGTCGGGAACCGAGACCGAGACCGGGAATCAACCCCGAGACCGAGTCCCGGGTCGAGACCGAGAGTCGAGACCGAGAGTCGAGACCAAGAGATTAGGAGGGATATCACTTGATATACCCTTATATATCCTTCCTCCATATCCTTTCAAATTCCCATAAGCTCCGATATCCGACAAGTCCATTGATACCACTAATATTTAGGGCCGTATACGATAATTCTTGTATTTTGTAAGGCTTTAAGCGATAAATCCTCCAAGTTCATTCATTTTTTGCGCCGCAGGCGAAAATTTTGAGAATTTTGGAGGTCATGAAGCCAGATTTCTCCCATTTTCTACGCCGCAAGTGAGTATGTATACTGAGGATTTAGGCGCCCTATGCGAAAATTTTAAAAAATTCATGATTCAATTAAAATTTTTATGTCTTTTCAGGTTATAATATTTAAAAAAATAAATTTGAAATCAAAATCAAAGTTAAAAGACATTTATTTTTAAAAAGAAAAATTTTTTCCAGCCTAAATCCAAACCCTGGATTCGAACCCAAACCTAACAAAAAGCAAATTAATTGAAGTCAGTCAACTTATCCACTCAACCATCGACCATCAAAAGGAAAAATGGGAGAAAATATAAATATTTCTTTCCCTTTTCCTTAAAAAATTAAATGTCTAAGTACGAGGGTTACGAGTAAAATTAAAAAATTTCCGTCATTAGGGGTGTAAATTTAGTCTCGTTTTCCGAGACCAAAACACCGAGACCGAGACCGAGAGCTAAAAAAACCCGGGAAATTTCCCGACTCGGGAACCGAGACCGGGAATCCCGACCATCACTAGTGTCCGCAAATAGAAAAAAATTTTCCTCAGCCGCAATCCGTAGTCCGTTATTTTCATTTAAAAATCCGCAGCCGCAGTCCGCAAGTCCAAAAAACCATGAAATTTACGCACTTCACAATTGAGGACACTCCTGCTCCTGCCTCTCCCGCCACCCAGTGATCAACCTAATTTTAAAAATGTATCTTAATTAGAGTTGTCTCTAGTATTGGGGGTATCCTATATCGAAGTCTAGTAAGTAGTCCGTACCTATAATGAGGGTATCTTAAATAGAGGGTATCTTTTAGAAAGCTCCTCCAACGGTACTTAAATAGAGTTGTCTCTAATATTGAGGGTATTCTATATCGAGGTCTGAGTAGTCCGTACCTATAATGAGGTATATCTTAAATAGAGGGTATCTTTTAGGAAGCTCCTCCAACGGTCAAACAACTGCTTATAACCTATTAATTATAGAGGCTATTAGGGATTTTTTTCTATTATTGGAGGACTGACTGTTTGACATTTACTTGACTTAATTTAAATTGATACCAATTTAATCTCAAATTATTTTTCAAATATTTTTTAAAATATTTTTACAAATTTTTCTGGACGTGTCACTTTACAATAGCTCTTTTTGCTTCATATATGGACATAAATAAATGAATAATTTTTAATGAGAATAAAAAAGCGGGGGAATATAAAAAAATAAAAAGGCTTCGTTTTACAAATTTTTGTTTTTGAAAAAAATTTTTTTGATTAAAAAAATTTTTAAAAAATTTTCTAAAAATTTTTAAATGAAAAATAAAATTTTATTTATTTTTTAAAAATTATTTTACTTGATTTCCTAATAATTTTACTTCCCCTCTATTTTTCCTCTTTCTTCCGGTGCCAACCACTTTTCATTAAAATTCGCAGCATTATTATTTATTATGCTGGGAAATGATGGATTGTTTTCGGGAATGTGCGCCAAAAACGCAATAGAGTAAATTACATATAAATTAATTTTCCGGAACGAATAAACATTTCCGGAAATGATATAATTTATATATTTTCCGGAATTTTTATATTTCTTTTATAATTGACCGGAAATAATTTTATATTTCTTTTCCGGAAAATAATTTTTATATTTCCGGAATTTATATTTCTTTTCCGGAATTGTATATTTCTTTTCCGGAATGTGTTTTTTCCGGAATTATATTACTTTATATAAATTCCGGAAATTTTTAAAAGTGACCTGAAGTAATTTTTATTTCCGGAATGTATTAATTTTCCGGAATTATTTATATTTTTATATTCCTTTTATAATTAACCGTAAATAATTTTTATATTTCCGGAATTAATTTATACTATAAACTCCGGAATTTTTTATTTTCCTATACATATTTTTACTATAAGTTTCCGGATTAAATTTTCCGGAATATGTATTATTTATTCCATTCCAAAATATTTATGGCTGCCGGAATTTATTCTTCTATTTAAAAGTGGCTAACAATTTCCGGAAAATTTTCCTTTCCGGAATTATTATTCTTGTGTCAACGCCAAAACTAAAGCGCACACCCTTAACAGTTACCACAGCTGGCCGTCTTATTTTTAAAATAAAAGGCAAGCACATATTTTGTCGTTTAAAAAGCCCAAGCTGTCTTCGGACATTTATTATATTTTATTTCCAGGTTTATTAAAATATTTTTTCTTTTTTTTTAATTCGTAATTCCCATGCTTTTACTGCCTACTATGTATGATTACTCACATCGGTTTTCGGACCATAACTTTCTTCCTAGGTTAACTAAAATTTCAAACTAAAATTTTTCTAGTGGAAAATTTAATTCTCTATCGAATGATATCAAGCTTGTCTCGGTACGTTCAACCACTACAAATATATAATTTTTTAAACATCACTTTACTTTTACCGCCCACTTTGCCTACTCACGTCGGTTTTTGGACTATAACTTTTTTTCCTGAGTTTCTAAAAATCCAAATTAAAATACATTTTGTAGCCCATTTAATTCTCTATCGAATGATACCAAGCTTGTTTCGATACGTTCAACCACTACAATTATATAATTTTTCAAAACAACTAAGTTCTACTCGCTTAGGTGTACTCATTCAAAGAGAGATATTGACAGACTGACTAATACATAAATATTTTTAGTATTTTTTTTCTAGCTGGTGAAAGTAGGGGGGAATGTGTGGCAGATTGCTTTGGCTGCTCTTCTTTTTTTCTTTTTTTACGTTTTTCCGCTAAATCAATTTGTGAACACGGGCCCTTTAAAAGGTTTTTTTACTACTTTGCTTTTACTCTTTTGCTTCTTCTTTTGCTTTCTTTTTGTATTTTTAGTAAATAATTTTTATATAAAAATATGAGGAGATGGGACATAAATTATATTAAATTTTATAAAACAAAAACGGCATTTTTTCGTTTGTTTTGAAGAATTTACAGGCATTTTTACTTAACTAGGATTAGTATTTGCATAATTCTTATTTATTATCAAAATACATTCTTTTTTAGTCTTTATTTATCATTTTCTTATATTTTTTATTTTCCTTATTTTTTAAATTTATTCTGCGATCTAGCGTTTTTTTTTCAAATTATTCGTCCTTTAATCGGCTTAAACCTAAATTTTTGCAAAAATAATTTTGCGCGCGCAAATCCATAAGTCTTTGTTTCACGCTGTGCTTTTTAAATAAAATAACTGAAAATTAAATTTAGGCTGAAAATTTAAAAGAATAATGTACAAAAATATTTTTTTCTATTTTTCTCTATTTTTCAAATTAAAATTATTATTTTATTACAGGGCTCCGATTCCTACTTTTTTAAAAGTATTCTACTTTTAAATCGACCTCCATACTTACGAAATTGAATTTATACTTTTTTGAAAGTATATACTTTTTTTTGATTGAAAATGAAATTGGGAAAGGGATTGGGCAAAAAAGTGAATTTTTTTGGCCTACGGCCTTCTAAATTCTCAAAATTTTCGCCTGTGGCGCTGAAAAAGGAAAATCTAGCTTCTTGGGCTCTAAATTTCAAAAAATTTTCACCTGCGGCGCAAGAAATGGAAGAAATTTGGCTTAAGGACCTCCACAATTCTTAAAATTTTCGCCTGCGGCGCAAAAAATAAATTTTTTGGCGCCTTCGGCGCCACAAAAGCTGCATTGAAATTGACAAAATGCTCAGTTGCAACAAGAAATTATTGGAAAAGATTCATTTAGGAGAGAAATATAAAAGATTTGAGGACGAATAAATATTTTCTAATTTAATTTTGAGACTACTTTTTATTTAAAAATTCTCTCCCTATATACTTTTTAATCAAGATTTTGATACTTTTGAGTGGCATTTTGTCGATCGGAGCCCTGTTTTATTACAAATTTCCGAAATTTGATATTCCCGGAATCTATTTTTATATTTCCGGAATTAGTATTATTCTTCCGGAATGTCTTTCTTCTACAACCCGGAAAAACTCTACCGGATTTAATAATAATTTTATTGTTTCCGGAATTTTATATTCTCTTTGGTAATAACCGGAATCTATTTTTTATTTTTCCTGAATTAATATTTACAAACCGGAAATATATTTTATATTTCCGAAATTAAATGAATTCTAAACAATTTCCGGAATTTTATATTCTTTTTGGTTTTTTTTTATATTCTCTTCGGTAATAACCGTAATTTATTTTATATTTCCGGAATTAATATTATTTTTCCGGAATTTTTAAATGTAAATTCGGTACTTTTCCGTTATGACGTAACCCCCTAAATTAAAGTTCAAAATGTCATATATAGGGTAGAAAAAAGTGCTGAGTCGAACGGTACCACACTTTTTTCAAATAGATGCCTGTGGACCGAGATATAGAGCTCGAAATGGTCAAAAACCATAGGGGGAGTGCGCCTCTTCGTGAAAAAAGGCATCTTCGTGAAAAAAGAGTGGTACCGGTCGACTCAGCCCTTTTTCTACCCTATATATGACATTTTGAACATTAATTTAGGGGGTTACGTCATAACGGAAAAGTACCATAAATTCTTAAATTTTTTCATAAATTCTTGAAGTTATTCCCCTCATAATTAGTATTTGTATAACTAAATTTTTAAAATTCCGTTCTCTCATTTTTTCCCTCTAAAAAAATTTTTTTGACTGAACCAACTAAAGCGACCAAAGGATATAAATATAGAAAAAAAGAAAAATTGAGCACAAAATTCCTTGGGGATTTTCTTAGACGATTTTTTTGATGATTGTAGAGTTTTTTTGTACAAATAAACTTTTTCTCTTCATTAAAAAATTTTTTTAAAGAAAAATAAAGAAATTTGGCTCTTTAAAATTAACGTTATTTGCCTTTTAAATTACTTTATAGTATTTATTTAATTTTTATTTTATTTTTAAAGAGTAGGTTTAATTTTGAAAATTTTTTGGCAATTTAATGATGTGTTTTTTAATTTAAATAAAATAAATTTACGTTAATTTCGGAAATTGTCGCTTATTCTGAAATATTCACGCTTTTTTCGGAAAGAGGAATATAACAATATACTTAAATTAGATTTATTTTCCGGCAAGGATAATTATTTCCCGGAAGAAATAATAAGTAAAATAATAACTTTTCCGGAAACAAATTAATTTCCGTAAAAATAAATATTTAAAAAATTTCCGGAATGAATAACTTACCGGAAAGATGATAATTAAAATAACTTTTCCGGAAAAAAATAATTTTCCTTAAAAATAATATTAAAAATATTCCGGAATGAATAACGTCCCGGAAGAAATAATATTTAATTATACTTTTCCGGAAACAAATTAATTTCATAAAAATAATTATTAAAAAATTTCCGGAATGAATAACTTTTCCGGAAAAATAATAATAATTAAAATAACAACTTTTCCGGAAAGAAATTATTCTCCGGAAAATAATTATTAAAAAAATTCCGGAATGAACAACTTCCGGAAAAATGATAATTAAAATACTAACTTTTCCGGAAAGGATAATTATTTTCCGTAAAAATAATTATTTAAAAAATTTCCGGAAAGGATAATTATTCTCCAGAAATATAATAATTAAAATAATAACTTTTCCGGAATGAATAACTTTTCCGGAAAAATAATAATTAAAAAATTTCCGGAAAAAACAACGTTCCGGAAAAATGATAATTAAAATTCTAACCTCTCCGGAAAGAAATTATTTTCCGTAAAAATATCTATTAAAAAATTTCCGGAATGAATAACTTCCGGAAATATATTAATTAAAATAACTTCCGGAATAAAAATGTAATATTTATTTATAAATAAATTTTCTGTTTCTTTTCCATAAAAATAATAATTAAAAATTTAATCATTAAATATTATCATTTTTTAATTCTTCAGTAGATGCTTTTTATTACTTATCAATAATTATTAAATTAATTCTCACTTTTCAAATTTTTCTTCTTTTTAAATTTCGAATGCCGCCATTTCTTTCATTCTTCAATAAATTAATAATCACCAGATTTATTAATTTAAATTTTATTTTTTCAAAATATGGTGCTAACAACCTTAACTTCTGCTGCATTACCAAACAAAAATATAAACAATAGCAATACCCAACAAAATCCAACAACGTCCTCCTTAACTTCCACCTTCTCCCCAACATCAGCCGTTACGGTGTTTATAAAATTTGAATTTTTTTTTAGCCTTTAAATTATTTTCCGGAAAAATTATTATTTTAATATATCTTCCGGAAAAATATTTAAAGTATACTTTCCGGAAAAATAAATATTTTATACTTTACGGAAAATAATTAATTTATATTTTCCGGAAAAAATAATTATTTTATATTTTTCGGAAAAATAATTATTTTGTTCTTTCCGGAAAAATAATTAATTTATATTTTCCGTAAAATATTTATTTTTATTTTCCGGAAAAATAATTATTTTTACCTTCCGGAAGGAAAATATTTATTTTATATTTTCCGGAAAAAAATTAATATTTTGTTCTTAACGGAAAATAATTATTTTTACCTTCCGGAAAAAATATTTCGTTCTTTCCGGAAAAATAATTAATTTATATTTTCCGGAAAACTAATTAACTTATATTTTCCGGAAAAAATAAATATTTTATAACTCTAAAATTTCAAATAAAAATTAAAGGCAAGCGATGAGCCTTCGACTAGTGCCGGTAGTCCTCAACACAATAGACTTCAACAACAAAAATCGAAAAGGCCCCCTCTTTTTATCATACCAGATGGCCAGGAGACAGCATTGCTTACACATCATTACCAAATTTGTGATATTATCGAAAAGTTTTTTTATTTTTTAAAAAATTTTAAAAATTTTTATCTACCTCAGAGGACCAATTTATACTGTTTATCGAGCGGTGCATAAGGCTACAGGGAGGAATTGCTCTATTAAAAGCCTTAATCTACAACGTTTTTCTGCTATTTCCGGTCTTTCCAGTGAAGGTAGAAATAAATTATTAAATTGTTCTTGAAAATAATGAAACCCTCCGGAAATAATTTATGTACATAACATTAGTAGAAGAGAATAATTAGTTTTGCGGATTACAATAAGAAGAATTATTGTAACCTTCCGGATTATTTTCCATACGGAAAATATAAATGTTAAGGAATTGGGTTTATTTTCCGGAAAATGTTTATTCTATTCCGGAAAAGGAGTATTTCAGGGAAAAATTTATTTTCCGGAAAAATGTTATTATTCTTTTCCGGAAAAATGTTATTATTCTTTTCCGGAAAAATGTTATTATTTCTTTCCGGAAAAATAATATATATTTCACGGAAAAAATTATTATTCTTTTCCGGAAAAATAATTAATTATTTCCGGAAAATGATTATTCTTTTCCGGAAAAATAATTATACTCTTCCGGAAAATAATTATTTTCTTACGGAAATTAATAGTTATTTTACGGAAAAATAATTATTCCATTCCGGAAAGATAATTATTCTTTTCCGGAAAAATAGTTATTCATTTCCGGAAAAATAATTATACTCTTCCGGAAAATAATTATTTTCTTACGGAAATCTTTCCTGTAAAATAATTATTCTTTATCCTGAAAAATAGTTATTTCTTTTCCGGAAAAATAATTATTTCTTTCCGGAAAAGGATTATTCTTTTCATGAGGAGGAATATTTATTTTCCGGAAATGAATAATTATTTTCCGGAAAAATAACTATCTATAGAAGATAATAATTTTACTGAAATAATTATTCTTTTCCGGAAAAAGTATAATTCTCCGGAAAAGAATATATTCTCTTCCGGAAAAAGAATAATTCTCCGTAAAAGAATATATTCTTTTCCGGAAAAAGAATAATTCTCCGGAAACTAATTATTTTAGTTTCCGGAAAGTAATATATATTTTCCGGAAAAATAACTATAATATCTTCAGGAAAATAATAATTTTACTGAAATAATTATTCTTTTCCGGAAAAAGGAATAATTCTCCGTAAAAGAATATATTCTTTTCCGGAAAAGGAATAATTATTTATTTTCCGGAAATTTTATTTGATTTTGGAACTAATATATTTTCCGGAAAAGGAATATAACTATAGAATATTCCGCATTTATTTTCCGGAATATAAAATATAAAGGTAATAATTAAAGCTTATTTCCGGTTAGATGCAGAAAAGGAGGTGGAAATTTGTACAGCACTAACACACCCTCATTTTGTCCAGCTTGTCGATGTTATTTCCGGTTGTAATGCTCTACACATGGTTTTTGAATGGGTAGACGGGCAGGACATTTGTTTTGAAATTACCCGGCGGGCCGCTGCCGGATTTATTTATAGCGAGGCTGTTGCTGCTCATTACACTCGTCAACTAGTTCAAGCAGTTCAATATATGCACTCACAGAATATTTTGCACAGGGATATAAGGCCACACAATTTATTGCTTGAAAAGTGGGGAAAAATATTTTTAAAAAATTAAAAAAAATTTTCAGCAATGAAAACAACGCGCCTTTAAAGATACATGGACTTGGGGTAGCTTTCAAGTTGAGTGATGAGAATAATAAATGCCCTCCTGGTGAATTTTTATTTTTCGTTTTTTAAATTTGCAAAATCAGTCAGACCTCACTTAAAGTTACACATGAAAAAATTGTATCTTATAATGAAGCGTTTATTAAATAGAGTTTATTTCTTAACTAGAAGGATTTTTAGGCAGCGCTACCCAGACTCAATTGATAACCATACTAAAAAATGTCTCTTAAATAGAGGTCTATCTCATAGGGTGTTTCTCTTATTTAACAGACGTCTCTAAAATAGAGGTATCTTGTATTGGGGGTCTCTTATGTTGAGCTCCGACTGAAATAAAATTAATCAAAAATTCAGGCCGTTTTGGTATCCCCCAATTTATGGCACCCGAAATTATTGCCGGCCAACCTTATGGACAGTCAGCAGATATGTGGAGTGTTGGCGTCGTTCTGTACATTTTACTTAGCGGAAAAGTGCCTTTTATTGGAAAACCTGTCGAAGTTACAAGACAAATTCGTGCTGGAGAATTTTCGGTAATGTGGGGGATCTGTTCAAAATTTTCAAAAAATTTTTCAGAATTTTCAGAATTTATTTCAGAATTTTTTTTTCTAATTTTCAGAATTTTTTTCAGAAATTTTTCAGAATTTTTTTCAGAATTTTTTTCAGAATTTTTCAGAATTTTTTTCAGAATTTTTCAGAATTTTTCAGAATTTTTTTCAGAATTTTTCAGAATTTTTTCAGAACTTTTTTCAGAATTTTTCAGAATTTTTCAGAATTTTTTTCAGAATTTTTCAGAATTTTTTCAGAACTTTTTTCAGAATTTTTCAGAATTTTTTTCAGAATTTTTCAGAATTTTTCAGAATTTTTTTCAGAATTTTTCAGAATTTTTCAGAATTTTTTTCAGAATTTTTCAGAATTTTTCAGAATTTTTTTCAGAATTTTTTCAGAACTTTTTTCAGAATTTTTCAGAATTTTTTTCAGAATTTTTTTCAGAATTTTTCAGAATTTTTTTCAGAATTTTTCAGAATTTTTCAGAATTTTTTTCAGAATTTTTTTCAGAATTTTTCAGAATTTTTCAGAATTTTTTTCAGAATTTTTCAGAATTTTTCAGAATTTTTTTCAGAATTTTTTCAGAACTTTTTTCAGAATTTTTCAGAATTTTTTTCAGAATTTTTTTCAGAATTTTTCAGAATTTTTTTCAGAATTTTTCAGAATTTTTCAGAATTTTTTTCAGAATTTTTTTCAGAATTTTTCAGAATTTTTCAGAATTTTTTTCAGAATTTTTTCAGAACTTTTTTCAGAATTTTTCAGAATTTTTTTCAGAATTTTTTTCAGAATTTTTCAGAATTTTTTTCAGAATTTTTCAGAATTTTTCAGAATTTTTTTCAGAATTTTTCAGAATTTTTCAGAATTTTTTTCAGAATTTTTCAGAATTTTTCAGAATTTTTTTCAGAATTTTTCAGAATTTTTCAGAATTTTTTTCAGAATTTTTTCAGAACTTTTTTCAGAATTTTTCAGAATTTTTTTTTCAGAATTTTTCAGAATTTTTTCAGAACTTTTTTCAGAATTTTTCAGAATTTTTCAGAATTTTTTTCAGAATTTTTCAGAATTTTTTCAGAACTTTTTTCAGAATTTTTCAGAATTTTTTTCAGAATTTTTCAGAATTTTTTCAGAACTTTTTTCAGAATTTTTCAGAATTTTTTTTCAGAATTTTTTCAGAACTTTTTTCAGAATTTTTCAGAACTTTTTTCAGAATTTTTCAGAATTTTTTTCAGAATTTTTCAGAATTTTTTCAGAACTTTTTCAGAATTTTTCGGAATTTTTTTCAGAACTTTTCAGAATTTATTTTTCAGTTTTCCGGTTCATCTTGGGCCTTGATTAGTGAACCTGCCAAAGATTTATTGCGAAAGCTGTTAAGGGTGGATGAGCGTGAAAGGTTAACTCCTTCAGAATGCCTAAGCCACGACTGGCTTGCAAGGAAACAAGTTCCATTGCGTGTCCATTTGATTGAGACAATTGAAAATGTTCGCCGATACAATCAAAGGCGGCGACTTAAAGTGATTAATTAATTTATTTTTTTAAAGGAGACAACCCCTCCTAAAAATGTAACAAAAAGTTCGGAACTAATCAAAAATTTCCCAGCCTACCAGATAAATAGAAATGAAAACTATCAGTCGGTGGTGGGATGGTTGAGCGTGTAACACCCCTCCATTGGAGAGCTTTCAGGATCAAGTCTCACCCAATCCTCTTGCTAGTTTTTTGGGGATGGGTTCTGCCGCTTTTCTTTTGGATCCTAACAGAGTTGTTCAAACAATTATTGTTTCCTTCTAACTTCACTAGGGCTCATTTTTTGATTCATTAACTACGATGGGAGTCGGTTTTTAGATCTCTGAAAATCTGATATCCAGTTCCGTACTGCCCGACATCCGAACTGGAAATTTCAGTATATCCTGATTTTTTCCGAATGGGATATCCGGATCCGCTAGAACATAGCTGGGAGAATCCTAGTTGGAAACCCCCTAGCTGGGAGGAGACTCCAGAGGATCCCTTCTAGCTTTGAGGAAAACCAGTATCTGGTATGAGACCTGTCCTCCTCTTTATGAAAAATTTTTTTCTTCAAATTTTTAATTAAAAATCCAAACAGACAAACATCATTTCAACACTATACAATAATCATTGGACATCATCAAGCAAAACCCCAATTCCTCCATTTATTTCAACATTTCTCAACGAAAAATGGCCTCTTCCGGGAGGCGATTCCTGTGATTTTGAGTGCCTTCTCCCCCCTCCCCCACAAAATGAAGAAAAAACTGAAGAGATTAATGATAGCTTAAATCCTGGGGAAAGAAAAAAACAACAACAACTAGATAAAACGTTAAAAAATAAAAAATTAGTTGAGGTGGAAACTGGAGGAATTGAAAGGGTTTTGACTTCCTTGGTGAGTTTTATTAAAAGATTATTTTTGAGTGTGTTTTTTAATTTGAACGTTTGGGGGAGGGTATGTAGAGAAGTTTTCAAAAAATTTTTTCTCAGAATTTTTTCAGAATTTTCCTGAATTTTTCTGATTTTTTCAAAAATTTCTGATTTTTTTTCAGGATTTTTTCTGATTTTTTTCGAAATTTTTCAGAAATTTTTTCAGAATTTTTCTGATTTTTTCAGAATTTTTTTTTTCAGAATTTTTCTGGTTTTTTCAGAATTTTCAGAATTTTTCTGATTTCTTTTCAGAATTTTTCTTCAGAATTTCTATCAGTTTCCTAGCTAATGTAAGCATGCCCTTGAGTAGCGAGCCTACCTTATTATGTGAATATGTTATCTACGGGGTCTCGGGTACAAAAGTACATACATTTTCAGCCCCGTGACATTATGGGAAATCGTTCAGAAACAGCCGCGGTTCAAAATCAAAAAAAAATTCTAATTTAAGGATCAACTCTCAATTTTAACCGATTTATCCTTACCCATATCATCTCCCTCAACCTCGACTCCCTCCACTCAACAACATATATTTCCTCATGGTGAGGGTATTACTCGTTGTTTGTGTTGTAAAACTACCCCTACAACATCTACAAATGCTTCGAATTTAACAAACTTTGAAAAACAACATTGGAGGTTGATAGAGGAGGTTTTGAATGATGCCGAATTTCATCAGTTGCTTTTGGTGGGCAAAAAAAATTTTTTATTTTTTTAATTGCATTTTTAAAATTTTCAGAATTTTTTCTGATTTTTTTCAGAATATTTTCAGAATTTTTTTTCAGAATTTTTCTGATTTTTTCAGAATTTTTCTGATTTTTTCAGAATATTTTTCAGAATTTTTTCTGATTTTTTCAGACTTTTTTCTGATTTTTTCAGAATTTTTCTGATTTTTTCAGAATATTTTTCAGAATTTTTTTTCAGAATTTTTTCTGATTTTTTTCAGAATTTTTCTGATTATTTCAAAATTTTTTCCAGGATTTTTTTTCAGAATTTTTTCCTGAATTTTTCTGATTTTTTTCAGAATTTCTATTCATTTTTAATTTTTAAGAAATTTTTAATATTATTTTTTGAGAAATGCACTCTTCCTTTTTTACCACCCGAATTTTATCTTTTTTTAATATTCTATGGCACAATTCCTAAGATACTTTGTGCATTTTAAATTTTTAAGCATCGATTCCTATTTATAATGCTTCTCCTTTTATTGTTACCATTTATATTTTTTAAATTTTATTAATTATTTTTTAAGTCTGCTATTTTTAAATAAAAATTGTATATTATGCAGATTATTTTCCTGAAAGATTATATTATTATTTAGTTTCCGGAAACTTTATGTTATTTATATTTTGGAAAAGTTATTTTATTTATTTTCCGGAAATAATATTATTTTTTCCGGAAACATTTCAATTTCCGGAAAAATTATTGTAATTTCCGGAGAATTATTTTAATTATTTTCCGGAAATAATATAATTTTTTCCGGAAACACTTTAATTTTCGGATGTTATTTTATTTTTCGGATAGTACATATATGTATAATTTCCGGAAAATATTATTTTATATATTTTCCGGAAACTTATTAATTTCCGGAAAAATTATTTTAACTTCCGGAAAAATTATTTTATATATTTTCCGGAAACGTTTTAATTTCCGGAAAATTTATTTTATTTATTTTCCGGATTTTATATATTTTCCGGAAATCTTTAGTTATTATCTTTATTTTTTCCGGAAATTTTATTTAATTTTCCGGAATTATAATTATATTCTTTTTTATTTATTTACGTGGAATGCTGCTCTATTGTTCTTGGTGACAATTGCTTAATTAACAATTGATTTAAAAAATTTCTTCTTTTATTTTTCTCATAGTACTTATAGCCCCACATTCTTTTCAGCTGTTTACCCTTCCAAAAATCCTCGAAAAAAGGAAAAAAAATATTTATAAGAACAAACATATCGACTGGTACTAAATAACCTGGAAGGAGAAAAAATAAAATAAATTGGGTGGAACGAATGTATTAAAAAATATAAAAAAAAGTAAAAACGAATTGAGTAATGTCTCTAATAGATTAAAAAAATATTTTTTTATATTTAAAGTTTTCTAGGGCAATTTTTTAAAGTTTATTTTTTCTTTCTTTCCCAATTGGCGTTAGCGGGGAGATAATATTATTTATTATCCTTTTTTAAAGAATTTTCTGTTTAACAATTTGTTTTTTTTAATTTTTTAAAATTATTTTTCCTTGTATTTTTGTTTTCATAGGCGGGTTACGCCAGAATATTTTTAATTTCCAGGAAAATTTATTTTCTTTTTCTGAAACCTTACTTAGTTTCCGAAGGGTGGGTATTATTCTGAATTATTATTTATTTATTTTCCGGAAGGATTATTTTAGTTTCCGGAAATTTTCCGAAAACTATTTCATTTCCGGAAATATATCGGAAACATTATTCTATTTTCCGGAAATATTATACTTTCCGGAAATATTAGTATCATTTCCTTTAGCCTTATTCTTCCGGAAACTATTTCATTTCCGGAAATATTATTTTCTTTTCCGGAAAATTTAATTCCCTGAAAAATTTTTCCGGAAATATTTTTAATTTTCCGGAAAATTTATTTTATATCCGGAATAGTATTTCTGGAAATATATTATTTTATTAATATTTTCCGGAAATATTATTTTATTTTCCGGAAATATTATTATCTTTTCCTTTAACCTTGTTCTTCCGGAACTTATTTCATTTCCGGAAATATTATCTTCTTTTCCGGAAAATTTAATTCACAGAAAATTTTTTCCGGAAACTATTTCATTTCCGGAAATATTATTTTCTTTTCCGGAAAATTTAATTCCCTGAAAAATTTTTCCGGAAATATTTTTAATTTTCCGGAAAAATTATTTTATATCCGGAATAGTATTTCCGGAAATATATTATTTTATTAATATTTTCCGGAAATATTATTTTACTTTCTGGAAATATTATTATCTTTTCCTTTAGCCTTATTCTTCCGGAAACTATCTCATTTCCGGAAATATTATACTTTTTTCTCTCCCTGCCCCTCCCTTATCATGTTCTTCTTTGTAATAATTAATCAACCGGTTTCAATACCAGGAATATACCTAAATGGATGATTATTATTTTGTAAATAATTCCTCAGCTGCGACAACTTCTTCCACAGACCACTCATCCTCTTCAACAACTTTATTAGAATGTGATACCCAGACATGTTGTTATTGTTGTGGGGAAAAATTAAATAATTCCACCACTACTTTTAACCAACAAAATAAATTGTTTTGTTGTGTTATGCCTTATGAGGTATTTAATAAAAGCTTTTGTTAAATTTAAAAAATTTTGGGTATTTTATTTTTTTTATTGTTTGGATATTTAAAGGACTCTAAATTTTTTATACAACTCTCATAATTTTTATTCCCCTCCAAAAAAATTTTTGTTTTCCGGAAATTTTTGTTTTCCGGAAATTTTTGTTTTTCTTGCTATATTTTGGGCCATAACTTTTCGAATTCTTAACCGATTTAAATAAATAATATACCTATCGAAAGCTCTGGATATGAGGATTATTTTGTCTAAAAGGAGTGATTTGATCAGATAATTATACAAAAAGTTACAGTTGGATAAGTGCGTGCAATCGTGATTTTTGAGCTTTAGACGGCTGTAACTTTTTGTAAAATGATTTGATCAAATCAATCCTAAGAGATAAAATAATCCTCAAATCGTGAGCTTTCGATTGGTATAATAATTATTTAAATCGGTTAAGAATTAAAAAAGTTATGACCCAAAATACACATAACTTCAAGACAGACGATTCGTTAACTACCCTTCCTGATTTTTTCTCCTTTTAAAATCCCCTTAAAAATTCAAAATAAACAATATAAACAATAAAGCATGTAAATATCTCTAAAATATTTTTATTTCCTAATTTTCATTCAAATATTAAATTCAATTGATGCAAAATTGAATTTTACCCGTTACAACATAACAAATTTTATTATTGCTTTGAAGTAAATTTTTTTTTCTTTGAAAGTTTTTAATAGAATTTAGGCTTTAGGTTAATGCTTAGGATATTTTCCTTAAGTTTTATTTTATATAGAAATTTTTTATTTTTTTTAAATTTATTTATTATTAAAAAATCTGGTTTAATTAGGCGTCTGTTAAACTTTCTCTCTTAATCTGATTAAAAATTCTGAAAATATTTAAAATTCTGATTTTTCCGGTGTAGCGAAAAAGTTAATAATTCTGATTATTTAATAGATTCTGATTAATTCTGAAATTAGTTATTAATTCTGATCTGATTAATTCTGATTACTATTCTGATAAATTCTGATATTCTGATTAATTTTAATTCTGATTGATTTAATTCTGATTTATTCTGGTTCTTAATTCTGATTTTTTGATCAATTCTGATTCTGATTAATTATCATTCTGATTGTTCTGATTAATTCCGAAATTAATTCTGATATTCTAATTATTCTGATTAATTAATAATTCTGATTTTTACTTATAATTTAATTTTTTATTGTTTTCCTTCATTTTATTAAAGTTTAAATTAAGGAGGAATTGCGTCATTGCATTTGCGTGTCCTAAAATTTTATTTTAACTTTATTTAATGAAAAAAATTAGGGAATTAACTTTAAATTATATTTTCTTAAATGTTCATCCTATTTATTCTGTTTTTCATAAAAAAAATTTTTTCCTAAATTTAAAAATTTTCTAAAATTTTTCATAAAAATTTTCAAAAAAAAATTTTTTTTAATTTCAAAAAAATTTTCAAAAAATTTTAAAAATTTTTTGAAAAATTTTCTAAAATTTTCAAAAAATTTTTAAAAAAATTTCAAAAATTTTTTCAAAAATTTTTCTAAAAAATTTTTGAAAAATTTTCAAAAAAAATTTTTCAAGTCCTAAGTACTCAAGTTAATGCCACAAGTCATATTCAACACAACTTACCACCAAAAAATATCTTCCAAACTTGCTTTACTCACAACTACAACAGTACCCACACTCACTACCTCCTCCCTTACCCCCCTTACCACCTACACCTCCAAAAATCTTCCAAAAAATATTTCAACTAATTCTTCCCTCCTACCAATTGTAAACAATATTGGCGGCATTGCCCTGTTCGCCCTAGTATTGGCAGCCTTTTTTTGTTTCTGTATCTGTGTGATCTGCTTAGGCGGGCTCTGCGCCGATTTGTCCTCCTCCGCCGCCTCCAAACAAAAATTGTGCTTTTGCTGTGTTTGTGAGTGCTGTCTAGAGGAGGAACTGGAAAAGGAGGATAACAACAACAACGACGAAAGCGATTTTTCCTATAGGCGGTGGCAGCGTCGTCGATTACGCCAGCAGTCCAGATCCTCGTCCAATTTAATTTATAACGCGGCCACAGCAGTAAATATGCCTTCGATGTTATTACTTCAATTGATGCTGGCTGATAGCTTTAATAATTTGAATAATAAAAATAATAAGAAAAATGTTGCTAGTGAAGGAGGAGAAGAAGGAAGAGTGTCTGTTTGAGAAGAAAAAAAAATTTTTTTTAAATTTTCAAAAAATTTTTAAAAATTTTTTGTAATTTTTTTCAACAACCTTTCTTCAATTTATTACTACAAATTCAACAAAAAAATTTTTTTAATTAATTTTCTACTTAAATTATAAGAGGGCTGACTATTCGTCTCTATTTTATCAACGTATCAAGTGTTGATTTTTTTTAATTTTTAATTACTTATATTTTTGATTTTTATTATTTTTCCTATTTTTAAAATTTTTTCTAAAAATTTGAAAATTTTCAAAAATTTCAAAAAAATTTTTAAAAATATTTTTTAAAATTTTATAAATTAAAAAAATTTTTGTGTCCCCCTCAGAATTTTCTATTTTCCATTTTCTCATTTTTAAAGCTCTACGACCGTATCAGAACTGAAGCAATTCGCCCAACACCTATCAACAGGCACGCAGAACGCTCATATAGAGAAGCCTGTAAAGAATTAGTTTCTTCAAGTCCACAAGGTGCAGAAACTTCAGAATTGCTTGAATTATTAAATAATGTACATTTAAAGTTGAGGTGAAGTGATTTAAAGTCTGCAAAAAATTTGCGGATTTTTTTAATATCCGCAGAAAAATTTGCGGACATTTCGCAAAAATCCGCAGAAAAATTTGCGGACATCTTTTAAAAAGTCCGCAAAAAATTTCCGCATTTTTTTATCCGCAAAAAAATTTTGCGGACGTTTTTTAAGATCTGCAAAAAATTTTGCGGACATTTTTTAAAATCCGCAAAAAACTTTGCGGACATTTTTTTATTCGCAAATTTTTTTCCTTTCTTAAAGGCTATATTACAAGCCCAAGAAGTAGCGATGGAAGAAATTTATGCAGCAATCACCCCAATTGCTACAACAAGTAGTGGGAGCAGTCAACCAACTTCTCCTGATGTTGTTGTTATTAATTCACCTCAACTCATTGCTGGAGTTAATGTATGTTGAGGGAGAAAATATTTAAAAAATGTTTCCGGAAAATACATAAAACTATTAAAATTACAATCCACATTTATGAATTAATTTTCCGGAAAATACATAAATACAATTCAAATATTAAACTTTCCGGACAGAATTGCAAATTAAAATCAAAAATAAACTTTCTGGAAAATACATAGATATAATTTAAATATTAAACTTTCCGGAAAGAATTAAAATCAAAATTAAACTTTCCGGAAAATACAAAATCTATTAAAATTACAATCCAACTTTCCGGAAAATGCTTACTGAAAAATACAACCTAATTTACAATTGTAAAATTTTCCGTAGGATAATAATAAACTTTATTTAGGCTTGTAGTGCTTTTCCGGAAAATACATGAATATAATTAAAATAAACTTTCCGGAAAATATTTGAATATTAATTTTATTACAAAACTTTTCCGGAAAATACTGAAAAATAAACTTGATTTACAATTGTAAAATTTTCCATAAAATAATAATAAGCCTGATTTTGGCTTGTACTGATTTTCCGGAAAATACATAAATTCTCTTATGATCTAAACTGCAATTAAAATTAAAAATACAAATAGACTTTCCGTAAATATTACATTAAATTTAATTGTTGGAAACTTATTTTACTCATTCTAAAATTTCTTTTTTAAAGGCTTTAGGAATTGGTGGAAATACCCCATCAACATCAACCCATCTCCCTACCCTTCCTAATGGTTCGGTATACACAGGCACTTCTCCCAATGCCCAATCTGCTCATAAAGGTAGATTGCTTCCTGAAGCTTCCAAAGCTAGGTGAAACAAATTTCCTTCCCTTCGAAAAAAATTTTTAAATTAAAGACCAGCCCCGCCTCCAATCATCGCCAACGTTGATAACAACCCTGATTTCTCCACAGGACTTCCTTCGGGTGATGATGATGATCTTATACTAACGGCTGTTGGACGTGTTAGACTTGTACAGTTTACAAAAGACACTGAAGAGCCTATGGGAATAACTTTAAAGGTGTGTTTTTGATTAAAATAGATATAATTATTTGTGTTTTCCGGAAAGTTGTAAAATATATTTGTATTTTTACAAATTTTTATATTTGTAATCCATTCCGGAAAGTTTTATTTATAACGGGGAGCTTAAACTTATTTAAAACATTTACAATTTACGGAAAGTTTGTATTTATAGTTTTAATTTAATTTGCGATAATTCCGGAAAGTTTTACTTTAATTACAATTTTCCGGAAAGTTTGCAAATTTGTATTATTATTACAACTTTTTTACATTTGTAATTTAATTTGTGTTTTATTCCGGAAAGTTTTATTTAATCAAGCTTTCCGGAAAGCTTATTTAAAATTGTAGATGTGTTTTATCTAGAGTTCCGGAAAGTTTATATTTATTTAATTAATGTTTTATTCCGGAAAGTTTTATTTACAATTTCCGGAAAGTTTTTAGAAAATTGTAAATGTGTTTTATCTAGAGTTCCGGAAAGTTTGTGTTTATATGTATTTGTAATTTAATTTGCGGAAAGTTTTACTTTCCGGAAAGTTTTACTTTAATTACAATTTTTCGGAAAGTTCGTATTTAATTACAAATTTGTATTTTTATTACAGCTTTTACAAATTTGTAATTTAATTTGTGTTTTATTCCGGAAAGTTTTATTTACAATTTTCCGGAAAGTTTATTTAAAATTGTAAATGTGTTTTATTGTTAGTTCCGGAAAGTCTGTATTTACATTTGTAATTTAATTTGTGTTTTATTCCGGAAAGTTTTATTAACAATTTTCCGGAAAGGTTATTTATATCATAATTACAACTCATTTGTATTTATTTGTATTTTCCCAACTTTTTTAGATGACTGAAGATGGGAGGTGTTTTGTAGGGCGTATAATGCATGGTGGACTAATTCACCGACAAGCAACATTACACGTAGACGACGAGCTTCTTGAAATTAATAATATTTCTGTTGCTAATAAATCTGTAGAGCAAATTCAAAGGCTTTTAAAGTCTTTTTATTTTATTTTAAAAAATAATTTATTTTCCCCCCAGAGATGTCAGAGGTCCAGTCACCTTTAAAATTGTCCCCTCCTATCGGTCAGCGCCTCCTTCCTGTGAAATTTTTGTTCGGGCACAGTTTGGAATTTTATTTTAAAATAATTTTATTATTTTTAATTATTTAAAGGTTCGATTACGACCCTTCACAAGACGATTTAATCCCTTCTGTCAATGCAGGGGTTCCTTTCCGGACGGGTGATGTTCTCCAAGTAATTTCAAAAGACGATCACAACTGGTGGCAAGGTTGGGGGAGAAGGGGAAACTGAGGAAAAAATTTAAAAAAATTTTCAGCCCGGTTTATCTGCCCCTCTCCCGCGTTAGGCGGCACCCTGTGGGCTTCTTCCCCTACAACAACCACAACACCCAATACTGTGTCTAACGCTGTTGCTTCTACTTCTGCTGCAGCACTATCCACCTCAAACCACATATCGTCTAAAAAGCCCCCTCCTTCTAGGCAGCAAAGATTTCATGGTGGGAATAATATGGCGGGGCTTATTCCGTCCCCTGAACTTCAAGAATGGAGAACTGCTTGGTGAATTTCTATAATTAATAAGTATTTTGTGTTTTCCGGAAAGAAAATAACAACCGGATTGAAATTGTTAATATGTGTTTTCCCATCTTTTCGGTTTTTTAATGCTTGTGTTTATTTGTTTCCGGAAAATTTATTTTCCGGATTGTAATTTTATTTTTTAAATAGAAACCTTTGTGTTTTCCGGAAAGTTTAATTTATTAATATACGGATTGTAAATTATTAAGTTTGTGTTTATTTACTTTTTCCGGAAAATACATTTTCCGGATTGTAATTTCATCCGGTTTTTATTTTTAATAGGGCTTATTTGTGTTTTCCGGAAAGTTTATTTCCTTTCCTTTACGTAAAACACAAATTGTAATTTTCTTTATTTTTAAATCACAAAATTACAATTACAGCTTAGCAATGGAACGCGCCCGTGAATCTTCCCATTGCTTCATTTTCGGAAGTAAGAAGAAAGTTACCAATCCTTGCACTAGCAGCAACAAGTATTACACCACAAAATATTTACGTAAACACTCCGAATTGTTTGACGGTATGGAAATGATCAGTTACGAGGAGGTGGCTATTTTTTATTAAAAAAATTTCCGGATTGTAATTCCGGATTGTAATATTCCGGTTTGTAATTCCGGATTGTAATTTCGGATTGTAATATCCCGGATTGTAATATTCCGGATTGTAATTCCGGATTGTAATATTCCGGATTGTAATTCCGGATTGTAATATTCCGGATTGTAATTCCGGATTGTAATATTCCGGATTGTAATTCCGGATTGTAATTCCGGATTGTAATATTCCGGATTGTAATTCCGGATTGTAATTCCGGATTGTAATATTCCGGATTGTAATTCCGGATTGTAATATTCCGGATTGTAATTCCGGATTGTAATATTCCGGATTGTAATTCCGGATTGTAATATTCCGGATTGTAATATTCCGGATTGTAATTCCGGATTGTAATATTCCGGATTGGGTAAAATTCCGTCATATCACCCGGAAACCGATTAAGACAAATGATATGTCATTCGAAAGATCTCGCCGAGCTGAGTCGAACGACACCAAAATTAGCTTCGGGACTCACCTGTGGGCCGAGATATTGGTCCCCGAAAATCGAAAAACCATAGGGGGGAGTAAGCTCAATTTTGGGGTGAAAAATTCGAATATGCAAATTATACCTCTTTCGAAAGAGCTCGTCGAGCTGAGTCAAATGACATCAAATTCATTGAAATCAGACTTGATTTGACAAAGTTATGATCGTTTCTTTTAGCTCCTTACCTATGGACTCCGCGGAGGTTTTTGCTCTACGGAGGAAGCCAGGCATGCCCATCTCATCGATGATAGGAATAGGATTAAGTTACGAGCCCAGACCCAGCGCCCGTAGACTCCCCGCGAGGCGCGTGCCGCAAAACCCCGCGCGAAGCGCGGGGTTTTGCACAAGCGCCTCGCCTACGCCCCATAGGTTTATATTGACCATTTTGAACCTCTTTATCTCGGCTTAGAATAAAGATCTTGAGCTGATTTTGGTGTCATTCGACTCAGCTCGAGGAGCTATTTCGAATGAGCTATCAATCAAAAAATCGTATTTTTCACCCCAAAATTGAGCTTACTCCCCCCTATGGTTTTTCGATTTTCGGGGACCTATATCTCGGCCCATAACTGAGTCCCGAAGCTAATTTTGGTGACGTTCGACTCAGCTCGGCGAGATCTTTCGAATGACATATCATTTGTCTGAATCGGTTTCCGGGTGATATGACGGAATTTTTCCCCGGATTGTAATTCCGGATTGTAATATTCCGGATTGTAATTCCGGATTGTAATATTCCGGATTGTAATTCCGGATTGTAATATTCCGGATTGTAATTCCGGATTGTAATATTCCGGATTGTAATTCCGGATTGTAATATTCCGGATTGTAATTCCGGATTGTAAATAATATTTATTTAATAAAATTTCAGGTCGTTAGACTGCCCACCTTTAGACGCAAGACACTTGTTCTGTTGGGAGCGCATGGTGTAGGCAGACGACACATCAAAAATACCCTTATCAGGCTACACCCACATCGTTTTGCTTATCCTATACCTCGTTTGTTGTTTTAATTTTTATTTAAAAAATTAGAAAATTAAGACACAACCCGTCCCCCTCGACGTGATGAGATTGACGGCAAACACTACTTTTTTGTGTCTAACGACCAAATGTTAGCGGATATTCAAGCTAATGATTACCTTGAATATGGAACACATGAAGAATGTTTGTATGGAACTAAATTGGAAACAATACGTTCAATACATAGAACGGGGAAAATGGCGATATTGGATGTTGAGCCTCAGGTGGGAACTAAAAATGAGTAAAATTCTGGAAATGATTTTAATTAGGAGTGAGACTTCCAGAAAATACACAATTACAATTTATAATTACAAAATTAAAGTATACTGGAAATAAAAATTAATTAAAATAAAAATTAATTAAAATTACAATTTATAATTGATCCTTGCAGAAAATACATACATATATAAATTACAATTTACATAAATTACAATTTATAATTGTAAAATTAAACTTTCCGGAAAATACAATTAAACGCAAAATTAAATTTTCCGGAAAATAATTATTTTACAATTGCAATAAGAATTTTACTTTCCGGAAAATAAATAAACATAATTTACAAATACACTTCCCGGAAAATACATAAACTTTATTTACAATTTGTATTAAAATAAACTTTCCGGATGACATATTACAATTAAGTTTAATTTAGTATTATTTTCCGGAAAATATAATTAATTTACAATTACAATTTAAAATAAACTTTCCGGAAAATAAATTAACCTTGTCTACAATTACAATTTCCGGAAAATACAAAACTTTAATTAAACTTTCCGGATAATATACAAACTTTATTTACAATTACAATTTCCGAAAAATACAAAACTTTAATTAAACTTTCCGGAAAATAAATAAACCTTGCTTACAATTACAATTTCCGGATAATACATGTTCATTTTCAATTTACAGAAAATCGAACTTTCCGGAAAACATATTACAATTATGTTTAATTTAAAAATACTTTCCGGAGCAATTATTTTACAATTACAATTTAAAATTAAACTTTCCGGAAAATAAATAAACTTTATTTTTACAATTACAATTTATTTAATAAATATAACTTAATTTAAGGCCTTAAAAGTATTGCGAAATGCTGAATATTCTCCTTTTGTTGTTTTTATTGCTGCGCCCGATTTGCACGGATTACACGATGTATTTTATTAATTTATTTAATTTCAATTTTTGTATTTTTTTGTATTTTTTCCCTTTTATTTTTCAGCCCGATGGAAGTCTTGAACGTTTAGTGAAGGAGTCAGAAATGCTCTCACAATCATTTGGACATTTATTTGACCTTATTCTGGTCAATAATGATATTGATGAAACTATTAGACAGTTGGAAAGGGTTGTAGAAAAATTATCGGCTACACCACAATGGGTACCTATATCTTGGGTTTATTAATTTGTTAATAATATTTTTGGGCTGGAGGCGCCTGGACGTTTGTGCGCATAACTCAAAACTGAGATAACCTAAATTTTCAAAAATTTTCTCGAATTTCTTTAACATCCTTAGCTAGTGATGGTCGGGAGTTAAAAAAAGCCGAGAGTCGGGAACCGAGACCGAGACCGGGAATCAACCCCGAGACCGAGTCCCGGGTCGAGACCGAGAGTCGAGACCGAGAGTCGAGACCAAGAGATTAGGAGGGATATCACTTGATATACCCCTATATATCCTTTATAATCCTATATCCCTATATATCCTTCATAATCCCTCAAATCCCTTGAATCCCCACATCCACAATATAACTTTACTCCTCCTAAATCTACCGATATCCACCTTAATCCACTGATATTCCCATTAATCGCTTTGAATCCCCTTATTTCCCTCGATATCCCTCCAAATCGAACGGTATCTTCCCAACCCTCGAATACCACTCACAAGTCCCTTTATGTTTACTTTAATCCTTCCAAGTTTCCAGAGATCCCTCTTAATTTTAATATAGCCTCTATAGCCTCTCAAATCCCAATAAGCTCCGAATCCGACAAGTCCATTGATACCCCTAATAGTTAAGGCCGTATACGATAATTCTTGTATTTTTTAAGGTTTTAAGCTATAAATCCTTCAATTTCATTCATTTTCTGCGCCGCAGGCGAAAATTTTGAGAATTTTGGAGGTCGTGAAGCCAGATATCTCCCATTTTCTTACCGCAAGTGAGGATGTATAGTGAGGATTTATGCGCCGCAGGCGAAAATTTTGGAAAATTCATGATTAAATTAAAATTTTTAATGTCTTTTCAAGTTTAAAATATTAAAAAAAATAAATTGAAATCAAAATTAAAAGACATTTATTTTTGAAAAGAAAAATTTTTCAGCCTCAATTCCACCCCTGGATTCGAACCCAGAACTAACAAAATAACTAAGTGATTGAAGTCAGTCACACAACCACTCAACCATCGAACAACAAAAGAAAAATAGGAGAAAATTAAATATTTCTTTCCTTTTTCCTTAAAAAATTTAATGCTAAAGTGCGCGAGGTACGAGTAAAATTCAAAAAATTTCTGTCATTAGGGGTGTAAATTTAGTCTCGTTTTCCGAGACTAAAACACCGAGACCGAGACCGAGACCGAGAGCTCAAAAAACCCGGGAAATTTCCCGACTCGGGAACCGAGACCGGGAATCCCGACCATCACTATCCTTAGCTACATCCTCCAAAAATTTCAAAATTTTTCGTAAAATATTTGTGGAGTTATAGTCGACAAATCTCAAAAAATTAGGCTTTTTTCGATAGTTAAGTGACATTTTTGGCTATAATTTCTGAAATTCTGTACCAAAAATTCTGAAATTTTTGGAAAACTTAGCTAAACATCTGAGGATTATTCCAGCAAAATTTCATCCCTCTAGGTAATCAATGAACTATTTTATAAGCTTTCGCGCCAAACGGCCTCACGCCGAAATGTCCAGTCCCTTACTCTTTGATCGTTTATTCACTTAATATTATTTTTTTTAAATATTTAAAAATATTTCTAATAATTTTTCAATAATTTTACATTAAAAAAATTTTTTTTTAATTCAAAAAATATATTTATATTATACAAAATTATTATCAAATATAACAGATATTATTATACTTACATATTTTTTTATTTGCAATTACAAATTAAAGTTTGTATTTTTCGGTTCTCACTTTGTATTTTATATAAAAATTGTAAACTTCTTTAAAATAAAGTTTGTTTTTATTTAAAGTTTATTTTGTGTTTTCCGGAAAGTTTAATAAAATTCCGGGTTGTAAATAAATTTTGTGTTTTCCGGAAAGTTTAATAAAATTCCGGGTTGTAAATAAATGTTTTTGTTTTCCGGAAAGTTTAATAAAATTCTAGGTTGAAAATAAATGTTTGTGTTTTCCGGTATTTTTTATTCTTGTATTTTTTTCAACATATTCCGGATTGTAATAACATCAAGTTTTTATTTTTTAAATATTAATATTTTGTGTTTTCCGGAAAGTTTAATTTTAATAAGTTTTCTTATTGTAAATTAATGTTTGTTTTGACAGTTTTCAGGTTTCTTTTATTGTGTTTCTTCACATGTTTCCGGATTTTTTATTTAATATTTTTTCTGTATTTTCCGGAAAGTTTATATAAAATTAAGGTTATTATATAAGAATTACAATTGTAAATCTAAATTGTAAATTAAGTTTTAAAAATATTAAAATAGTTGTATTTTTGTGTTTTCCGGAAAGTTTATTTTAAAATAAAAATTTTTAGTTTAATTTAAGGTTGATTTTTGGATTAAAACAAAACCTTTTACAATTTGTAAAATTGTAAAGTATTAAAATATTTAAAATAATTCCCAACTTTAAAGTTTATTACAATTACCAGCATAAATAAAAATAAGCCTAGTGATTAAATTAAATAAGGTAAAATTAATTTTTAAAATTTAATAATCTCCCAAAATTTAAATATCGCCCACTTGTTTATTATATACTATCACCCAATTAAATTTAAAATATTTTATTTATTTCATCTTCTTCCCTTCTTTAAATTCCTCAAATCACCCTTCACATCCAGGCTTATCACCCGCATGACAAGCAGACGGTCCACTTCGGACGGGTCCTCTCGGTATTTGGCCTGCCATACACATAAGAGCAATAATTATAAAATAAATAATGAATAAAATAATTGAATTTAAAATTGAGTTATTAGGCATTTTTAAAAATATTTCAAATTAATTTATGGTTAGAAACTAAAAATTTTTGGCATTTAAATAGAGGTACAAATATAAAATAAATTTCATTATTTATTTAACTATATGTCATTGAAATTTTATTGAAATTTGAAAAAATCCCTTTCGTTGTAATTTTATAATTTTTAAATAAATACTTTTTGGTTCATTAAATAATTAAAAAATTTTAGTATAAAATATACTAATAAAAATTTTTGTTTATACAAGGATTGGTACAAATTTAAAGAAATTTTATTAAAAAAATTAAAAATAAAATTTATAAAAAATAATTTTCACGTAATTTACCAACAAATATTTTTAAAAATTAATTTTAAGCAACTTAAATACAACTTTAATATCGATTTTAAATCTAGAAACAAAGATAAAAATTCAAAAATTTATTATAAAATAATTCATTTAATAATTTATTTACATACATATTATCTAGCAAACCACTAGTGCGCTTATAGTGCTGAAAAAACAAAAGTAAAGCAAAAATTATGAAATTATAAATCATAAAAAAATAAAAAATAGATAAATTTTTATGGTTATTATAATACTACTGGCCATCATCTCCATGTCATAAAATTGCCAACTTGCAACATTACGTATATGTGCAAGTTCAGCTTTAAATTCTTTAATAAGACGGGTATAGACACAGAAAAATAGGTTGAAGTTAGCTTTTAAAGATTTTTGTCTTGGTAAGATAGGAAATGGTTGAATGGAAATATAAGATTAATATAAGATTAAATTTTATATAAGATTTAATTTTTATATAAAAATACAGTGAGTAAATTATTTCATTTGTTTATTGTATGTATTTTATTTGTTTTCCGGAAATTTTATTTTAAAATTAAAGTTTAAAATATTAAGAATAATTCCCAACTTTAAAGTTTATTATACTTAATATATCAGCATAAAATACCCAATAATTAAATAATTTTAAGAAGCATTTTAAAAATCAATATGTATATTGCCCAATTAATTTTATATTTTTTATTTGTTTTGACTTCTTTCCTTCTTTAAACATCTCAAATCACCCTCGACATTCAGGCTTATTAATATTTTCCCAACCACAATTAGACGCTCCACTTGAAGGGACGGGTCCTCTCGGACATCCTATTTGGCCTGCCATAAACATAATAATTATAAAATAAATAATAAATAAAATGTTGGGATTTATAATTGATTTAGTAAGCATTTATTATTAATAATTTATTAATTTATTAGAAAATGTATAAAATTTTTGGATTTAAGTAGGAAATTTTTTTTATTTTTCTCTGTTTATTCACCTATTCTTTGAAAGAATATTTACGTAAAAAATTATTTAAAATAAGTTTTATTCTGATTTTATTCCGTTTCTGGTTTAGTGCTAATTTACTTCTGAATAATTCTGATTTTTATTCTGCTCTAAATATTATAAATTCTGATTTTATTCTTATTTTTTCTAATTTTATTCTGTTTTATTCTAATTTTTATTATATTAATTCTGAGTTTTATTCTGATTAATTCTGATTTAATTCCGATTTAATTATGATTTTTATATATTCTGGTTTTATTCTGATTTTTATTTTGATTTAATTCTCAAGTAGATAGAATTTTTTATTCTGATTAATTCTGATTTATTTTAGAAGTTCTGATAATTTTTTCCCTAATTATTTATTCAGCCATTCATAAAAAGTTTTAAAAATTATTTGAAATAATTTTTGGTTCAAAGAGAAACTTTTCTGAAAATAATAAACTTATGGCTAGATTGACGCAAATTAAAAAGTTTTTTGGTTTAAAAAAATTTTAAATTAAACTAAAAAATTTTCAAAAAATTTCACATGATTTAAAAAAATAATAATTTAGGAATTATTATGAATTATTTTTTATATAAAGTAATACAATTTATATTTTTTTTATTTTATTTGTGTTTTCCGGAAAGTTTATTTTAATAGGTATTCCGGATTGTAAATTTATAAATTTGTATTTTCACGGTTTCCGGTTTTTTTTTTAATATTATGTGTTTTTTACTTGTTTCCGAAAAATTTAATCTTCCGGATTGCAATTTTATCCGGGTTTTAATTTTTACATATTAGTATTTTCCGGAAAGTTTATTTTAATAATTTTCTTGTTATAAATTAATGAATTTGTGTTTCTCTCATTTCCGATTTTCTTTTGCAATTTTGTGTTTCTTTAAATGTTTCCGGAAAATTCTCTACTAACGTTAGTTTGTATTTTCCGGAATATTTAATATGAATTAATGTATTTATATAAAAATTACAATTGTAATAAAGTAAATTGATCCAGAAACTGAAATATCAGAATTTTATTTTAATCTTGTAAATTCAAATAAATTTTAAACCAACTATCACCAAACTTTATCTTTTACTTAATCAGTAAACAAATTCAATTTTTTTAAGTCAACAAAAAATATTAATTTTTTATTAAAGCTAAAACAAAATTTTTATTTTTAAAGAATATATGTGAATGAATAAAGAAAATCTTTTTTGAAAGGGACAGAAAAAGGCGGGTGTCAACATCTTTTTTATTTTTCTATAAAAATTCTTCAAAGACGCACGGACAATTTTGGACATCTGGCACAAAACACTAAAAATAAAAAGTTTTAAAAATAAATATTTTTACAATCAGATTAAAAATAAATAAAAAGAGAAAAATACATTAATACTTAATAATATTACTGTATTTTTAATTTAATAATATTAAATACTATTATTTTAAATAAAGTAATTTTTTACAGTAAATCAAAATTTTAAATTAAGTTTTAAGGATTTAATTTATTTCTTCATTTTTTTGTATTTTATTTGTTTTCCGGAAACTTATGCACACACAACTTTGAAGTCAAATAACCCTTTGTAAAAGTTTAATTTGCCCTTGCGATTACGGTTAAGTAAAATTTAAAAATTAAAAAATTAAAATTTAAAAAATTAAAAATTAATTTCTCTCTCCCTAGTGAAGGGAGAGAGAGAAAGAGAGAATCGATTGTCTGCGTTATAATCAATTAAATGCGCGAGTCTAACAATAGGGCTAATCACGTTGTCAAATATTTACAATGCCTTCCCTCCCCTCTCCTCTTTCTCCCTCTCACAATGCTTGCGATTAGTCGGGAAAAAATTTTTTTAATTTTAAATTATTTAATTGTTTAATTGCCTTTATAAAAATTTAATTTTTATTTTTAAAATTTTATTTCCTCGTTAAATTTTATTTAAGTTTGATGGGTAATTGAAGGGGCTGAATAATATACACTCCCTTCTCTCTCTCTCAAACCGCTCCCTTCTCCCTCTCAACTGAAGATAAATCCCCTTAAATTGAGTATAAAATTTGATAATAGTGATAGCCGCGGGCATTCCGGTCGGATATCCGGATAGGAATCCGAATATAAGTGGATTTACAAGGATCCACCAACCTTAATACAACATTAAAACGCCAACCAACCAACCTTATTATCCTTAAAAGATCCCCTGATATTCGGATTTCTGTTCGCTATCCGAACCAAAATACCCGCTGATACCCGGACTTTTTTAGAAACCGGATCCACCAACCCTAGTTTTCATACAGTGTGCAGGGTCAGGCGCCAAGAGTTGAAAAAGGTCTAAGCAGAAACTGCTGATCATAGTTTTCTAGCTATTTCTCCTTTAGTTAATGCGAAAGGTTTTTAGGCGGCTGGGAGTTGACAGAAATTTAAATCTAACCGGACTGCGCCGCCTCCATAACCTTGGAATTAAATACCGTAAATATCCTAATAGAAGCCCATGCCCTATTATAAGCCCACCCGATGTGGAGTATTGAAAAATATAGGCCCAGGGCTTATATTAGGATACCTATTTACGGTATATTAATTAAAAAATTTTTTTTAGAAATTTTTAAAATGCGTTCGAAAAGAAAAGGAAAGGCTATTTTAAAATTATTATTATTTATTATTATTTTTGAAATTGTGGTTGAGGTTGAAGGAATGTTTAAGTTTAGAAGTGCCAAAGAAAAAAAAGTTGATTTTGTTGGGACCAAAAAGGAGGACCGAAAAAATGTAGTTGAGAAGGAAACAAAAAATAAAAATGTTGTTGAGGAACACGAAAATTACGGTGTTGAGGAATTAGATGATGGAGCAAGATTGAGTAATTATGGATTTCCAGAACATCTAAAGTGATAAAATAATTTATTACTCTATGTTTTTTAAAATATATTTTCCTTTCCCTTAGATCCCCACATCTATGAGTTATATGTATAATATGAATCAGGGACGAGTCGGGTTTTCAAAAATTTCTTTGGGTAGTGAGAGAGGGGGAGGAGGTTCGTGTCCAAAAAAGTCCGGGTTTCGAATATTAAGTAAGGCTACGGGTCGGATGTCGGGTCGGGGTTTCGAAAATTTCTCGAGCTGGAATTCCGAGAATTTCTTGGATCGGGTATTGAGTCGATAAACATTTTAAACCGAGGCTTTAAAAAATTTTTATTTTTAATTTTTAGTCTACCCAATAACTTTCGAATGCCTTTTAACCAAGACGCGAAAGAAAAGCAGAAGGATATGAGCGAGTTTAAAAGCCTTTTGGGGATAAGCTTAGAGATGCCAAAAATGCCAAAACAAGAAAACAAAGAAAGCATTGATACTAATCTGCCAACATCGCCTGCTGAAGAGAAAATTAATAAAGGCGGAAATATTCCCCCTCCAGCTCCTCCAAAGCTCCCACCTGCTGTCGACCGAAAGGATAAATACAAGAGACCAGAAGTTAAAAATGTTTCCGATGCCCTTAGAGAATTAAAACATTATATAGAAGAAAAGTCTGGCTTTGAAAATGATATTGCTCACCACGAGGATATTTTGTTTAAAAAGGCTTTGGATATTTTTCCAGAATGGAATATGAAAAAAATTTCTTCCCAACTTTCCAAATTAAATGAGGAAAGGGAGAAAGAGAGAGATGAGGGGAAAAAGGGGGAATTAATTGATAAAGTGGGTTCGATGATTGAAACGCCTCAAGTGCTTGATAGTGTTGATAAAATAATAATTGATAAGACTAAACAGTTTAATCAAGATGCAGTGAAGAATAGAATGAAACCGGAAGAGCTGAAGATGAAACCGGAAGAGTTGAAAAAGCAGTCGGATATGTTATTGGCGTCTACGTCATTAGTAGAATTTCGGGTAAATAAAATTTTATAAGAATTTCTGACCCGGTAAAACCTGTTAGCGGGGGCTTGCGAAATCTGAGGATATAAGACGTCCCACACAGACAGGACGATACTCACAGGGTCTCCTCCTTATTTCTTACAGTGACAGCATGTCAAACATCGCAGTGTAAGTTTGATTTCCTCGAGCTATGCCCGATCGGGTTAAGGTACCATTATAACTCAACTGATATTTTAGTGGAACACAATCGAAAGTCAGTGTCGAAACCAGAGTCAATGTCATAAGAAATCTCACAATCTTAGTTGTCGCTTAGTGAAATATGAGCATATGTATGTCAATGGGCGATAGAATATGTCGCATAGTAGAATAAGCCCCTGAGAACAACCGACTGTTCAACAATTCACTGTACCTCAATTATGGTGGAGTGTCCAATTTTAGGAGGAGATGTAAAGGTCCTACCCTACAGAGGTGAGTCGGAATTCCGATTTCCGACGTTTTTTTCCTTCCGATTTCCGAAAAAATTTTGATTTCCGAGTTCCGACTTTTGAGCCTTTCCGATTTCCGGCCCTTCCGATTTCCGACACCTCTGACTGTTCCGACCCACCTCAGCTACCCTAATCATATGAATATTGTCAATTTAAATAAAAAATTTTAGAAAAATACAAATGTAAACTTGGGCAAAGCTGTCGCGTTTTTAAAAGAATATCCTCCCAATTATTTTGACCTGACTGGATCTTTTACAAAAACACGTAAACACATTGATGATTTGATAAAAGAATATAAAGGGAAAATTGAAGAGAAGGAGAAATTCTTTAAAGGACTTTTGAAAGGCTTTGTAAAGATTATTATTGCTAACAATTTTGATTTTACACAATGTGGAAGTAAAAATAATGAGAAGGATGATCTGTCGGAAAAGCCCGACTGTGATGGGAATAAGCCTCAAAATTGGAAGTTACCTGAAGGGAATGATTGGATGCTGTATCATAATGAAGGTGTCGATGTGGAAGGATTTGTGAAATTGAAAACATTGAGGTTAGGAAAAAAACTTTATTTTTAATAAAAAACATTTATTAAATTAAAAACATTAGTAGGGGGAGGTCGAAATATATGACCAAAAATCTTCAAAATTTTGAAAATTTTCGCTAATTTTTGCTTAAATTTACCAAAAAATGACCAAATATGGACAAAAATATTCAAAAACGAAGAAAATCGATATAAAATATGGATATAAAATATGGATATAAAAATCTTAAGTGTCAATACAATAATCTTCGGTTATTTGCATACAAAAATGATAAAAAATATCTTTCCCGCCAAATTTTTTTCTCCACAAGAATTCTTCAATATAACTGTTTAATAATCCCCCATCTGTCCCATAACGCTGTTTATGATCCTGTTTGAATTTCTGCCATTGGGAGAAATGTAGTGTGTTTGATTGATGTGAAGAAGAAAAAGGGAGAAGGAAAGGCTGACCATTGTGTACAAAATAAGGTTGATTGATGGTGGAAAGAGAAATGAGGGCGTGGCTCAAAAAGCATACCCAAACTGCATAAGTTCCTAATAATTATTCTCTCAAAAATAATTACCATCCATTTTTTACTCACAGTCCGTCTCAACCATTCTCAAATTACTAGTCCATTTCCTTAATTGCCTAAATCATTGCCTAAATCATTTTATGTTTTCGTAAATCAATAAGTCACTGTTGTGTCCGCACTTGCAGAAAGAATATAAATGAATAAAAATAACCCATCATCGGGTTGGATGGTGGCACAGTCGGTTGTGCTTCGGTTTGGGCCCTTTCCGTGATGGTTGAATTCCATCTCCCATCCAATGAATTTTTCCACAGCCTAGACATGAACTCGTATATAATAGTCACTAAACACACAATTCAACAACATATAATAAATTCATTTTAACAGAGATGACTTGCTACAGAAATTTGGAAAATTCCAAAAAATTGATTTTATCAATAGTATCAGCAAAGAAAATTTTGAAGAATTTATTTTTGAAGATAAAACAATAGAAAACACATTAGAGAGCATTCTAAACCATTTAAGTGAAAAATGTGAAGAAAAAGAGGAAGAATTTAACAAAATACTACGCTCGTTGGAAGTAAAAGTTATAAAAACAGAAAAAAATGAAACCGCAAATGTTAGAAAATTAATAGAGAATTTAATAAGTTCGGAGGAGATACATGTAAAAAAGCGAACATTGAAAAACATGCATATAATTTTAAAAATGCATGATTGGGAGAAGGAAATAAAAAATAAAGTACAAAATAAGGTTGAGATTACTGACGAACAAAAAAATTTGCTAGAGATTAAAGACAAAGAGACAACAGACAAAATGGCAAAGGACAAAATGACAACAAACAAAATTGCAAAGGACAAAGAGACAATAGACAAAATGGCAATGGACAAAACAACAACAGACGAGAAAACAAAGGATAAAATAACAGTCAAACCGAAAAAAGACAAAAAGACAAGGGACAAAATGACAATAGACAAAATGCCAATAGACAAGATTACAAAATTGCATGATGAGGAGAAGGAAGTGGAAAATAAAATTGAGTTTAGTGATGTACAAAAAGAATTGTTAGAGATAGGTGGCATGAAAGACAGAATGACAGAAACTATGTTAGAGATTTTGAATATAATATATACAAAGAATGAGATTACAAAAGAAGAAGTTGAACATTTATTGGAAGAAAAGCTTGGACGAATATCAGAGGCAGAGACTGAATTCAGCAAGTCAGGGTATATTGATCTGGAAAAGAAAAGGAACACTTTTTTGAGCATAAAAAACTTTATAAACGATTATAAACAAGCAGTGGAAAAAATTATTTTATCTTTAAATGAAAACAAAGTAAGATCTTCACTCCATAGCGGATTTTTAAATACAAAAATTCTCGAATAGTATAATTTTTCTCTTTTTGTATTAACTCCACACTCAGTTAACAGTCTGTTGTTGAGTGACTTGTTTAAGGAGGGTGGCTGATAAGTATATGGCGGATAAGTACAGGGCTGATAAGCATATCTAATATTCCTAGGAACCTTAAAATCCCTACATATATCATTATATCCGTCCAAATCCCTTCAAATCCGCCTATAGCGATTCCAATTACTCTTGATCTCTTGATAAAATTTTTTCTAATTTTCTAGCCAGAAATACAACAAATAACAACAAACTATAAAAAACAACGTTTGTATCGAGGTATGAACGATGCTGTTGAAATGCTTTATATAAGTTCGTATCGTTTGGCTTTGAGTTCTGAACAAACATTAAAAAGTATAGGAGAAAATTCTGAGGAAATGAAGAAAAAAGTGGAGAATTTAAAAGTTAAAATAGATGAGAATATTGCTAGTATATCGAGTAAATATGGAGTAAGTGCGGAGAAAGAAGTGAAAAAATTAGAAGAGAGAAAACTACTGAAACTGGGAGATATAAGATTGGAAAACGTAGAAGATATAAATAGCATTGACTATTCAAGTATTAGTAAATATTTGACGAGAATTGAAGAATTGAAGAAAGATTTGAAGCGAATTTTGAAAGAAGAAAAAAGCTTTAACGGAGACGAAATCGATTATGAGCAAATAAATGGTTTGGAAGAGGATTTAGAGAAACTAAGAGCAGATGAATATGAATTAAAGAAAATTTATAATCTAGAAAATTTGGAGATTGATTTGTTAGATTCTATATTTCATAAAGACACAGTTACTAGTTATTTTAAAAAATTTGAGAAAGAGGAGAAAAAGATTGATGGTAAAAAATCACACAGCTTTGGAAAAGAGCGTGAGACTCAAATGGCTATTAAAGAAGAGGAAAGTTCTAGTATAAAAGCAAACTTAAGAAAAAGTAAAAGTTCAAAACCAAGTTTTTCTTCGCAATCAAGTTTAAATTCACAGTCAAGTAACAGTTTACAACCAAGTCTCAATTCACAATCAAGTTTTAATTCGCAAACAAGTAGCGATTCGGGAGAAAGTTCTTCCCAGAAAAGTTTGAATTCTTTTTCAAGGATTAGTCGTATTAATCATGGTATTAAAATGTTTAAAAAGAAACTTAGTAAATCAGCAGTAATGGAGGATATTGCTAACAAGCTGGAGGGTTTGTTTTTAGTTTTTATATTTTTGAGTATCTCTCATAGTTGGGTAGCTCCCTCATAGCCTGGTGATAGCTAACAAATGAGAAAGTATAGTAGTAATGTATGGAGTCTGGAAGTGAGTCAGTTAGTTTAGTCTACAGTTAGTCGTTAGTCTATTCCGTTAGTTAGTCAGTCAGTCTTAGCCTTGTACTCCAGCGGTTAGTCGTATTCCTATTGTTCACCTTTATTGTATAGTATTGTGGATAAACCTTGTTAGTCAGTTAGCTAGTCTTTCTTTCAGTATCAGACACACCGCAAGTCGATACATAACAATTATCAGATATGAGAAATAGGCCAGAGTGCTAACTTAGCTAAGCCTGTTCTATGAATTTTATGAAACAAGTAAAAAGAGGCAACTATATCTAGGTATTTTACCAAGGAGCTGCCAAAATCCGCCCCTATTTTTATATCTCCTTATTTAATCTAAAATATAATTATAGAAGAGTCAAATCCAAGAGAAGATCCTAACGAGAAAGAAATTAACACGATAGTCAAAACAATAGAAGATAACAAAGAAAAGGTGATGAAAGTGTTTGACGGAATTGAAAATGCGGCTGAATCGTTTAGTGCCAAAGAATCAGAAAAAAATGAAATTAGAAATGAGGAGAATAAACTAAACCTTGAAAATTACAAAGAAGTTGGGGTGACTGATGATATGCTTACTTTATTAAATCAACTGTTGAAAGAGAAATCAGATGAAAAACATTGACAAAATATCTAACGGATGTATAAAGAAGACATTATTATTTTTTAAATATTTTTACTATTTCTTAGCTAAACACTTTCAATTTAAGATTTACACAGGTATCTTCGATTTGTTTCAGTGAGAGGCGGGTACCTGGGTACCATTCTAACCCTCATACTAAACCGTCATTTCCCCATTTTTAACCTTCTGCTGTTTCCCCAATTTCACAATCTTTTTTTAATATATTCTGCCTTGCTTTGATTAATGCTGCTTTGATTAAGACCTAGAAATCAAATTTTTTATTGTCATCTTTTTGTACTTATTCCTAAATTTAAGTTATATTAACTTTGAGACAAACTTTAAAGGGAGCTTTATCATGTATTTTATTTAATTTATTCATTTTTGTAAATTATCATTTTATAAATGGATGTAGTATTTATGATATTTTGGATTATATAGTAAAAGTTGTATATTTTTGTTATTCATGATTTTATTGTCACAATAAGCATAGATTTTTTTGGGAAATACCGCATTTATTCTACTACAATAACATAGAGATAATTGACCTGTATTTTATTATAAATAAATAATTATTTATAATAAAATCTAAATCTTAAATTTAATTAAATAAGGATAGTTAAAATACTAAGGATTATTTCAGAAACTGAATTTAATATTTATTATAATAAATTATTGTTATAAAATGGAAGAACATAGATCTATTCAGAATAGACAAAAACAGATAGACAAAAACAGATAGACAAAAACAGATAGACAACAACAACAATGAGCAACAACATTTTAATAACATATTACTAAATAATAATAACTTTCCTTAGGTTCAGAACCAAAATTCTCTTATTCGAAATTTTTCTGTTTTCATTCTAAAATATTATATTAATAACATATTACTAAATAATAACTTTCCTTATCTAGATCATTCAAAAAATAAAGTAAAAATAAATAAGATCTAAATAATCATAGAGATAATTTACCTATAGAGGCATCTATTATTCTAGATCTTTCAAAAAATAAAGTTAATTTTTTTTTGCTACTTGACTATTTCTCGCCCTTTGTGGTATTTGGGTTTTTATAAGAGCTTCGTCAATTTCAGCTGTTAAAATACATATATTCTTTTATCATAATAAACCTATTTTTTGGATTATTCAAAAAATAAGAAGCCGCTACATATCGACAAAACATCTCCATATCTTGGTACTATGTCGTTTAACACCGCCTTACGGCTAGATGAATCCCTTACAAAAATTACAAAAATAAATTAGTTGTTGAACTATCAGAACTTTTTATTTCCTGCCTTTCTCTACCTTCCTCAAATTGCATTGATGGTCATCGTCCTTTCATTCCTCTCATAGCATCTCTACTTTGAAATTCTGTCGAGAACTGAGCTGATAAAGAGTTTGTTGACCTTGCAATTCTCTCGGAAAAATAAATGCCACTTTCTAATATTAAGTAAACAAAAATACGGTTTGAAAATCGAAGGGCTGCATTTCAATTAGAATAAATACGGTAATCAATTCTAGACATTTTATTAGATTTTTAAAAATCAGACAGTCTGAGAAAGTCAATAGACAAAGGAAATTTTAGCCCTTCTGTCTGGAAATTTCCAACATTCAATAAATTCAATATTTTATATTGCCATCACTATAGACATCTCCTGACATCCCCTTAATGGCATGCCCTGACTTATCGACTGCCATATAAAGACGTCTTCATTGTTAAACGCTCTTTCAATTAGCCAGTGAGAATCACACTTCTTCCCCCCTCCTCGCTTCTCCTCCTTGCTCCCTTCTTCCTTCTTCCCCCTCCTTGCTTCTTCCCCTCTCCTTCTTCCCCCTCCATGCTTCTCTATTCATTTGTTTAAAAATTTTCATATGGCAAGTCGCTAGTCGCTAAAAACTTTTTTTAAAAATTAAATTTGAGTAAATATTTTCAGAAACTAAAATTTCTAAAATGAAAAAGAAAGTGTTCAATTTAACACTAATTCTGGTCATTTTCAATGTTTCCGTGTCATGTAATTTTAGTGAGGAAGACGATTTTGTATCGGCAGAAGACATAAATTCTGAAGAAGATTTTGTAAATTCAATAAATGAATTGCCCCCACACTTCAACAAATTTATGTTAGTTATTTTACGTAATCTTATATGAACTCCGTAATCCATTTCGCAGCCCATCCCCCCCCCCCCCCCGAAAAACGATTTTTCCAATTATTAGTTAAATTTTAGATATAATAGAATATCATTTACTGGGCACAACGGCAAACTAACAAATTTAAACTAGGGTTCCGGTTATTAAGTTCCCTGGTTTCCGCTTATCACCGGTTTTTAATCCACAGTTCTCAGCTTCGAATGATTAACCAAAAACTAGTTTTCGGTTCTGTTACCGACCGTTAACCGATCGACTTAGGCTCTTAATTTTGTTCGCATCCTTGTCTACGACTTTATTTCGTACCTAAACTTATTCAAAACATTTAACCTTTATTTTATTATATTTTACATTTTTAGAACTCTGCCAGAGGAGTTAGAGAAGAGAGAATTAGATAAGGAAAAAAACAATCAAAAATTATGGGCAATGTTTGAAGAAGAGTTAAACTGGGAAGATGAAGGTATGTAATGCTTTGGAAGTCCCCCCCCCCTCCTTTCTTTTTCATTCCCTCTTTCTATGGAACCTTTGCTAAGGCAGGAATTTTGTGTGTAACATAACTGTGTTAGAGCATTCTATTCCCGTAAATGTATGAGCCTATCGAAATAGAATTGGGGCTTAAGAACATAACAATTGGAACTGGGGAGAGCAGGCAAAGTTGATAGTTTGAGTCCCTTTCATTTTACAACATGAGGAAACAACATGAAAATGGGAAGGGACTCAAACTAACAAATTTGCTGTTTTCACAGATCTAATAATAATATTTTAAAAATTCTTGAAATTTAGATTCAATCAACTATGATTCCGAGTCAGGCGCGGAATTGGCTAGAAGCAATAATCTCCAAAATTCTACGAGCCTGAAGAAGAATGGCCACGAAGGAATTAAGTTGGATATTGATGAAGTTGCTGCTCACATAAATGAACTGAAAGCTTTTAAAAATAGTAAAGGAACTCAGAAAAATGTTGAATTGCATGGCAGTAAACGTCGTGAAAATTCTGGAAGTCAGAAAGATAAAAACGGCTTAAAAGCTCTGCGTTCTTTTGGTAGTATAAAAGCTTATCTTTCACCTTCTAAAAGCCAAAAAGGCCTGACCGAAGGAAGTCAGAATTCTCCAAAAATGACGGGGTCATCTATGGGATCGCCTACCGGTTCGTCATCTAATGGTGAACCTCTGTTACAACATTCTGATAGTCAAAATGGAAGATCGGAGCAGGGAAGAAGGAAAATTGAAGAGATTAATGATGCATTTGGAATATTTAAATATTATTTAAGTGCAAATAAAAATTTTGAGATTTACAAAGATATTAAAAACAAGAATGAAAAGTTGCCTAGCAAACATAAAATTAATTATATGCCAGAATGGGATCAGGACAAGACTTCTGAAACTATTAAAGGCATGATTACCGAAAGCAAATATGGTGAAGTTGACGAGAAAACTAGCTTGTTGATTGAATATTTAAACAAAATGATAGCAACACCTCAAATAATGGAAGCTAGCGATATAAAAACTTCAATAGGTGTTATTGAAAAAAATCGTGATCACATGACACATTCAATTTATGATGAGGCTTATATCAAAAGTGTATTGCATGATATTCAGGTATAAGTATCGTTTTATAAAGAACACACAGGTATAAGGAATGTTAGGTATATATATGTTAGGTATATGTTAGGTATATAAAGTATAAAGGCGCTAGCATTTAGTCACTCCGTATCAGTCGAGCTTTCAAGCATTGCCTCTCAAAATTTTAACTAACGTTGTCAGTGGCCACCAGCCACCCTTAGGATGATTTTTTTATTCATTCATATTCTTCCTGCATGTGTGGGTACAGTTGTCAACCCCATCGGGAAGAAATACAGATATAAATTGATGGTAATGTGTATTAATACCGAATACAAACACTAAACTAGCAAGTAACACAGATTAAGATCTCCAAATCAAGGGCCTAATAACTTTTAAATCATAACCTTGAAAAATATAAAAAATATTTTTAGAAAAAAACCAATGGACCATTAGGCAAAATCATTGAAATTCTCAAGGACTATCCTCCCGGTTATTTCAATCTGAGCGAATCATTTATCACTACACGCAATGACATAACAAAATTAACGTCAAGTTTAAAAGAAAGAGTTGAAAAAATTGAAAAGTTATTTAAAAATAATTTAGAAGGGTATATAAAAAATATTGTGGCTGAATATTTCAATTTTACGCAATGCGGGGTTGAGGAAGTAAAAAGGACTATATTGGGAAATAGGGTGCCGGAGTGTGATGGAGATAATCCGAAAGATTGGGTTTTACCTACACCTGATGAGTGGGAAGTATATTGTAAGAAAGAGAATTGTGGAACTGAAATTCTTGGTGAAAAGGAGTTGAGGTAATTTATTTATTTTAAATTGTGAGTCTTGCTCTAGAGATATAGAGGTCTCTCTCTTAACTTTCTAAAGAGCAATAGTGGGCTCCTGTCCCGATTATGCATCCAATCAACTCTTAACGATCAATGAAAAGTTTATGCGCCAAATGAAAAGATTACGGGTCCAAATAAATGTACAGAGCACATAAGGAAAAACTAAAAACGATACCGATGAAATTTTCGGTATTTGCCGGTATTACGGTACTTGCTCTAAAGAGTACTCTTTTTAAGTCCAAAAAAACCTTAAACAAAATTTTTTCTTCCAGAACAAATTTACTAAACAAATTGAATGGATTTAAAAATGTTAATTTTGTCGAAGTAATCAAGGAAGGAAAAGATGAAAAATGGTTTATAAACACCTTTAAATATGAAAATGAACCTTTATTAAAATTTTTAAAATTTACAAAAGAAAATCTTGAATTAAAGTTAGAGGAAGAGAGATCAATAAAAGGGCAAGGTATTATAGAGGGGCATAAAGTAGAGAGCGAAATAATGGAAAAAATAGAGGGGCATAAGGTAGCAAGCGAAAAAGGGAAAGGAATAAAGGATTGGTTGGTGGAACAGATAGAGGAAATGTTAAAAACTGAAAATTGGAAGGATACAGTGAAAAAGATGCTGAAGAGAAAGAAGAGTTTAACTCGAATGCTAACATTTTTGGAAATATATAATGAAGTAGAGGATAAAATAGAGAAGAAAGAAGAGTTAGCAAGTGAGAATAAAGCAGAAATTGCGGAGAGAAGCAAGGGAAATGAAGAGATGGAGAAGAAAATAGATACGCAAGATAAGGGGAGAAATCATAGGAAGATACGTAAAGAGAGGAACAAGGAAGAGTATGGGGAGGAGAAGAAAGCAGAAATTGGTGATCAGAAGAAATCAGACATAGGCAAGGAAAAGAAGAGAGATGAGCAAAAGGTGCGGGATCACAGGAAGATTGGCGAAAAGGGGAACAAGGAAGAATTTGGGGATGAGAAGAAAGTGGAAGGAACTAAAGAATATATAGACGATGAGACGTTGGAAAAAATAACAAAGCTTTTAAACAAAAAGGTGAAGAAAACGTATGGGGAAAAACTACCAATGGAAGATCGTGAAATATTGAACGATATGTTATATATTTGTATAATATATAGAAATGAAAGAAAAGATTTGAGAAAATATATGAAAGATATAATTGATAAAAAATTGTTAGAGGTGAAGAAATTGCTTGAAAACCCGATGAAGAAAAATTTGGAAACTTTACTAAATTTTGTTAAATATTATAACAAAATTGTAAACGAATTTGCTAAGTTTATTGAAACAGAAGTGAAAGTAAGTTCATTGATTTTTAATAATACGACGTTTTCAATGACATCTATGGCATGTGTTTTGTTAAGTGTCACGCCAGTATGTAAAGTAAATCCGAAACCCAATCTCCAAAACCCGCCTTTTATCGTTCTGAACCATACAACCCTTGATAGCCTCGGTGTCAATTCCAACTACATACAATTCTCCGTTATTTTATCGAGTGTCAAGTGTTCATGAGTGCATCCATTTCAAGAAATTTATAAAATAATTTGTTTCGCTTCATTTCTCCTGAAAGAAATTGGAGGTTTGAAAAGTTCGATTTTAAATGCACCTGTTTATAATGACATCCCTTTCGACGTTTTTTGAGTGGTTTTTTTATCGATACGCATATAATTGTAGACGTAAAGACATGATTTATTTTAAAAACTTTTATTTTTATAGACAAAACTTCCCGACATTACACATTATAAAAAACTACGTTTGTATCGAGGTATGAACGATGCTGTTGAAATGCTTTATAGAAATTCATATCGTTTGGCTTTGAGTTCTGAAAAAACATTAAAAGCATTAGGGAATATTTCTGAAAATAAGAAAGAAGTGGAGGAATTAAAAGCTAGAATTGATAGGAATGTAAAAAAAATATCAAAATATCGACTGAGTGTGGGGAAAAAATTTGAGAAAATAGAAGATACAAAGAACGATGGACATTCGAGTATAATTGAATATTTTGAGAAAATTAAAATGTTGGAGAAAGGTTTAAACGAAAACGAGTATGGAAAAATAGATAATTTGGAAAAGTGGTTAGACTTTTTAAAATACATTAAAAATGAATTGAAGCGCTTTTATATATTAGAAAAATTGGGGAATGAGTTGTTAGAGTCTGACAAATTATATAAAAATACAATTTTTGGTTATTTAAAAAGAATTGAGAAGGAAGAGAGAAAGATTGACAACGAAAAATTTTTAAATGAATGCTTTGATTCAAAAGGGAGTAGCTTTGGCTTTGGAGGGACATCAAAGGGGAGCAGCAGCTTTGGCAGCGTTGGAGAGACTTCAGATTCTGACTCTTCCGGTCGGGTTCTTCCGACTCTTAAAATCAAAGCTGATTCGAGTTTGAAATCATGTGGAAGTAGTAACTCTAATTCCCCACGACTTTGGTTTTCTAAACTTTGTGCATCAAGGAAACAGACTGTTGAGTCTCCGAGAAAGAATGCTACAAATATTAAAGGTTATTTTTAAAATTAAGGTTATTAGCTGGGCCTAGTGTAAACCCAAGCAGAAAATTATTCTATATGATGGGTATTAGTCTTTAGTATAAAAGCCATTTGTTTAGTAGCAGCCTCGGTGTTAGTTTATTATACTGGTAAGAGAGAGGTATCAGCTTCTCTATGCATGCATTGGTCCTGTAACCTCCTATTTAGTGCAGCTTGTTAGTTAATGTCTTATCGCGTTTATTCTTTTACTAAGACATTGGAGTCTGCTCTTTTACACTATGTATTTATTAGAGTTCGAACCCGGGCCGGGCCCGGACCGGTTTTTTCCGGGCCCGGTGGCCCGGAACCGGGTATTTTTGAGAAAATCCGGTTTTTCCGGGCTAACCGGTTTTTCCGGTTTTAACCGGAAAAACCGGCCCGGGTGCGATTTTGTGTAAAAAAACCGGGTCCCGGGCCCGGTAATTTTTTGCCGGGCCCGGAGAGTCGCCTCCGGCGGTGAAAAAGGAAGAAATCTGGCCTCTTGACCTTTCGAAATTCTCAAAATTTTCGCCTGCGGCGCTGAAAAAAAAAGAAATTTTGCTCCTTGCCTTCCAAAATTCTCAAAATTTTCGCCTGCGGCGCTAGAAAAAGAAGAAATGAAGCTCCTTGTACACACAAATTCTCAAAATTTTCGTCTCCGGCAGTAAAAAATAGAGTTGGCCGGTATCGAGATTTAGAGAAAAACCCGGGATCGGGATTTTGGAATGGTGATCCCGATCCCGGATCCCGATACGGGATCGGGATTGGCCGAAATCGGGATCGGGATTTGGACTGGAGATCCCGGTCCCGATCCCGGATCGGGACCGGGATTGAAAACTCGGGATCGGGATTTACTAAAAAAATTTTTTTTAAACTTTTAAATTTTTATTTTCTTCACAAACGACTTAATATAATTCTAAAATTTCCACTGCGGTGCTGAAATATTGAGTTAAAGTTTCATAGACGCATGATTTACTTTCCGGTTCAAAGTATTAAGGGGGATAAGGTAATGGGAGGGGGGGGGGGGATAAATTGGATTGGGCTTTTGATTTTTAAAAAATTTGCACCTTTTGAAAGGTTTTGCACATTGGCCTTCCAAATTTTGAAGGCCAAAATGCCAGATTTCCTCCCTTTTAAGCCTCGCAGGCAATAATTTTTAATCTTGAAAGGCCAAGGGCATTTAAGTCTAGACGTTCAAGTCTATGTGATTAAATGCGTTTCGTTCAAATGTGGACGATTAAGATCTGAAATTGAGTGATTAAGCGATATATTCCTTTAATCGATCCTTTGTATGTTTTCCGATCCTTTGTATGTGTGATAATTTTTTTATGTTTTTAATAAATTTCGAAAAAACCGGGTCCGGGCCCGGGTCTGAAAAAATCCGGTTTTTCCGGGCTAACCGGTTTTTCCGGTTTTATCCGGAAAAACCGGTCCGGGTGCGATTTTGAGAAAATAAAACCGGGTCCCGGGCCCGGCATTTTGAAAAGTTCGAACTCTAGTATTTATTTTCTGAATTTCAGCAGAAGAAAGCGAGATTGGAACCTATTTAACAATCATAAAAACTTTGGAAGAGAATAAAGAAAAAGTATTTAAAGTATTTGAAGGTATTCAACAAGTAGCAAAATCTTTTATAGAAGAAAAATCAAAGTCCAAAGGAGAAAACAAGTTGGAGAAGCATTCAACAACGACCTCCTCTACCTTTGAAAAGTGTAAAAAAGAAGATAGCGTGCCTGAAGACATTCCAAGCTTACTAAAAGAACTTTTAGAAGAGAAACTTTGATACTGTCATTATTGAATCGCCCTTTATATGGGACACGCCCGAAATGTCGCGCGGCCATAATGTCGCCGAGCCATAACTTGCTTTAAGATTATCGAATCTTTCCAAATTTAGTATTAAACGATTCCTCTTATCGAGCTAAAGAGATTTGTACCAAAATTGATAAGGGCCAGAAATTTTTTAGCAAGTTAAGGCTTGGCGACATTATGGCCGCGCGACATTTCGGGCTCTACCCCCCTTTATATACCTATTTAGGGACATGCCCAAAACGGCGCAAAGCCATAACGGCGTAAAGCCATAACTTGCCTCAGGATTTCTTAAACCTACCAAATTTAGTATCAAAACATTACTCTCATCGAGCTAAAGAGATTGTTACCAAAATTGACAAGGGCCAGACATTTTTCGGCAAGTTATGGCTTTGCGCCGTAATGGGCGCGCGCCGTTTTGGGCTGTTCCCACCTATTTCTGGTACTTTGTTCATCCCCCCCCCCGGGTAGGGGACGACTCATTCCCTCCTTATTTGACTCTCCCAGTCCCTCTCTCCCCTCCCCCCCCCCCCTCCACCTCTCTATTTGAGTTTCATATTAATTTTCCTTTTGTTCTTTTCCGACTCGAAATGGCCAAGTTATTTACCAAGTTATTTTAAGGACCCCCTTTTTGACTGATTTCGCCCCCTTTTCCCCTTTTTTGCCCCTATTTTTACCTCCATTTTGACGGCCCATACCTCTTTTTGGTGATTTGTAACTGCCCCCTTATACTCAAAATTGGGTGATATTTTTAATGTTCTTGTTACCATTGGATAGAGAATCGAATTTGCTACAAAATACCAAAAATTCAAAATTTTCGACTGACCGAACAAAAAGTTATGGTCCAAAAACTAAAAATATTTTCAAAAAATCGCGATTTTTGGCACTTTATCGATCATAACTTTTCTATCGAACATTCAAAATTTTTGATTTTTTGGTATTTTGTAGCAAATTTAATTCTCTATCCATCGGTACCAAGAACACTAAAAAGTGGTCCTCCATTCTTGAGTTATAGTATAAGAAAAGAGCCAATGTGAAGGCGACCAAAATCGGCGATGAAACGTCCATTTATTTTTTATTAAATTTTTCCGGAACGGGACACGCCCAATTAGGCGCACGACCATAACGGCGCAAAGCCATAACTTGCTGGAAAATTTCAGGCCCTTATCAATTTTGGTACCAATCTCTTTAGCTCGATGAGAGGAATCGTTTAATACTAAATTTGGTAAGATTCAAAAATCTTGAAGCAAGTTATGGCTAAGCGCCGTTATGGCCGTGCGCCTATTTGGGTTTTTCTTCCGGAACGTACCACTTGAGTCCTGCAGGTTGAGTTTTTGGGACATATTTTGGGCATAACTTTTTTTATTTTTTACCGATAGAGATGATCAATATATCAATCGAAAGCTTTTGATAAGAGGAATATTTTAGCTAACAGGATTGATTTGATCAGATCATTCTACCAAAAGTTAAAGCCGTCTAAAGACCAAAAATCACGATTGCGCGCACTTATTCGACCATAACTTTAAGTAGGATTTTCTGATCTGGTCAGTCCTGCTAGCTAAAATAATCCTCACATTCAGGGCTTTCGAATGGTAAAAAAATTTTTCAAATCGGTTAAGTTTAAAAAAAGTTATAGCCTAAAATATGCCTCTAGGACTCAATCAGTGTGAGACTCTATTGTCCCCCTACCCAAATTTTTTCGAAAAAAAAATTTTTTTAATTTTTTATTTTCTGTAAATGTATCACTTTTATGAATGATTAAACGTTTTATTCGTTCCTTTCTTGAAATGTTAAACAATACTTCAATTGAATCAACCAATGCCTTAAGAAAACGCTCAGCAGAAGAAACGGCAAATTCAGTCATAAATGGCCCCACTTCTCCTAAAATTCAGAGGAAACCTAAAAAGGTTAAATATGCAATGTTGTTGGCATATCAAGGACAAAATTATTTTGGAATGCAGGTTTTTTGAGAAAAAAAATTTTTTTCGGGGAAGTTTTTTGGGAGGTTATAGTGGCCGTCTTTCGGTTATTTTGGTTCTTCCCCTCCTATAAAAATTTAAAAAAATTCCGGAAACACATTTTCTAAGGTAATTTTTGGTGCTGATTACGAATATTAACTCAGATTTTATTGGATGGTATCCTTAAAATTAGGGTACCACCCCTAGCCTTCGTGGGCGGGAGTGTCGGGTTTCCAGGATTGCCGCGGTTTTGCCCGCATGGGGGTTGGGCGTCGGGCATCTGGTTTTGGGGATCTGGTCGGAGTTTTGTCCGTATGGGTATGGGCGTCGGGCATCTGGTTTTGTCATGGTAAAGCCTTCGGGGGACGGGATTCTACCCTATTTCTAAGCCTTGATTATGGTTAGGAATCTAGACCACATTCCCAATTTTGAATCCGCACAGAAAAATTTTTGCGGACATTTTTTGCGGATTGTCCGCATTTCGGGCCAGTCAGTTTTGAGGCCAACTAATCGATTTTTCTATAAAAAAATTTTTTTCAAGTTTCAAAGAAACCCAAAATTCCCAACCATCGAAAACCACTTATTCAACGCTATGGAAGCCCACGGATTTATAACAAAAGAGCATTATGTTAATTTGATGGATTGGCATTTTCAACGAGCTGCTAGAACTGACCGTTCTGTTAGTGCTGTTGGACAGGTTTTTTTGGAAAAATTTTTTTGATTTTTTGGTTTTAGTTTTTTGGTTTTAGTGTGTGGGGGATTTTAAGTGTCCTTTTTTTAATTTTTGATTTTCTTGGAGCCTAATAAATTTTTTCTGGCCAAGAAAGGGGGCTACCTTTCCATTTTTTTAATTTTTTAGGGGCAGGGAATATTCCATAACTCACTGCCTTTTTCAAATTTTATGACACCCGAAATTTAAAAATTGATAAAATTTTAAGTCATCTCCTTTTTCGATACCCTCATTTTTTAAATTTTTTAAATATTTTTATTAATTCTGAAATGAACAATTTTGGTCTATTTCTTGCCTTAATTTAAGCTCAATTAAATGAAACTTTGTAATAATGTGTGTGGTGTATTGGTTAACGTTCTGGACTTTCCCCTCTTTTTAGGAAGGTTCGATTCCTCTGTGCTCTTTTTGTTTTATTTTATCCTTTTTTAAACTTTAAACGCCTTAGTATTTTGTTTTTTTCTCATTTTAAAATTTTTTTGGAATTTTTTGGCTTTAAAAAAGATTTATTTTTTTATTTTTGGTTGTCCGCAAAAATTTTTTTGTCCGCAAATTTTAAAATTTAAATTTCCTTAATTTTTTCTTTAATTTCTTTTATTTTCTATTTTTCCAGGTCTGTTCTATGCATTTACCAATGGATCAAAATTTTATTGATAATGGACCGGCTCTTTTAAATACTTCTCTTCCAGAAGATATTCACGTTTTTGCTGTTAGACGAGTGGTATTATTTTTTAATTAAATTAAGGATACCCCCCAGTTGATTCCAAATATCTCATCGTGGGATGGTCACTTTTTAAAGTTTTTGGTATCATTGGATAGAGAATTAAGAGCACTGCAAAATTTAAAAAAATTAAAATTTTCGAGTGCTCGTTAAAAAAGTTATGGGACAAAAAGTCCCAAAAATCGTACTTTTTCAAAAAATTTTAGTTTTTGGCCCACAACTTTTTTATCGATTACTGGATAATTTTACTGTTTTTGTCGTCTTGTAGAGCTCTTAATTCTCTATCCAAGGGTATCAAGAACTTTAAAAAGTGACCACCCCTTGCTGAGTTATTAGCAAAATTATTGGGTCACTTGATAATTTTTTTATCGTTTTAGACGCCTTCTTTCCACGCTCAAAAATCTTGTGATTCTCGTACCTATTCGTATACTCTTCCAACATTTTCCTTTGCTTCTATGGATGAGGTTTTTAAATTTATTAAAAAAATTTTTTGTAATTAAAAGCTGGGCACTTTGACTTTAGAGATCGAGCTGGATTTGGACCAAGGCGAATTTTCAGACGCATTTTTTCTTTCAAAAAAGAAGGCATCTGAATACATACGCTCTTGCGCCCTGACAGCCAACCTATAGCTTTAGCTTTCTCAACCCTTGAAAATTAAAGAGAATTTTACCTCGTTTTTTAATGACCCAGAGCCCAAGCATTTTTTGGCCTTCCTGGATTTTTCCTGGGCTTCGATTTTTCCTCGACCACGTACCCAGGATCCAGCACAAGTCATTAAATCAACTCCAGGAACAGGCCCAGGCTTTTCAAAAATCTCGATCTCTACTGGACTTCACCCTAAGCTCGTGCGCCCTAACAAACAAGCCTTAACTTTTCCAACTTTTGAAAATTAAGAAGAATTCTACCTCCTCCTTTTATAATGCCAAAAACATATTTGCGTGCATACAATAGTATTTTTACTTTAACTAGGCCGTGGTACTTACTGGACAACCCTTAATCTCCATTATTTCCACTTCCAATAGGTTTCAATTTTTTATGCACAAGTGTCTGTCCGCAAACTCAAAAAAAAAATATTTGCGGACAAAGAAAAATTTTTTTGCGGACAGAAAAATTTTTTGCAGACAAGTATTTTCCAACAAAACTGAAACCTACTGGAATTGAGGTATAATTTCGGATCCCTTTTCCCAATTTCGGGGGGGTGGGGCTTTAGCCCCAGAAGCCCCCCCCCCCTTGGCTACGCCCTTGTAATTTCGGAATACTAAACAGACTCCGATTGGGACAAATTATATGTCATTCGACTCAGCTCGGCTAACTATGAGCCGAGATACAGGGCTCGAAATGGTCAAAAACCATAGGGGGGACCAAGCACTTTTTAGGGGTGAAAAATTCGAAAATGCAAATAGTAGCCCATTCGAAAGAGCTCCTCGAGCTGAGTCGAATGAGACCAAAATGAGCGAAATCCGATTTGATTTGACAAAGTTATGATCGTTTGTTTTAGCTCTGTACCTTTGTTCTCCGTGGATGTTCTTGCTGTTTAGTATTCCGAAATTATTCCTGGAATTGAAAATAAAGGCCATTAGGATTTATTATGCCGAGGAGTTACCTATTTTATAATGTCCGCATTTTCTGTCCGCAAGTTTATTTTAATGTCCGCAAAAATTTTTTATAAAAAATTTTTTTATCTTCCTCCAATAAGAATTTTTTATAAATATTTTATAATTTTTTAAATAATAAAATTACAAAAAAATAAATTAATTTTTTAGGTAACATCTGATGAATACAGAATTTCCCCAAAACGTATTGAAGAATTAAATGAATTACTTGGGTGTTATGTTGGATCACACAACTTTTTTAATTACACTTCTGGATTGTTAGTTTTCTTTTTTTATTTTTTTTAAAATTATTTTTTAGACTTTAAAATATTTTTAGAAATTTTTAAAAAAATTTTTTGGAATTTTTTAAAAAATAAATTTTAGCCTCTGTTAGCTTCCCCCCTTATTTTTGCCCTATTCCCCTTATTTTCCCTTTAATTCTTAATTCTTATTTATTTACCCTCTAATGTGTGGGGCTGTAACTCAGTGGTAGAGTGCTTGCTTAGCATGCAAGAAGTCGCCGGTTCAATTCCGGCCAGCTCCAGCTAATTTTTTCTGGTCTAAAAATTGGTTTTAAAAATTTCTAAAATTTTTTTGAGAATTTTTAGGGGTCTAGAAATTTTTTGAAATTTCTAAAATATTTCAAAAAAATTTTCCTATATTTTTAAATTAATTTTTAATTTTATAGGGAATTTTCTGACCAAACTGTACGTCGTGTCATTCTTTCAATTACTGCAGAAGAGTAAGAAAAAATTTTTTTTAATTTTTTAAAAAATTTTCAAGGCATCAAAAAAATTTTTTTAAGCCAAAAAAAATTTTTTAGGCCAGAAAATTTTTAAAATTTCAAAAAAAAATTTTTTTTTCTCCACAGACCTTTTCTCTACACCGACCCAATACGTCTTAAACCTGTTGAATTTTTGCGGATTAAAATACGTGGCCAAAGTTTTATACTTCACCAAATTAGAAAAATGATTGGTAGGGATATTTAAAAAAATTATTTAAAAAAATAAATTTTGGGTTACTTTTCAGATTTTATTTTTCCTTTAAAAATTGTTTGGAGGCTTAAAATCAAGGGTGTAGAGGGCATATTAAGGCCATATTTTGGACCATAACTTTTTCAAACCTTAACCGATTTAAGTGATTTTTGCAGCAATCGAAAGCTCTGGATGTGAGGATTATTCTAGCTAACACAATTTATTTAATCAGATCACCCTACAAAAAGTTACATTTGGATAAGTACGCACAATCGTGATTTTTGACATTTATTCGGCTGTAACTTTTAGTAGAATGATCTGATCAGTTCAATTCTGTTAGCTAAAATAATCCTTAAATCTAGAGCTTTCCCCCAACTCTTTATTCTCTGACAAAATTTTTGTCCCCGTCCCGGATCCTTGACAATACTTTTCCCCCACATCCCCGTTCGAGGGGAAAATTCTCACTAGCGGATCGGGGATCAATCTTAATTAACATTTAAAAGTCTTGAAAAGCTACCAATTTATTAAAAAAATTTTTTTAAATTTAATTTTTTCAAGGCACTGTATTAGCAATAATGCGTGGATTTATGTATAAAAGTGATGTTGCACGTTCATTTTTAGCTGTAAGGATGGATATCCCAAAAGCTCCTGGACTTGGACTTTTGCTTGGTTCGGCTCTTAAAAATTTATTTTTTTAGGATTTCCAAGTTCTCCAAAAAATTTCAGAATTTTTGGATCAGAATTTCAGAAATTATGACCAAAAATGTCGCTTAACTACCCAAAAATGCCCAATTTTTCGAGGTTTATTGACTATAACTTGAAAAATATTTGATGAAAATTTTTGAAATTTTTGGAGAATGTAGTCAAGTATATGAAGAAATTTTGGGAAAATTTTCAAAAATTTAGGGTTAGCCTAGGTGTCAGTATTGAAGAGCGCGCCAAGAACAACCAGGCGCCCAAACAAACCCAAACCCTTAAGTTTTCCGGAAGGAAAAAAACTTTTACGGAAGGAAATTTTGTTGAGTATTAAATTGGAATCAGACATTGGGGATATCTAAGGGTTCGGTTCGCCTCAAAAAAATTTTTTTGGAATTCGTCCATGTCTAATTTAAAGTTCTTCAGTTCTCTCCCTCCCTCCCCGAGGTCCCTCGTCTTTACCCTTTCATTGTTTTTTAAGTAAAAATTTTTTTGGGAATTCGTTCATGTCTGATTGAAAGTCCTCTCCCACCCCACTTCCCCTTGTATTATTTTCTAATTAAAAAAATTTTTTTTTCTTAAAGAACGCCTCCATTACGATCGCTATGAAAAACGTTTTGAAAAAACCCATGGTTCCTTGAATAATTGGGGGGAAGAAATTGAGACTCAACTACTTGAATGGAGAGATAAAATGATTATGGATAAAATTCTTAGTGAGGAATGCCGGACACAATCGTGAGAGAAAATATTTTTAGAATAATTATTTTATAGTCAGACCTCTATATAAGGTACCCCCGACATAAGAGACAACCTCTATTTAAGAGGCGTCTAAACTCGGTCGGCCGAGTTTAGAGCTGTCTGATACCTTCTATTTAATAGACACCTCATTATAATTGTGCCTGGTTATAAGACACCCTCTATATAAGGCACCCCCAATATAGGAGACTATTTCAGAGGCGTCTAAACTTCAGTCGGTCACTAAATGGAGGTGGAGCTGTCTGAATGATACCCTCTATTAAATCTACACCTCATTACAATTTTGCCTGGTTATAAGACACCCTCTATATAAGATACCCCCAATATAAGAGACAACCTCTATTTAAAAGGCGTCTAAACTCGGTTGGTCACTAGATGGAGGTGGAGCTGTCTAAATGATACCCTCTATTTAATATACACCTCATTACTATTGTGCCTAGTTATAGGACACCCTCTATATAAGGCACCCCCAATATAAGAGACAACCTCTATTTCAGAGGCGTCTAAACTTCGTCGGCCACTAGATGGAGGTGGAGTTGTCTGATACCCTTTATTTAATATACACCTCATTACAATTTTGCCTGATTTAAGACACCCTCTTTATAAGATACCCCCAATATAAGAGACAGCCTCTATTTCAGAGGCGTCCAAACTCGGTCGGCTACTAGATGGAGGTGGAGCTGTTTAAATGATACCCTCTATTTAATATACGCCTCATTACTATTGTGCCTGTTATAGGACACCCTCTTTATAAGATACCCCCAATATAAGAGACAACCTATATTTAAGGGACGTCTAAACTTCGATCAGCCACTAGATGGAGCTGTCTAAATGATACCCTCTATTTAATATACACCTCATTACAATCTTGCCTGTTTATAAGACACCCTCTATATAAGATACCCCAACATAAGAGACATTAGAAAACGTCTCTTAAGTAGAAACGTCGCTTATATTGGGGGTATCCTATAAAGAGGGTGTCTTATAATTTGGTTAACCTCTTCGCGGGAGACTAGCCTAAGCGATACCTTCTATTTAAGATACCCTCAGTATAAGGCTTAAATTTCAGTTATAAGCGAATTTCAGCCTGAAAAAAAAATTTTTTTCAATAATTTTATAAATAATTTAATAGAATGATGAGATGGTTAACTACATTACCTGCCCACAATTACATTACTGATCCTGAAGATGAAACTGGTGATAAAAGCATAAATAAAGATTTATGTGCGGCTGCTAAAAATACTTATGTAAATTTTGAAGTTTCTAGGAATTTACCTAAATGTAGGGGTTCCCTAATGTCGTGACCTCAAGTGACGGGTCCTCAAATGTCGGAATGACAAATGTCGGGCACATTATTAACAAGGGGTACTGAAAAGTCATGCTTTCTAATGTCAGGTGTCAGGGTTATTAAGGACGTCCACTGGTGTCGTGTTCCCTAATGTCCGATGATCAAATGTGTTCACTAATATATGGTGGTCAAATGTCCACTAATGTTTTCGAAGGGAGAAGATCGATGACCAAACATTAAGGAACACATTAAATAACCCGACATTTGGGATCAAATGTCGTGCTTTAAAGTAAAGTCCTATAAAGAGGGTGTCTTTAAAGTAAAGTTTCAAATAACGGGTATTTGATGTGCTCCCTTAATGTCTGGATGTCAAATGTCGAATTCTCACATGCCACAATTTCCTTTCCGAATAGAACACCCCTTCATTTTTAACAATTTTTTAGGCTGCAGCTGTCGGTTCCGATCCCTCGTCGCTAAATCAATTAATAAATGATGAGGATGTGTCGAATATTGCCGATAATGAAGGGGATGAATTGGAAGAGGTTACTGAACTGGACAATAATGATTTAGAGACTTCGCAAATTGACGAAGAAAACGAAAAGAATTTTGAAAATGAAACGGAGGAGGGGGAGAAAATTGATAGATCAAAAAAATCTGTAGCTATTTAAAAATTGTTTTTTTGGTTAAATTTGTTGATTTATTTTAAATTAGAACATAAAGGTTGCAAGTATTAAAAATTATTTTCAAGAGTTGACTTAAGTTGAGCAAATGTCGCGATCTCAAATGTCGGTTTGCTAACCGTTATGTTATTAAATGTCGTATTGTCAAACGTCGTGATCTCAAACGTCGTGAATACCAAATGTCGTATTGTCAAACGTCGTGAATACCAAATGTCACGTTGTCAAATGTCGAGTTATTAAATGTCGTGATCTCAAATGTCGCGTTGTCAAACGTCGTGAGTACTAAATGTCGTATTGTCAAATGTCGTAATCTCAAATGTCGGGTTGCCAACTGTTGAGTCATTAAATGACGAGAAAAATAAGTTATAAAATACATGTGTGAAAACGACATAAGACATTTGAGATCACGACATTTGACAACACGACGTTTGATAACGTCGTTCTCTAGCATAAAAAATGAACTCAATTTAAAATAATTAAATTTATTATTTATATTTAAAGAAGTTGAATTGATTATTATCACAAAAAATTTTCTATCCCCAATTCAGTTATCCTCCACATCATCAATTTTCCCCCTCAATGCATGCGGAACTTCTGGGTGCCAAAGCTCAAAAATAAGTGCTATACGTATAGCATTTGCTGGAGCCTACATAATATTAAATATTTAAATTAACTTTCTAATCAATTTACCCCCTCAAAAATTATTTCATGTTCAAAACTTGTGTCAAATATCAACATCTTTCCCTGCTTCCAGCCTCTAAAATTTAGGGGTAATGGACGACTCTAGGGGTAATGGACGACTCTCCGTAGCCAGTTCAATCTCGAGCCATATATTGTGCCATAACTTTTTTAATTCTTAACCGATTTAAGCGATTATTATACCAATCGAAAGCTCTCGATGAGGATTATTTTACCTAAAAGGATTGATTTGATCTGATCACCCTACAAAAGGTTACATATGGGTAAGTCCACAAAATCGTGATTTTTGACCTTTACTCGGCTGTAACTTTTTGTAGGATGATCTGATCACATCAATCCTGCTAGCTAAAATAATCCACACATCAAGAGCTTTCGATTGCTATAATAATTATTCGAATCGGTTAAGAATCAAAAAAGTTATGCACAAAATATGGCTCGAGATTGAAACGGCTATACTGAGACGTCCACTACCGTAAGACTTAGAATTTTTTTAGTTTTTTAAATGCACCTAGTCTCATTTCCTACACGTAGACGAGCGTCAGAGTGTGTAACAAGTCCAAGATGGGCTTCTAAAATATAATTTGTTGGACCGCAATGGGGCCAAGTGGAAGTGCCTGATTTAAGTACAGATAGACGAACCTGTAAAAGATTGCGAATTGAGTATCTAAAAATGTAAAATTTTCCAGAAACAGTCCCCATAAGTCCATCTAAGGTCTCCAAAAATTTCAGAATTTTTGGACCAGAATTTCAGAAATTATGACCAAAAGGGTCGATTAACTACCCAAAAATGACCTATTATCCAAGGTTTATCGACTATAACTCGAGAAATAGTTGATGAAAAATTCTGAAATTTTTGGAGAAGGTAGTTAAGGATGTTAAAAAATTTTGAGAAAATTTTCAAAAATTTAGGTTTCCCCTACGCCTCACTATCGATGCGCGCGCCCAAACTTTCAGGCGCCAAGACTACCCCAACCCTTAAGTTTTCCGGAATGAAAATTTTTTCCGGAAAATTTTTCCGGAAGAATTTTTTCTCATTAAAAATCCCTCACATTATCCCTCGCACAAACTGCATCACTAAAACTTTCCCTCAACATTTGGCACGTTAATGGCATTAAATTATCTGCACATATTTCTTCGCTAATTGAATTGCCTTTGTCTTTAATTGTTAATAACCAATGACCATCATTTTCTTCATTTATTAAATTATTTGAATAATTATCTTTTTCAAATAAATGTTGGTGATTATGCCACATTTGTTGGGCTTCTTCTAAAAATTGATTTTTAATTTTTCTGACTTTTGTGAACATTGACACTTGCGAACAACGACAATTGCGAACAACGACACATACGAACGACTTATTCGAAAAAATTCCGTCAAATGTCCCATATATTATTTGAGAGCTCGCTGAGCTGAGTCTTAAGACGCCAAAATTAAACTTAGGTCTCAATCGTAGGCGGAGTTATGGTCTCATAATGGTCAAAAACAGTAGAGTGGACTCAACTTAACAAGCTCTTTCGAGGGCATTTTTTATTTTTGTAATTAAAAAAAAATTTCTTTCCAACCCTTAACAGTCGTCCAATGCCTTTCTAATTGTCTCAATTGTCTAGAACATTCAGTCTGTTCAATTGTCCACCATGGACGGGCTGTCAATTTAGCCAAATTATGAAATGAACGTTGAAGGGTCTTTAAAAAATATTTTTACTTGCTGCCTAGCAATATAAATACTAGAGGTCGGATCGAAACAAGATCTCGATCGAAAATCTCGGTTATCGAGATCGAGAATTTTCTATCCAACGGTACCATGAACTTGGCTGAACCGGGAGTCCAAAAATCCCCTCTTCTTTTTTGACCATAACTTTTCCGTCAACCAATCCAAAATTTTGATTTTTTTGGTATTTTGTAGCAAATTTAATTCCCTATTCAACGGTACCAAGAACACTAAAAAGTGACCAGCCCTTCTTGAGTTATAGTGGTTGGGACTCAGCTGAATCGTTAGTCAAAAAAGGGGTATCCGAAAATTTCCCCTTCTTTTTTTGACCATAACTTTTTTATCGGTCACTCGAAAATTTTGATATTTTGTCCTCTTATATCAAATTTAATCCTCTATCCATTGGTACCAAGATCACTAAAAACTATTCACCCTTGATAAGTTATAGGGCCGGGACTTGATTGAACCGGTGTTCAATTAAGGGTATAACCCGAAAATTCCCTCTGTTTTTTGACCATAACTTTCTCATCGGCCAACCGAAAATTTTGATATTTGGTCCACTTATAGGGTATTTAATCCTCTATCGAACGGTATCAAGAACACTAAAAAGTGACCATCCCTCGATAAGTTATAAGGGCCGAAACTTAGTTGAATCGTTAGTCAATTAAGGGGTATCCGAAAATCCCTTCCCCTTCCCCCTTCCTTACCGAAGGGAATAGTCCATACTTCACAGCATCGGCATACACTGAATGGGCGTCTTTTAACCTCCCTAGACGGGTTAGGGCATCTCCCAAATGAAAATAAAATTTTTGATCGTTCACAACATTTCCCTCTTTATTATCACGCAAAGCTCTCCTCATTAATTGAACTCCTCTTTCCAAATCGCCTTCATAAACTTTTAGAATATAGCCAAAATAGGCCTGAGCTTGTGAATGGTGAGGGTTAATCTCTAATATCTGTTGAGGGGAAAAATAAATTTTTTTGAAAAATCAGTAGTATCAAACCCTCATTAAAAGATACCACTTAAGTCAGAAGAAATCGTATCTTATAATGGAGTGTATTTTAAATAGAGGGCCCACCCAGTGGATAATCCCATTTTAAAACCGTCCCTTAAATAGGGTGTATTGGGAAGTGGAGGGTATATATTGGGAAGTGAAGTGTATACCACAACGGGATTCAACTTTATAAGATACCCTCAATATTAGAGACACCGCTATGTAAAATGCTTCTTTTTTTTACCCTAGGGGTGTACAAGTGAGGGCTCCCGGACAATGCGTCAGTGGACAATCGGTCAGTGATTATATAAAGAGATAAAAATCCACTGATATCTCTCCAAATCGAATGATCTCCATCTTAATCCACCCAAACAAATTAATATCTCTGTTAATCCTCCCAAACCCGTGATATCGGCCTTAATCCCAATAAATCCCTCAATACTGACCGATTGTTCACTGACGCATTTTCTACTGACGCATTGCCCTCTGACGCATTGTACGGACACGCAAGTGAGGGGGCCATCGAGTAGGGGCTGTCTAATACCCCTATTTAACATATACACTATAAAAGGCTTTCTGGGGTATCTTATATGGAGGGGTTGACTGTATAAACTTTACATTTTTAAAAATATTTGCAGCCTCCTCAGGCCTATTCATTCCAAGCCAAGTAACCCCAAAATCACATTGAGCATCCAAATCCTCTGGGAAACGATCAACCGAAAAATTTGGAAATTTTTTGAAATTTTTTTAAATTTTCTAACCAATGCTCTTTGAACTTGTAATATTTTATGAAGTTGTTGACTTCCCCCACGAAATCTAGCACACTGAACATAAAAGAGGCCAGAAAGCCTAAAAAAATTTTTTCAAAAATTTTCAGAAATTTTCAGAAATTTTCAAAAATTATTCAAAAATTTTCAGAAATTTTCAAAAAATTTTTAAAAAATTTTTCAAAAAAAATTTTCAAAATTTTTCCTCATTTTTACAATTTTTTTTCGGATTTTTGACCCCTTCCCCATTCCCCCACCCCATCGTATCATTATCCCCCTATCGACTTTTGACGATTTTGAGACCATAATTCAGTTTATGATTGAGATCCGGGCTAAATTTTGGTGTCATTCGACTCGGCCCGTCAAACTCTTTCGAATCACATATTACTTGCCGAATTAGAGTGTAGGGACATTTCACGGAATTTTTCCGAAATTTCAAAATTTTTGAAATTTTCAGAAATTTTTAGAAAATTTCCCAGAAATTTCAAAAAATTTTTTCAAAAAAATTTTCACCTAAACAATTCATCTGGAACATCTTCAGAATCCTTATTTTGTAATAAAATCCATTCAAAATTTTCCATTGCTTTGTCCAATAATTTTCGATTGTCTCCATCACTAGCAAATTCTGACATTAATTGATATACTCTTGCCGTTCCAAAAAGGGCTCTGAAAAAAATTTCTTTTTATTTTTCTTTAGCTTAAATTCACCTAGGACTAGCTCTATCAATATTCAACACTTTTTGGTATTTCTCAAGTGAAGAAACAAAATCGTGCTGAAAATTAATTTTTAAATATTAAGTGGGGTCAATTCGGCGCCGCCAACTAAGCAAGCCAACCAAGCGCACTTTGATCGACTATAACTTTTTTATGCTTGATCCGATCAGAATGAAACTTTTATCATTCGAAAGCTCTCGATGAGCGGAATATTTTTTCTAACTGGATGGATCAACTCAGATCACTTATTTAAAAGTTACAACCCAATAATTGCGACTATTTGGTGTTTTTCGCATTTATCGGGCTATAACTTTTTATTGAGTGATCAGACTTGATCTATCCAATTAGAAAAAATATTCCGCTCATCAAGAGCTTTCGAATGATATAAGGTTCATTCTGATCGGATCAAGCATAAAAAAGTTATAGTCGATCAAAGAGCACATGGTTGGAGTCGCTCAATTGACACCACTCACTACTTGCCTGTTCACTAAGAAAATCGGCTTCATCCAATAAATGTCTATGTTTATAATCATTTCTGTTTGTAAGGACAGCTTTTCGAGTGCTATAACTACCTGGCCTTTAAAAAAAATTTTTTTTTTTGAAATTTCAAAAATTTATCACAATTTCCTCTGTGCAACCAATTCTGTAATTTGCTCATTTTCTTCAATATTTTCTTCTTCCCTGTCTTCATCTTCATCCTCATCTTCCTTTCCTTGTTGTTGTTTTTCTTCTTGGATGTATTTATTCTAGGAAAAAGAACAGAAAATCAAATGAGAAAATTTTAAAAGAAAACACCCTCAGGATTGAATGGGTCATTAGGACGCAGGATTTTTAAGGCGCGGGAGCTTATAACTTTATTAATCTTCGATCTAAAAATATAAAATTTTGCAAAAATGATCCTCATATGTTCAACTGAGTTTTCCACAAATTTCAGAATTTTTGGATCAGAATTTCAGAAATTATGACCAAAAATGTCGCTTAACTACCCAAAAATGGCTAATTTTTCGAGGTTTATCGACTATAACTCCAAAAATATTTGATGAAAAATTCTGAAATTTTTGGAGGAGTTGGTCAATAATGTTAAAAAAGTTTGAGAAAATTTTCAAGAATTTAGGCTTAGCCTACGTCTCAGTATTTAAGCGCGCGCCAAAACTCCCAAGCGCCCAAACAACCCCAACTCATCAAACTACCAGTTTATGCCTCTTTTTAAGCAATTCCTTTCTCGGCCTCATTCCTTCCGCCAAACTTTTTGCTGTTTGTAAAGCTCTCCAAGACTTTACTCTTCTCCTATGTACTTGCTTGTGTTGCTCCTTTTCTTCTGAAAGGATTTCTTCTACAACATTGACAGTAACTTCATCCTTGTCTCCTTCCCCCTCATTTTCTTCGTCCTTTTCTTTTTCTTCGTCCTCTTCGCCCTTATCTTCTTCGACCTTTTCTTTAGGTGCTGTACACTTCTAAAAAAACAGACTTGTTTAGAAATCCCCAGTTATAGAGGGACTGAAAAAATCGTACCTTATACTGAGGTGTCTTAAATAGAGGGTATCGCTTAGACAACGGCTCTACTTTGGAATCCCATGAGCTATGTCCTAAATAGGGCTTCAACAGCTAATCCCACCCAATGGCAACCGAATTTAAAAAACGTATATTAAATATGGGTACCCCCCATTTTCTATTTATGTTTATGACCATTTTTTAACTTATAATGAGGTTCGAATCTAATATACCGTATTCTCTTTGCTAGAAGCCCATCTCCAATAGAAGCCCATGTTCTAATAGAAGCCCATGCCCTATTAGAAGCCCATGTTCTAATAGAAGCCCATGCCCTATTAGAAGCCCACTCAAGGAGGGGTAATGAAAAATAGACGCCCATCTCCAATAGAAGCCTATGCTCTAATAGAAGCCCATGCTCTAATAGAAGCCCGCTCAATGAGGGGTATTGAAAAATAAACGCCCAGGGCTTGTATTAGAGACAATACGGTAATCTTTCAAAACAACACTAAAACATACATAAGATATTTTATTAAATAATTGTAAATACAGTTTTCATACAATATTATAATATATTTTTAACTACACAATTTCTACTAATTAAAAATACAAAAGTAAAAATATCCGTTTGTGTATTTTTTAGTGTTGCTTCAAAAAAAAATTTTTTTTCCAAAAATTTTCCAAAAAATTTTTTTTCTATTTCTTTCTCGATTTTTTAAAAATAGTATTATTATTTTTCCCTACTTTTTCTTCTTCAATTTCCTCCTTTTGTTTTCTTCTTATAACAGTTTCAGGCCCCGTCCTTTCTGGCTTCTTCACTTCAACAATTTTGGGTATTTTGCCTTCTTGTCCCTCTTCTCCCCCTCCTTTTCTCTTTGAAGAAGTCAAGCTTTTCTCACTTAGTCTAGCCAACATTAATTCTTCCCTGTCCCCCACATAGCCCAAATCTTCGTTTTCTTCCTCCTCCTCCTCTTCCTCATCTTCATCCTCTTCCTCATCCACCTCTTCCTCCTCCTCATTATCATCATCCTCCTCTCCTTCCTTCTCCTCTCCAAACGCTTCATGCCTCTTTCCCTTGCTCTCCTCCACCTTCTCTTTTTGGTAATACCTCTTCTCATAAGCCTCCTCCTCGTCTTTAAACGTTCCAATCTGTTCTTCTGGAGCAGCCAAAGATTCTTCTTTGTCTTAAAAATTTTTTATTCTGATTTTTATTTTATTATTAAGGTCTTGTTCTGATTTTATTCTGATTAATTCTTATTTATTCTGATTAATTCTAGTTTTGTTCTGATTAATTCTGATTTTGTTCTGGTTTTATTCTGATTTTTATTCTGATTTTTATTCTGATTTTTACTCTGATTAATTCTGATTTTATTCTGGTTTTATTCTGAGTAATTCTGATTTTATTCTGATTAGTTCTGATTTTATTCTGAATAATTCTGAGTTTGTTCTGATTTTTATTCTGATTTATTCTGAATTTGTTCTGGTTTTATTCTGATTTTTATTCTGATTAATTCTGGTTCTGTTCTGATTAATTCTGATTTTGTTCTGATTTTATTCTGATTTTGTTCTGGTTTTATTCTGATTTTTATTCTGATTTTTATTCTGATTTTTACTCTGATTAATTCTGATTTTATTCTGGTTTTATTCTGAGTAATTCTGATTTTATTCTGATTAGTTCTGATTTTATTCTGAATAATTCTGAGTTTGTTCTGATTTTTATTCTGATTTATTCTGAATTTGTTCTGGTTTTATTCTGATTTTTATTCTGATTAATTCTGGTTCTGTTCTGATTAATTCTGATTTTGTTCTGATTTTATTCTGATTTTGTTCTGGTTTTACTGATTAATTCTGGTTTTTATTCAGATTAACTCTGAGTTTATTCTGATTTCTATTGCTTTTATTCTGATTTTTATTCTGATTTATTTTGATTTTTTTAATCTTACCATCAAAATCCTCTTCTCGATAACGTCCTTCCCCATCTTCAGAAAATATATTCAAAATTGCAGAACATAGCAGAACAAACACAATAATCACCGCCCAGGAACGAAGACCACCTTTGTTGACGCTGTAGTCGACTCGGCTTGGGGCAACCATTACTGCCATGTGGTGAACTTGACCGGGCACTATAAAAGTTTAAAGATATTCTGGTCATAAATTCTGATTTTTATTCCGTTTCAAATTCTGATTTTATTCTGATCAAAATTCTGATTTTTAGCAGAAATTCTGATTAATTCTGATTGTTATTTTGACCCTTCTGGTTGTATTCTGATTCAAGTTCTGATTTTTATCAATAGTTATTCTGGTCATAAATTCTGATATTTTTATTCTGATATCTTGATTCTGATTTAAATTCTGTTCTGATTTTGGTTAATTCTGATTTAGATTCTGATTTTATTCTGATCATTCTGATTCTTATTCTGATTTTATTCTGGTCCAAGGTCTGCCTATTAATTCTGACCCTTGTACATTAATCCTGACAGGCTCAAATAAAATCAGAATTAAGTCAGAAACATTATTTAATAAATCTCTCTCACAATTAGAAGTTTGACGTCTTAAAAGAGGTGCGTGTCTAGGAGGCGAACCACTTCCTGCCATTCTATTACTGCTAATAGTGTTGCTATTAAATTGATATGGCTGTGGAGGCATAAAATATTAATGAGATGCTCTCCAACAATTTTAAAGCTGTAAAAGGGGAGAAAGAAGAAGGAAAATTGAAAATAACCCTTAAAAATAAAAATTAATTAATTAAAAAAATAAATATGGAGGGAGAGGTTTCCTGAATAGGGGGGTTTTTAATAAATAGGGTTTCCCCCAGGTTTCCTGAAACTAGGAAACCCATGTGTACATTTTTATCAACCCCAAGGGTGTACAAATAAGTGAAGTCTGACCAAGGGGGCGTCTAAAAGATACTCACAGTACTATGTACACATCGGTAATGAGCTCTTTTCCGACCTCTCAATGGTGTACATCAAGGGTGTGCCGAAACGGATTTTAAAAGGCGAAACGCAAAACACCAAAAAAGGCGAAAATCCGTGAAAGGCGAAACTGACACACCCTTGATGTATATTCTGATATATTTAAATTCTGAATTTTATTCTGATTTTTAAATTCTGATCAGAAAATTTCTGATTCTGATAATGAGGGTCATAAGGTTAATGAGATTATAATAGTGCTGGTCGGGAATTTAAAAAAGCCGAGAGTCAAGACCAAGACCGAGAAACAACCCCGAGACCGAGAGCTCAAAACCCCGACAAATTTCCTGACTCGGGAACCGAGACCGAGAGTCTCGACTATCCCTAGCTTATAAGACTTGTTAAAGCTTATTTTTAAAATTATTAATTTGGGTGACTTGGGGAAAAAGTCAATTAGGTATATTAAACACTAAACCAAGTCCACCTCTAATTTAAAAAATCTTTTTTCAGACTAGAAAGAAAAGCACCAATTGCTTCTTCTTTTTCTCATTATTTAATAGTACATAAAAACAAAAATTTGCTTTTAAAAGCACACACATCTGTTAAAAGACTATATAAATTGATCCAAAAAATGCTATAAAGCCTTTTTAAATCCTCTCAAGTTTTTAATTTTTCTTCCTTCCAAAATTAAAAAAAAACTTTTTTTTGGAGGAAACGAAGGGATTAATTTTAAAAAATAGAAAAAAATAAGGGAAAAGTTTAATAATTAAAAATAGGGTAGCACCCATAGCCTTCGGGGGCGGGAGTGTCGGATTTCAGGGTTTGTCGGGGTAGAGCCGACGGGGTTTAGGTCGGGGTTTTTGACTAAAAATTCGTCGGAGGTCGGGTTGGGATTTCGGGGGGACCTTCGGGGTTCGGGGGGGGGGGGATTTCGTGGGGACCTTCGGGGTTCGGGTCGTTTCGGGGGGACGGGGTGCTATAATAAAGGAAAAGAGTGGCGGAATTTCGTAAAGATTGTGTTCTAAACGAGAGGGCGTCCCACCCCTGAAACTCATAAAATAATGGATATTTTTTAATGTTCTTAGGGCCGAGAGTCAACTGAGGTGAATCCAAGTCTGATGCTACGGGTTAACTCTCCATATTTTGCCATTGGGGGAATCAAATAAATCAAAAAATTGGATTAATTTGTATGAAAAGAAGGTTTTCCTTAATCTTTGTTTCCGGAAACTAAAAAGAAAATTTTTTATAAAAAAATATTGCCCTCCCCCTACTCAATAACTGATCTTTTTCCGGAAACTCAAGTGACTTTATAAAAATATGTTTCCCCCTCCCATTTCTAAAAACCAAAAAAAAATTTTAAATTGATGGGAGGATATATATATATTTATAAATGCTTTTAAAACACGCAAACACACAAACACATTTACGCAATTTATAGTTTTTTTGTTTGTCTTTAACTTTAAAAAATTTTTTTTTGTGGGAAATGAGGGGGAAGGAACACGAACAACTGAGAACGCCAACCAAACGCTCTTTAACCGACTATAACTTTTTTATGCTTGATCCGATCAGAATGAGCCTTATATCATTCAAAAGCTCCTGATTTGAGGAATATTTTTTCTAATTGGATAAATCAGGTCAGATCAGTCATTAAAAAGTTATAGCCCGATAAATGTGAAAAACACCAAATAATTGAATTTATTGGGTTATAACTTTTTAATGAGTGATCAGACTTGATCCATCCAATTAGAAAAAATATTCCATACATCAAGGGCTTTCGAATGATATAAGACTCATTATGATTGGATCAAACATAAAAAAGTTATAGTTAATCAAAAGGCGCTTGGTTGGCGTGCTTAGTTGGCGGCGCCCAATTGACCCCACACCCACGAGGAAATTGTTAAAGGGGAAAATTTTTAAAAATTAAATGACAAAATATCCCAAAAAAAAATAAAAAAATTTAACAAAAAAATTTTTGAAAAACAAAATTTTACCTAAAAATTGAAAAAACAAATAAAATCCCTTAATTTTCTCCTAATTTTACTCTTTTTTTAACAATTTCATCAGCAGGTTCCCATTTATCTAGACCTTTCTCAAGGAGTATTTCAGTATCAATTTTGTCGAGAAAATGAAGCTAAAAAATATTCGAAATTTTTTTTGAATTTTTTAAGTCGAATATGACACTATAAGATACACTAAATACTAGGAAACCCTTTATTTAAGAGACGATTCCTTTAAAAATTTGATTTGCCATTGGGTGAAGGACTACCAGATAAATACTTTCTATGTAGTATAACCTCGTCAAATAAAGTAAAATTTTTTCAAAAATATTTTCAGAGGTATTTGAATTCTGGTTAGCCACTAAACAGGAGGAATGCCCAAGCTCTATACCCTCCATTTAAGATACACCTCATTATAGGGTACAATTAAGGTTGGTGGACCCGAAAAAACGGATCCAAAAAAAGCTGGATCCTAAAAAACCAGGATCTCCGGAATATTCAGGTTTGGATTAGAGACCAGACTTTAGTGGTCACTCGATTATATCAACATCGATAATCGACATCGATATTTTTCATCGACATATCGTATCAATCCGGTCTCTAGTTTGGATATCGGATCCGGTATCCGAAGTATTTCCATGATCCGGTATTTCCCAGTATCCGCCAACCTAAAGTACGATGTTTAAGGCGTATCTAAAAGTGAGATCCGACTTTGTTAAGTGTCTTATTTAAAATTCGATTCTGACATTTTCTCGACATTTAAAAAAATTTTTTTACCGTAGCTCGAATGTAACGCACAACCCTTTCAATATAAATAATATCTGCCTCATCCTCCATTAAATATAAAGCACGCCAAACAGCAGCAGCGAGGTATTTATCGTCGCCAAGAAAGCCCTAAGGTTATGAAGAATGATTTTTTAGAAGAAAAAATTTTTTGAAAAACAATTTTTTAAATTTTCACAAGAAAAATAAACTCACATCATCGTATTCAAACAAGGAATTCATATAAACATCATAATAAAGTTGTCGAAAATTTGAACGCCTTTTTAACTTGAGTGAAGGTTGGTCTTTCTAAAAAAATTTTTGAAAATTATCGAAAAAATTTTTTTGAGATTTTTTTAATTTTTTGAAAAAAAAATTTTTCCAAAAATTTTTTGAGTTAAAATTTTCAAAAAATCAGAAAAAAATTTCTGATTTTTTAAAAAATTTTTGAAAAATTTTCAGAAAATTTTTCAAAAAATTTTTTCTTAATTAAAAAAACCCCCTTACATAAACAGTATTATATCTATTGGTTTTGTCATGGTGAAAATTTTGTGTAATCATTTTCTTTACATAACAATATGAATAAGCTTCCATTGTTTGTTGTAAACGTGTTAAAATCATCCTTTGAATTTATTAAATTAATTTAATTAAAAAATAAATACCAAATATGTAAAAGAGTTAACCGATACCATGTTCCAAAGTCATCCTCCAAGCCAAATTCTGAAAAGAGAATTAAAATCAGAATTTGTAAATTAACGGAAAATCAGAAATTGTATTTTCTCAAATAAAATCAGAACTTGTAATTTAATAGGAAAACAGAAATTGTAATTTATTAGAAATTGGAATTGTAAAAAGAGCAGAAATCAAAATATTAAAGAGCAAAGTTTGTAATTGTGAAAAAATCAGAAAAATCAGAAATTGTAATCTCCATTTAATAGTTAACATTCTGATTTTTTAAATTAAAATTTCTGATTCTAATAAAATCAGAATTTGTAAATTAACAGAAAATCAGAATTTGTAGTTTAACAGAAAATCAGAATTTGTAACTTAACAGAAATCAGAATTTGTAATTTAATTAAAAAATCAGAATTTGTAATTTAACAGAAAATCAGAATTTGTAACTTAACAGAAATCAGAATTTGTAATTTAATTAAAAAATCAGAATTTGTAATTTAACAGAAAATCAGAATTTGTAACTTAACAGAAATCAGAATTTGTAATTTAATTAAAAAATCAGAATTTGTAATTTAACAGAAAATCAGAATTGTAATTTAATTAAAAAATCAGAATTTGTAATTTAACTATCCTTATAAAATTATCACCTTTATGAAGGGTAATAAAATTAAAGTTGTTTGAACAATCATAATACAATTTTGCTGAGGATTTGATTAATGACTAAAAATTAAATTTTATTTATTTAAAAAATCCTTTCCCCTTACCATTCTATATTTCTCTTCAAAATAATTATTAGCTGATATTTTAGCTATAAAATTTTTCAAACGACCAACATTATAATATTCTTGAGGCTTTTCATTTTCATTACTATTTTGTAATTGTTCTAATTCCAATGTAATAATTGTATTTTTATTTGAATCATTTTGTTGTTTTTCTTGATTTTCTGGTGGTTGTTGGTTAACTGATGGTTCTGGAGACTGAAAAAAATTTTTAAATAAAAATCAGAATTTTTAAAATCATAATCAAAAAAATCAGAATTTTTAAAAATCAGAAATTTAAGAATCAGAATTTTGAAAAATCAGAATCACAAAAAATCAGAAATTTAAAAATCAGAATCAAAAAAATCAGAATTTTTAAACATCAGAAATTTAAGAATCAGAATTTAAAAAAATCAGAATCACAAAAACTCAGCAATTTAAAAATCAAAATTAAAAAAATCAGAATCCCAAAAAATAAGAAATTTAAAAATCAGAATTAAAAAAATCAGAATCCCAAAAAATCAGAAATTTAAAAATCAGAATCAAAAAAATCAGAATTTTTAAAAATCAGAAATTTAAGAATCAGAATTTAAAAAAATCAGAATCACAAAAACTCAGCAATTTAAAAATCAAAATTAAAAAAATCAGAATCCCAAAAAAAAATCAAAATTAAAAAAATCAGAATCCCAAAAAAAATCAGAATTAAAAAAATCTTTTTTAAATAATCAGAATCTCAAAAAATCAAAAATTTAAAAATCAGAATTTAAAAAAAAAATATTCTAAAAAATCTAGCCTTCACAGCAAACGAAAAAGCAGCATTAGAAGCAGCACATTTTGATTGAATTTGTTGAATAATAGACGAATTACACTTCAAAAATTTTAACAAATTTAAAGACGGCTTCATTTAAAATATTATGTCTAATTCTAAAAAATAATTAAAAAATTAATTAAAACTAATTTTAAAAAATTTTTAGATATAAGCAAAAAATTGCCAATTTTTCTCGAAAAAAAATCAAAAAAAATTAATTTTATTTCTAAAATAAATTTTTTATTGTGCCATATCAGGTGTTAAAGAATCCAAAAGCTGATCAATACGCTGTTCAATTTGGGGTATAATATCGCGTTCTACAAATAGACGGGTTTCATCAAGTTCCTTAAAAACATTGAAAAAAGAAATTAGAAAAATAACGGTCAGAGAATTGTAATTTTTCAAAATAAAATTTGAAAAAATAAAAAGTACAAATTGTAATTTTAAATAGAATTTTTTTAACTTGATAAAATCAGAATTTGTAATTTAATAATGACAAAATTCGTGACATTTACAAATAAAACCAGAAATTGTAATTTTTAAATAGTAATTAAATTCTGAATTTATTAGATAAATTACAAATTCTGATTTTAAAAACCAGAATTTGTAATTCTAATTTTAAATAAAACTACAAATTGTAATTCTGATTTTAAATGAAACCAGAATTTGTAATTTTTAATAAAACCAGAAATTACAAATTCTGACTTTAAATAAATCAGAATTTGTAATTTTAAATAAAACTGCAAATTGTAATTCTGTTTAAAATAAAAACAGAATTTGTAATTCTTATTAACAATTTTTTTTTCATGAAATCAGAATTTACAATTTCTCAAATTAAATCCAAAATTGTAATTAATGAAAATCAGAATTTGTGTAATTAAAAAAATTAAAATAATTAAAAACCAACATTAATTATAAACGCTCTCCCAAAGGCTTTAGTTTCATTCAAATGTTTTAAAAATTGTCGCATAGCAGGATCACATTTAATAACAATTCCACGCTTGACATTAACCATTTAATTTTTAAAAATTTAAAAATATATCTAAAATATTTTAAAAATTTATTTTAAAAAAATATTTAAAAAATTATTAAACTTTAAAAATAATTTTTAGAAAAAATTTTTTTTTTAATTTTAATTTATCAAAAAAAAATTAAATTAAAAATTGTGTCTAAAAAATAATTAAGCAATAAAAGTAGAGGAGGAGGAATTTTAAAGGAAAAATGCAAAAAAAAAGATTGCTTTTTTTTTAATTATTTTTAAATATGGGATTATAAAATTACAAATTCTGATTTTACCTAAGTTCTGATTTAAAAATTAGAATTTGTAATTTCTGAAAATTTAATAGAATCAGAATTTGTAATTCTGATTTCCTGAGTTTTGGTTTAGAAATCAGAACTTTTTAATTTTTTGTGAAGATCAGAATTGCAAAAATTCTGATTAAGTAAGATCAGAATTTGTAATTTCTGAGTTTGGTCAGAATTTCGAAAAAATTACAAATTCTGATTTCACTTAAATTCTGATTTTTACATCAGAATTTGTAATTTCTGAAAATTTAATATTGTAAAAACAGAAATAAAGTAAAATCAGAATTTGTAATTTCTAGAATAATTTTCAGAATTTGGTTAGAATTTCGAAAAAATTACAAATTCTGATTTCACTTAAATTCTGATTTTTACATCAGAATTTGTAATTTCTGAAAATTTAATATTGTAAAAACAGAAATAAAGTAAAATCAGAATTTGTAATTTCTAGAATAATTTTCAGAATTTGGTTAGAATTTCGAAAAAATTACAAATTCTGATTTTATTACAAATTTCTGATTAAAAGTCAGAATTTCTAATTTTTTATGAAAATCAGAATTTGTAATTCTTTTTTCTAAATTCTGACCAAAATTCAGAAAATCAAAAAATTCTGATTTTTAAAAAATTATAATTCAAATTTTGTAAATTTTCACATAAAATCAGAAGTTGTAATTTTTAAAGGAAAAATATATACACACAAATTAAGGTTCAAAAAAAGGCCAAAAAAATAAAAATTCCTTTTTGGATCCAAAAAAAATTTTTTTGTTGTTGTCATTGAGGATTTTTGGATATTTTTTTTATTTGGGGATATTTTAAAGCATTTATTTAATTTTTATTGTTGTCTAGCTTCATTATTACTCTTAAAAATTAAAAAAAAATTTTTTTTCAATAAAAAATTATTAAAAAAAAATACTTGTTGCAAAGAGACTGCTGAAGATTGGAAAGACTTGACCTAAACAAATTTTTTTTAATTTTATTTTTTGATTAGGTATTATGTATATTTCCCAAAAAATTTGTAAAATTTTTTAGCCGAAAAAATTCAAAAAAAAATTATTTTTGAAAACCTTGGCAACAAAAAAATATAAAAAATGTTTTAAAAATGAATAAAAAAATTTGCGGATTTTTCCAAATATTACAAAAAAAATTTGCGGAAATTTTTTTCAAAAATTTCAAAAAAAAATTTTTTGAAAACCCGTGGCAACAAAAAATTTTTTTAAAAATTAAAAAAAATTGCGGACAAATTTTGCGGATTTTTTCCCCAAAATATTTTTCTCGAAAAATTTTTTCAAAAAATAATTTTAAAAAAACCTTTCCATCCTCCATTTCAAGTAAACAATCTAGCGCCCCATCAGCTATATTTTCAAGTTTATGAGTTACCAATAAAACTGTTTGTGAAGCAAAAAATTCTTTTAAACGTTGTTGAAGGAATATATCTGTTCTCCTTTAAATTTTTTTAAAAATTGAAAAAAAATTTTTTAAATAAAATTACTTGTCAATATTAGCTGTGGGCTCATCGAGAATGACAATTTTTGTATTTCTGAAAAAAATAAATTAAAAAAAAAAATTAGAAAATTTCAAAAAAATTTTTATAAAAAAATTTCAAAAACGAAAAATCAGAAAAAAATTTTTTTAGTAAAAATTTCTTTGTTTACCGAATTAGAAAATCGTTCAAAAACTTCACAAAAAAAAATTTTTAAAAAACAATCCCGATTTTTTGCATCCAAAAAAAACGAAAAAATAGGAAATATATTTCCCAAAAAATAATTTTTCTCAAAAAATAAAATCAAAAAAAACCTCAACAAAACTCTAGCTAAACAAATAAGTTGTCGTTCCCCAGCAGAAATATTACGTCCATTTCTTCCTACCAAAAAATCGAGAGGGTCAGGGAAAGCTTTAAACTATAAATTAAATAAAAATTTTTAATTTAAAAAAATAAAAATCAAACCGAATCAGAAATTCCAGCTTTATCTAAACATTCCCAAATTTTATCATCACTTTCATACACATTTTCTGGATCAATGTTAAAACGAATTGTGCCTCTAAAAATATGAGGTTTATAATTTTTTAAAATTTGTTTCTTACAAAATCCGCAAAACTGTTATTATCCGCAAATTTTTTGCAAATTTAAAAAATCCCCAAATTTACAAAAATCCGCAAAAATTTTCGGATTTTTAAAATTTGCGGACAAAATCAAAATTTTTTTATCCGCAAGTCATCAAGGAGAGAAGATCGAAATGTGAAGAAAGTTGATAAATTCACCAAAAACATTTTATAAAGAGAAAAAATAAAAATATATTCTTGCGGATAATAATAGCGGACATTGTGAGAACATTATAAATCCACTAGAGACCAAAAAAATTTGCGGTTTTTTATTTTATTAAATAGTAGGTTTTGATTTTTATTCTGATCAGAAATTCTGATTTTAATTTAAAAGTTCTGATTATTTTCTTGTTAAGGGTTGGGGACAAAATTTTTGCGGACAAAATTACTTTTGCGCCCAAAAATAAAAAATTAAGTTTAAAAGATAAACAAACTCAAAAAGAGTAGCTTCCTGCATTATAATAGAAATTGACCTCCGTAATTGTCTTATACTAACCGAACAAAAATCTTCTGAACCAATAAAAATTTTTCCACTCTCTAAAGGATATAGTCTAAATAATGCATTGCATAATGACGTTTTGCCTTTAATGAAAAAAATTTTTTGAGAAAAAATCTTTTAAAATTTTTAAAAATTTCAGAAAAAAAATCCGCAAATTTTGTCCGCAAATTAATGCGGACAAAAAATTTTTGAGAAAAATTTTTTTTTAATTTATGAAAAAATCCGCAAATTTTGTCCGCAAAATTATGCGGACAAAAAAATTTCAGAAAAAATTTTGTTTGAAAAAAAAATTTTTTTACCAGATCCAGTTCTACCCACAATTCCAATTTTTTGTCCACTTTGTATTTTAAATGAAATATTGTTTAAAGCTGGCAATAAATTTGGATGATAACGAAGACTAACAAATAAGAGAAAAAATTTTTTTTAACAATTAAAAAAAGCTTACAAAACATTTTCGAATTGAATATCTCCATTTTTGGGCCAATCTAGATTTTGAGAATTAGACAATGAAACATCTTCAGGTTCAACTTGGATAGTCTAAAAATTTTTAAAAATTTCCAGAAAAATTAAAAATTTTCGAAAAATTTTTTTAAAAAATTTTGAAAAAAAAATTTCCCAAAAAAATTAAAAAAAAAATTTTTTCAATTTCTAAAAAAATTTAAAAAAAAATTTTCAAAAAAAAATTCAGAAAAAATTTCAAAAAAATTTTCGAAAAATTCATGAAAAAATTTAAAAAAAATTTTTTTTTACTTTTTTAAATTTTCAAAAAAAATTTCAAAAAAAAATTTTTTTTAATGAAAAACAATAAAAACCTTTGAATAATGGGTAACACGCTCAACAGCTGTCAACTTTAAATTTAAAACATTATTTCAACCAAAATTATTTTTAAAAAATTACTTTAGCTTCCAATTCTGTTTGAGATCGAACGGCAAATTGAAAAATTCCACTCATCTTTAAATTTAATTAAAAAATAAATTTTTTAATTAAATTCAGCAAAAAACCTGTAAAGCAAAAGCAATAGCCATACCCGCTTCAGAAGGAGATATTTGGCCAGTTAATAAAACAATAAATAAAGAAACACCGAAAGTTATGAGAACCTAGAAAAAATATGGGGGAAAAATTTTGAATAAATCAATAGAAATTTAATTTTAAAAAAATCAGAATTTGATTAATTAAAAAATCAGAACTTGTAATTCAAATTCTGATTTTAGTAAATTACAAATTCTGATTCCTAAAAGTACAATTTCTGAAAGCAAATTCCTTACAATTAGACCAATAAAAATTACAAATTCTGTTTTATTAAATATCAGAAATTGTAATTTCCCTTAATAATTAAGTTACAAATTCTGATAGTATAAAAAATACAACTATTAAGGAAAATTACAATTTATGATTTTGAAAAATTACAAATTCTGATTTTAAATAAAATCATCAATTGTAATATCTTAAAAAATTACAAATTGTAATTTTCAAAAATTACAATTTATTAAAATTGTAATCAGAATTTGTAATTAATGAAAATAAAAATTAACTTGTAATTTCTTTAATAAAATCAGAAATTGTAATTAACAAATGAAATCAGAATTTGTATACTTTTTAAATTACAAATTCTGATTTTTAAAATTACAATTTCTGGAAATAAAATACTTATTCTGATAAATATTACAAATTCTGATTTTATTAAAAATCAGAAATTGTAATTTTAAAAAGATTGTGATTTTTAATTACAAATTCTGATGCTATTCAAAAAATTATAAATTGCCAATTTTATTTATAATCAGAATTTAATTCCTATTTGAAATTACAAATTCTGATTACAATTTTAGTAAATTGTAATTTCAAAAAATAACAATTTGTGATTTATTTAGATTTGTGATTTATTTATTTATTTTTTTTGTAAATTCTCAAATAAAGTCAGAATTTGTTATTTTAATTAAAAATCTGAATTTTTAAGTTCAAAGCTACTTTCAGAAAATTTAAACCAAAAATCTCTTACCACAAGCAAATCAAGCCATACAGCTTGCCAACGCATTGCTGAATAATAAAGAAAAAGAGCTCCTCTAAAAAATATTCAAAAATTATTTTAAAATTCTGAAACAAACGTATTTTCATCTAAACGTAATTTTAATTGTTCAACAAATTTATCTGATTGTCCATAAGCATGTAATGTTGGTAAAGCTTCCAAAGAGCTTGTAATGTGTTCGTAGAGAGGAGAACGAGTTACATTTTCAATACGTTTTAGACTTAAAAAAAAGTTTTTTAAAGGAAATTATATTGCGGAAAACACTTGTTGTCCGCAAAAAATCTTTATGTCCGCAAATTATTTTTTTTGTCCGCAAAAATTTTTATGTCCGCAAATTATTTTTTTTTGTCCGCAAATTAATTTTTATGTCCGCAAATAATTTTCATGTCCGCAAAATTATTTTTTATGTCCGCATGATTTTTGCGGACTTTTTGTGGAATTTTTGCGGACAACTTTTGCGGACTTTTCCAATTTTCTTGTGAAATTAAATACTAAACCGCTTAAAATCCGCAAAAAATTATTCTAAAAAATCCGCAAAAAATTGTCCGCAAAAACATGTTAACTTTGTTTTAACCGAACAAAAAATAATTTTCTAACTCACAACAACAAACCTTCTAATCCCAGCACGAAAACAAACAAAAAATAGAAGGAAGAGCATAAATAGAGGAATTGATGGTAATAAAAATAATGGAAAGACCCAAATAATTATCAAAAGAAATCCAGCACAAGTAATTCCTCCTTGAAGCATTGCTTCCGCCGAAAAGGGTAATTTGGAATCAACTTGAAAGAAAAATTTAAAAATAATTTTTAAGTTAAGGAAAAAATATAGTTGGAACTCATTTTTAGATACCCTCTTAAGGCGAAAAATTTTGTATCTTATAATGAGATGTATGTTAAACAGAGGGGGTGACCCCTGGTTCCCCTGGGGTGACCCCCTGGTTAGATGACTCCCTAGCTCCCCCATCCAGTTCCAAGACAAAAATGTTCAAGGCTCGAAACCCAGCCTGGACCCCAAAACGAAGACAAAAAAATCAAGTCAAAATCCGCAAGTGTTATCCGCAAACATTTTGAGGATACAAAATTTTGAGTTTTGGGTTGCCTTAATATGCCCTAACCGACCCTAATGCTTGGGGTGCGCCGTACATACACAATAAGATCCAACTTTTAAAAATATTTTCAAAAAAAATTTTCAAACTTTCATCCATATCCTTGCTAAATCGATTCAATATTCTACCCGTAGGTGTATTATGAAAGAAAGGCATAACAGCAAAAATGACCCTTTTGAGCATTTTATTGTGTAAATTAGTAGAGGCATTTAAAGTAAACTGAAAAGAAATTTTTTAATTTTTTCTTAACTTAATTAGTAAGTTCAATATTTAAAAAAATTTTCAAGTTCAAGCTTGAAAAAATTTTTCAAGCTCAAGCTTAAAAATTTTTTTCAAGTTAAAGCTTGAAAAATTTTTCAAGTTCAAACTTAAAAAATTTTCAAGTTTAATCTTAAGAAATTTTTTCAAGTTCAATCTTGAAAATTTTTTTAATTCAGACTTAAAAAATTTTTTCTCACCTTAACAAAAACAATTGCTTTAAAGATTCCACTGAGAAAAAGAAATAATACATTGCAGACTATAAAAAGAAAATTAATTAAAGAATATAATTTAAAAAACCATAAATTATTGAATAAAATTTCAAGCCCAAATCTGGATTGGCAAGACTGTCAGTTAATTTAAATGAAGATTCTCCATTATTATTTTTAGAAGCAGCAGCATTTTTAAGCACAAACTTAAAGAAAAAAAATTTTTAATGTTAAATGCTTCCCAAAGTGTCCGCAAGTTTTATCCGCAAGTTAAAAAATTTCGAACAAAAAATATTTGCGGACAAAAAATTTTTTGCGGACATTTTAAAGAGTAGCCAATCTTCGTAAAATATAATAGTGAGGGTGTACGAGCCGTAATATTTAAAACGACCAAAATCCGTGCAAATAAGAAACTGTGGGAAAATAACAAAATTTTTCCATTGTTTGGCATTTCGGCGGGTTTTTGTGGGGTTTGGTATTACAGCGTTAGGGATTAAGGCATTATACCGTGAAAAAGGATACTGGCCCGGCATTATGTTAAATTTTAAACTTTATTTAAGAAAAAAATTGACTTGCGGACAAAAAAATTTTTGCGGACAAAAAAATTTATTTGCGGACAAAAAAATTTATTTGCGGACAAAAATTTATTTGCGGACACATTTTTGGTTTTTAAAATAAAAAATTAAAAAAAAAACCCTCACATCAACACTAGCTCTAAATTCATCATTATGGACATTACGCATCCATTCACTTAACCAAAATGTTGCAAAAATGTTTGACCCAACATTTATGAGAAAAGCAAAGAAAACTAGAGCACAGAATGCATTACCTCCAGCTGCACAAATATATTCCCTTAAAAAATAAAAAAAATTTTTTTGAGAAAATTTTTAGGGAAAAACCAGGCCTGGACCGGGTGTAAGTTAAAAAAAAAATTTTTTTAGCAGACCCAGCCAAGTTTCAAAAAATTTTTCCCAAAAAATTTTCAAAATTCAAAAAAATTATTTTTTACAAAACGGACCAGTTCAGATGTCTTCAAACCTTTATAACTCATCAAGGGATGACTACTTTTTAATGTTCTTGGTACCGTTGGATAGAGAATTAAATTTACTACAAATTACCGAAAAATCAAAATTTTCGACTGATCGATAAAAAAAAGTTAAGTTCCAAAAAAACCAAAAATTTTTTCACAAAATGTGTGATTTTCACAACTTTATCGATCACTACTTTTTTTTATCAAGCAGTCGATAATTTTGAGTTTTCGAAATGTTGTAGTAAATTTAATTCTCTATTCAACAGAAAATCTGTGGAAATAATACAAAAACCGCAAAAAAACATTTCGGACATAATCCAAAATCCGCAAAAAATTTGCGGATTTTTTTTCAAAAGTCCGCACATTTTTAACTAATGGTAATACTATCCTCTATCCAATGGTATCAAAAACATCGAAAAAGAGAACAACCCTTCAAAAATTATAAATTAAAAACAAACATATATTCATCCTTAGAAATTGGTTTAAGACCCAAAGCTTCTTCCTTTTCTTCATCCTCATCTTCTTTATTCTCTTCCTTATCAATATTAAAAGGCTTAATTGAAGCTGCTAGGCTGGTTTCTTTTTGTAATAAATTCGTTTGGGAAGCTACAAATCAAATTCAGAAAAAAATTCAATAAAAAATAAACCTTCATTATTCGAAAATTTATTGACTGCATTATTAATAACTTCAGAACCTTCCTTTTTAAAATCAATTTCACGAATTTGTCCAGAATCCATTAGAAAGACACGATCACATTGAGAAAGAAACTGAATAAAAAATTTGAAAGTTCCATTCAAATTGTCCGCAAAATTCTGTGGACAACATTTGCGGAGATTTCTGTTGTCCGCAAATTTTTGAAAAAAGAATTGTCCGCAAAAAATTTGCAGACATATCTAAAATCCGCAAAATTTTGCGGACAATTTTTTTTCAAAAATCCTTAAAAAAAACATTTGCCCACATTTCTTTCGAAAGTCCGCAAATTTTTGCGGATTTTTTTCAAAAATTCTCAAAAAATCTGCAACCATTTTCTTAAAATCCGCAAATTTATTTTCAATTTAAATTAAAAAATTTAAAAAAAACCTCAGAATTATCAGTTACAAGTAAACGCGTTTTTGTTGCCAAAAATTCTTTTATTCCAAAATTAAAAATTTTTTCTGCAACATTTTTGTCGATAGAAGAGAAGACTTCGTCGAATAAATAAATGTCTCTATTTGAATAAAAAGCACGTGCCAAAGCTATTCGAGAACGCTGACCTCCAGATAATTTACAGGATGTTATCTTTAAATAGAAAATTTATTTTAAATCAAATGTCCGAAAAAAATTTGCGGACATTTTTTAAAAGTCCGCAAAAAATCTGCAGACAAATTTTTGCAAAATTCCGCAAAAAATTGCAGAACATTCAAAAAGTCCGTAAAAAAGGTTGCGGATTCAAAAGTCCGCAAAAACAGTAACTCTTCAAAAGGCAGAAAATTTTTATTTGCGGATCTTATTTCTACGAGAATCCGACCCATGGATACATAATAGCCCTCAAACTATCATCATGGAATAACCACACAAACGGTTATCTTTTGACTTTTTTTTTGAGTTAAAACAAAGGAAAATAAGTCAGAAAAGAAAACGTGTCGCCCAAAAAAAACCTGGAAACCCCAATGATTTAAAAAAAGTCCGAAAAACAAAATCCGCAAAAATAAAAAAAGAGTCCGCAAAAAACAAAAAATCCGCAAAAAAAAAACAAAAGTCCGCAAAACCTAAAAAATGATTTTAAAAAATAAAAAACCTTAGAAAGTTCATTTTCCGGAAACAATTCCAAATCTTTTTGTAGCTGTGCACAACTTATAGCTTTATAATAACGTTGACTATTCATTTGTGTAGAATGTCCACCACCACCAAAAATAATATTTTCACGAATTGTTGTTGGAAGAATTGAAGGATTTTGGGAACAAAGAGCAACTGGGCCAGCGACATTAATTGAGCTATAACCAACACTGGACATCTTTTAATGAAAAAAATTTTTTGGATAAAAAAATTGTCTGCAAGAAATTGTCCGCAAAAAATTTACGGACAATTTTTCAAACTGTCCGCAAAAATCCTAAAAATTTGCGGTCATTTTTTAAAAGTATAAGCTAAGAGTTTTGAGTCTTTATGAGAATTTATGCGACTCAAATAAATGTTATCATTTATTCTCCGGAGTTTTTAAAGTTCGTCTTCTTGTCCAAAAAGACTCAGGTCGGGCCCAGGTTTTCTAGTCCGGAGCCGAGCACCAAAAATTGAAAACTAGATAAAATCGTTTAAAGTCTAACGAGACTCATGCATAGGGTTGGGGGCTCGATCCGGCCGGTCCGAAAGATCGAGTCGGGCCTCGAGTTTTGGCCCGAAAAAGACTCGGTCTGGCCGGCCCGAAAAATATGAGGCCCGAAAAGAATGACTGTCGGCCCGACTCGAAAACCCCAACCCTACTTATGCCCTAAACCAGAGATTAATAAATTTCCGAAAGAAAAACAAAATCCGCAAAGAATGTCCGCAAAAAACGAAAATTATTTAATTAAAGGGACCTCTCACATTTTACAAAAAAAAATTAAAAAAAAAAATAAAATAAATACATGTCCAGTAATAGCATTAATTAAAGCACTTTTTCCAGCACCAACAACACCACAAATTCCAATTAATTCACCCTAAAATTAAAAAAAAAACAATTTTTTTTCAATCCAATAAATCTCCAAAATAAACCTTATTAACAACAAATTCATCAATTTTCAAACAAAATTGTTTTTCACCACGCTTTCCTCTTCCTTGTTCTACACCATTTTTAATTACAGCAATTGTAAACACTTCTTCTTCCTCCCCATCATGTTTTTCATCATCATCATCCATCATTGGTAAATTTCCATTAACATCATTATTAGTCGTAGAAGCATCTTTTTTTGTCGTCTTACGTTCTGAAATTTAAAAAATTTTTTCTTAATTTCAACAACGAGAAAAAAATTTTGCAGGGGTTATAAAAACAAATAAATTGCTGTTGTTTTTGTGGACCCATTTTTGCGGATAAATTTTGCGAACATTTTCTGGAGACCTTTTTTTGCAAAAATTTTCTGCGGACATTTTTCCGATTCCACGCATCAGTAACTTTAAAAGATATTCCGTCTGTAAAATTGGGTACTAAAGCTCGAACCCAAGTCTAACAAAGGACAAAGTTTTCAAGGCCTAAATCTAGGAAACCAGGGTATTACCAAAAGAATAGCAAAAACAAAACAATCCTATGGCTCCTGACAATAAAATGTTTAGGAGCAAGAACAAAAAAAAAATCGCAAAAAAATGTACGCAAAAAATCAGTAAAAATTAACGTTCCACTCACTTAACAAGTCTCCCATATTTTGTTGTTATAGTTAAATATTTTTTTCATTAAAAAAAACAAACTTTTTCTTCCTCTTTTTTGTGGTTTTTCATTATTCTCCTTATTATCATTTTCATCAGCAACATCCCATACAAACGTACAATTATTCATTTGAATAGCCATAGGATGTTTAGGAGCAAGTATTTCAGAATCATATTGTTCAATTAAAAGAAGCGAATTTATCTTTAAGAGGAAAAAAAATTTTTTTTAAGTTATAAATTTTTGACTCGGTATTTGACATTTTTGCGGCAATTTTTTTGGTAAGACGATAAAACGCCGAAAAGAAAAGTTTTCAAAACCGTTCGAAATGTCAAACAATGGACCCGTATTCAAAAGGACCCGCATTCACCAAAGAACCAAACCCTCCAAAAACCATCGAAATGCCAAGAGGTCCATTGTTATAAAAAACTATAATTTCGCAAAAATATCCGCAAAAATTGTCCGCAACTTTTTTGCGGACAATTTTTTTATGAAGCGTCCGATTTGGCAATTCGGCGGTTTTTTGGCTTGGTATAACGCTGTCCTATAATGGGGTTTAATTTGGATCTTATAACCAAGCCTGCCCTTAATTTTTTTTCCAAGCAAATTTAAAAAACAACCTTATTTAACGACTGGAAAGCTTCAGTAATATAACGTGTTCCATAGGGTATCATTCGAATTCCAAAGAGCATAACAACAAAAACAGTTATAGCACTAAATGCCTACAAAAAAATAAATTTGAAGATTTCTTCAAAAAAATTTTTTAAATTTTTTTTGAAATTTTCTTCAGAAATTTTTCAGAAAATTTTCAAAAATTTTCTGAAAAATTTCAAAAAATTTTCAAAAAAATTTTTCGAAAAATTTTTTACAAAAAATTAAAAGCCTAAAAAAAATAAAAAAATTTCTTCAAAAAAATTTTTTTTGAAAATTTCTGAAAAAAATTTTTTAAAAAAATTTTTCAAAAAAAAAATTCCAAAAAATTTTTCTTCAAAATTTCAGAAGAAAAAAATTTTTTCAGAAATTCTTTTTGAAAAATTATTGGAAATTAAAAAAAATTTTTGAAAAAATTCTCAAGAAAAAAATTTTTACATCGCTAGCTTTAAGATCGGAACCAGACAAAACAATTGACAAAACCATCACTATAGTGGCCACAGCAGGAACAATAGCACCAGAAGCAATCATTAAACTTTGGGTATAACCAGCAATACGTAAATAATGTTTTTCTTTGTCTCGAATTTCTTAAAGAAAAAAAAAATTTTTAAATTAAAAATTATATTTATAAGGCAAAAAGGTACACATATAAGGACGCAAGGAAAAATAACAACTAATCAAACCCCTAACAATAAACAGAAATAATCCGGGGAGCTGACTCAAGATCGATTGCAGCACTCATCGATACCAAGGCCGTATCCAGGGAGTCGATTTCAGGAGAGGGCTAAAATGGGGTCCCAATTTCGGGGGGAGGGGGACTTATAAGGCTACACGCCTTGTCGACACATACCTGACCTTCCATAAGTTAGGAACTTAACAATTTTATGGAACTGGCAGGGCCGTGGTCTTTTTTTCGAAACAAAATCCGAAACCTAATACGAAGAAAATTTCAAAAGTTCGACCCGAAACCTGACACACATTTTTCTTCCCAACTCGACCCATTCAACAAAAACAAAAAAGTTGGACATTATATCCCAAACCCCCAAATTAAAAAAATTTTTTTTTTAAAATACCACAAACTCGACGATAAAACAGCATTTCCCAAGCATTTAATTTTATACATTTAATACAAGTTAAAATTTCTCCAATTAATCCCATCCTTTTTTCTGTTTGTTCAATTGTAAGTTTGCGATATTTTAACAACATTATGCCAAGAATTGCCTTTAAAATACAAAAAACGTAAAAACTAAAGTTTGTGTCCCCCCCCCCCCCCCCCATTATTTTGGTTAAAGCTTATGTTAGAGTCAACGGGCTCGCTTAAAAATGGGTGGGGGTTTTTTCAATTCCGCCTCCCCCGTTCCACGGGCCCCCTAAGGTCCAGGTCTTAAGGAAACGAATCTGTTCATAATCGTGTTATTTTATTCCCATTCTCCTGACCATAAAAGGGACATTGAGAGCATCAAGAAATGAAATAAATCCACTTTTTAGGCTTTTATCCCCAAAAAATATTTCCTCTAGTACTCCATCTCCCTTGGTAAGAAAAATGTTAAAAGAAAGCGGGTTTATTCATTTCTAGAGGTAAAACGCCTTTAGCGCCTCAACAAAAAAACTTTTCGATTATTCCATGGCCCAACAAAAAAATTGAGGGTTAAGGCAAACCGAAGAGAATTTTGGAAGAAAAATTTTTTTTAAATGGGGGACACAAATCCAATTTATACTAAAAAAACAAAACAAAAAACCTGTATAATATCAAAAACAAAAAATACTCCAACACCCAAAAGCGAAAGAGGCCCAATTACTCGCAATAAATAAATTAATCCACCAATTAATACAAAAGGGCCAATAATTACTAGAGGAGCAAAAGTTACTGCATCAAAAATTCGTTGGCCTTCATTTGCAAAAATATTGATTACCTGAAGAAAAATTTTCAAAAAATTTTCGAAAAATTTTCACAAAATTAAATAAAAATTCAAAAATTTTCAAAAATTTTTCAAAATTTTGAAAATTTCAGAAATTTCAAAAAAAAATTTTTTACAAATTTTCTTGGAAATTTGCTAAATAATTTTCCAAGAAAATTTTTTCAAAAAAATTTCTGATTTCAAAAAAATTTTTGAAAAATTTTTCGAAAAATTTTCAAAAAACCCTTTGAAAAAATTTTCAAAAATCTTTGAAACAAATTTTTACAAAAAAATTTCAAAAAAAATTTTTCCTTCAAAAAACAAAAAAAAACCTCAGCAGAAGATTTAACTCTCATCGATTTTGCACCTAACAACGTTCTGTAAAGTAGTGCTAGGACTGCACCTCTTGTTCTTATTGCTGTTCTGTAACTTATTGCCCATGTTGCGCTGTAGGCTAGAACTCGAAGAATTTCAACCTTTTTGTGGAAAAAAATAAATTTAGACAAGGGTGTATGCAGCACGTACCCAGGAGCCCGGCCCCTTTTCCTGAAAGGGGCTGCTTGAGCTTCTCTCAGAGCCCAAGCAAAAAAGGGGCTTGCGTTAAAAACGGCAAAGCAAACGTCAGAATTTCGGCCCACACCTAATTTTAGCCCCCAAACCTGGATCGGCTAGATCCCACCACAACCCAGATACCCCCTTAAATCCGACCTCGGTTACACCCGCAAAAGTCTCTTATATCGGAAGTCTCTTATAGGGAGGATCGATGGTAAAGAGGTATATATCTCAAATAGAGGGGCATCCCTCAGGCAGTTCCGCACCCTTACTAAAATTTTAGGATATCTCTTAAATAGAGGAGTCGCTTATATAGAGAGTCTCTTATAAAAAGGTACAGCGGGATATCCTTTAGGCGTGGGGAGAATATCCCTTAGGCTAACCAAACCCACACCTTTTGGCCAACCAAAATAGAAAAAAGTCTCTTAAATAAAAGTGTCGCTTATATTGGGAGTCTCTTATATCAAGGTCAAAAAAATTTTCAAAAAATTTCTTACCACAAAAATAGCCAAAGCAAAGTAAACTCCAGTACTATAATTAATCGATCCATCCAACAATCTTGGAGGTTTTTCAACAAAAGCAATTAAACCTCTAACTAGACAAGTCGGTCCAATAAATCCAAATACCAAACAAAAAAGAAAAACAGCACAAGCCAAAAATAGACGAAAACGAATAAATCGAAAAACTGCAAAAGTTAGGGAAGGCTTTTGACCGAGTGAAGTTGAACGTTGCTTTTCTTCGTTGAAAATGTGTTCTAGTCTGAAAAAAAAATTCAAAAATTTATTGAAGGGGTGTGGTATTCAAAAAAAGTCCGCAAGTTTTGTCTGCAAATTTTGTTTTCAAAAGAAATGTCCGCAAGTTTTGTCCGCAAATTCTTTTTTCTAAGAAGTCCGCAAGTTTTGTCTGCAAATTTTATTTGCAAGAGAAATGTCCGCAAGTTTTGTCCGCAAATTCTTTTTTCTAAGAAGTGCGCAAGTCTAATCCGCAAATTTTGTTTGCAAAAGAAATGTCCGCAAGTTTTGTCCGCAAATATTAAAATTTTCAATTTGTAAAAGTATGTAAAGAAGAAGGATGGTCCAGCTAGCTAGCATTTAAACCGCTTAATATGGAAAAGTTCAAGAAATATTCAAAGAGAAGATGAAAGCAGTGATGAGTGAAAGCGGCTAGAAATACATAATTGCAACAAGGTCAAAAAATCGATGCCCGCCCGGAGCTTGACCTCTTCCATACTATACAGTAAAATCTTCAGATAAAAAACGTTTCTGGTTTAGACTAGGGGCCCCATAAACATGAAAATTAAGTAGATTTAAATGCGGACTAAACTTGCGGATTCATCCAACCCCACAAATTTTAGAAAGGCCAAAAAACTAAATAAACGGGTCCCACAACTTTTCAGATTAAAAAATTAAAAATAAACATCCCGAGACTTAAATAATCCAAAATTGTCAGAAACCTTAACAAAAAACCCCGAAAATCCTCCAAAAAATTTTTCTCTCGCAAACCTTTTTAAATTAACATTGGAAGAATCAAATATGCTGCATCTCCATAAGTTAACATTTCCTGGATCTGTACAGACTCTTTGTTTATAACAATTCCACATCCATGGGAACATCCAAGCAAATGAAATGAAAGATAACCAACTAGCATCATCTACTGCTGCACAGAATGATTTGGTTGTTGTTATTGGAGAAGTTGGGCGTGTTGGTGCTGTTGTAGCTGTTTGTGGTATTGAAGTACTGAAAATTTGAAAAATAAAATGAGGACACTTTGGAGAGGATTATGAATTTTTCTCTTTTTTTGCGGATTTTGACACTTTTTGCGGATTTTTTCCTTCTTTGCGGATAATTTATATTTAGCGGATTTATTCATTTTTGCGGACTTTTACCTTTTTTGCTGACTTTTTTCGTTTCTGCGGATTTTTTCCTATTTTTGCGGATTTTTCCTTTTTTGCGGATTTTTTTCTTTTTGCAGATTTTTTTCCTTTTTGCGGATTTTCATTTTCGCGGACTTTTCGCTTTTTGCGGACGCCTTTCTTTTTCTTTCATTTTTCCTCGTTATGCCACTGGCACTCATTCAATCAATAAATATATTGTCCAAAGTCAGTTTAACAAAAAATCCTCAAGTTTTGTCCGCAAATAATGATAGAAATTTTTTCAGAAAAACAAAAAGAGCGGGAATCAACTGGGACCGTTTGAAATTAAAAGTGGGCAAGATTCCGGCGACAAAACCGAAAGTTTCGGGCCGAAAAGAATCCGGCTTCGACGCCGCACTTTTTTCTTCGACTTCGACGTCCGGCTTTGAATTCCGAACTTTTCAGACAAAAGTATGGGTTCGAGTTTTGGTTTACCCTGCCTATCTCTTGTGGGAATACAACAAAAAACTAATCAATATTTGCCCGAAAAACAAAATCCCCATTAAAATAACTCAAAAAATCAATAAAAACAAACCAAGCTTTCTGCTCCCGATTATTTTTTGAAATAAAAGATGTCTTTTCTTCTTCCTTAATGTTGTTTAATTGAATACCATTTGATAAATTTTCTGTTGTATTTCTGTCCATTTTTAAATTAAATCTAAATCTGAAAATAAAATGAATGGAAAATTGATAAAACGGAAAAAATCCAAGCGCAATTCAAAAATTAACCATTGGAGGAAAAGCGACAATTGGTCACTCTGAAGTAAAAAACCAATTGGTCTAACTGGGTAAAAAGATACAATTGGTCTAATTGGGCAAAAAACCCCAATTGGTCTAACTGGCGAAAAACCCCATTTCGTCCATTTGGACAAAACACCCAATTCGTCTAACTAGGTAAAAAACCCCCAATTCGTCTATCTGTCAAAAAGACCAATCGTCCATGTGACAAAATGTCTAACTGAACGAATTGGCTTTTTTTTCTTCTGAGTGACAAATTGAAGGATATAATGATACTAATGTTTAGCCGCAAGTTCCGGTAGGTCGGAAGTTCCGGGATTTTTTTGATTCCGGTTCCGGCCAAATTTTCGGTTCCGGCGAAACACTAGAGGATACTTCCCTAAGGGGTGAACTTGAAGGAACCTCTTAGGGAAGTATCCTCCTCCCCCCCTTCCCCTCTATGTATCTCTTAAAAAAATATTTCAAAAAATATCAAAAATTCCTTCTCCTTTTCAAAAAAAGAAACAATTGCTTCTTGGGTACAAAACAATAAATAAATATTAATTAATTACTACTTTTCTTCTTTAATTTCCCGCCCCAACTACTCAAAACCATAAAATAGACAATTACATTATATGGCCATCAGATGATGAAATAAAATAGAAAAATGGACTTTTCTCTCCGTTTCTCTCTCAAAAAAAATTTTTTTTTCTTAGTTTAACATATTTTAGCATAGAAAATAAAAATGATAAAAATGTTAAAAACCCCCTCCATCCTTGCAGTGGGGACGCAGACGTTTTGGCGCGAAGCAGTTTTGGCGCGAGACGGTTTTGGCGCGAAGCAGTTTTGGCGCGAGACGGTTTTGGCGCGAAAGCTCATAAAAAAGTCAACTGATCACCTAAAAAGCTAAAATATTCCAAAAATATCCCTCGTATGTTTATCAAGGCTCTCCAAAAATTTCAGAATTTTTGGACCAGAATTTCAGAAGTTCTGGCCAAAAATGTCGAGTAACTACCGAAAAATGCCCACTTTTTCGAGGTTTATCGATTATAATTTGGAAAATATTTGATGAAAAATTCTGAAATTTTTTGAGGAGGTGGTCAATGATGTTAAAGAAATCTTGTGAAACTTTTCAGAAATTTAGGGTTCGTTTAACTCTCAGTTTCGAAGAGCGCGCCAAAAGCGTTTAGGCGCCAAAAATAACCCAAACCCTTGGGGTTTTCCGGAAAGTTTACATAAAGAAAAAATTTTCCGGAAAGAATTTTGTTTCAAAAATTTGGGTTTGATCAGTGTTAATTAATGCTTGGAAATTTCGTACCTACATAAGTCCGAGTACGAATTTTGGTACGAGCTTCAAGTACTGGTGTCATTTTAGGCGCGCGCCAAACTTATAGGCGGCAAAACAACCCCAACCTCCTAGAAAATTAAATAAAATCAATTTTAAAAAAATTTAAAAATAAAACCAAATCAATTTTTGGGGTTTTTGTATACAAAAACAATTAAAATTAAATAATCAAAATAAAAAAAAATTTTATTCAAATAAAAGTTAGCTTAAATTTAAGCAAAAAAATTTTTTCGATGATTTATTGCGCATAAAAAAACGAAAGCCCATTTTGGGGTTTTTATAAGAAAAGACCTGGCAGAGTTAATAATTTTGAGAACAAAATTAATAAATAAAATTTGTAAATTAATTTACAAGAAAAAAGGAAGAAAAAAAAAGCAAGTGTAATTTTAAAAGAAATCAGAAAAACAAGATTGAGATAAAAATCAGAATTTTGAAATTAATTAAAATTCTGATAAAAAAATAATAGCAAAAATAGATAATTCTGGAAAAAAACAGAATTCTCGAGAAATCAGAATTCTGGAAAATCAGATTCCTGGTAAATCAGAATTCTGATTTTCAAATTTTTCAAAATTCTGATCTTCAAAATTCAAATTCCTATACTTTTCAAAATTCTGATTTATAAAATTCTGATCTACAAAAATTCTGATTTATAAAATTCTGATCTACACAAATTCTGATTTAAAATATTCTAATTTTCAAAATTCTGATCTACACAAATTCTGATTTACAAAATTCTGATATTCGAAATTCTGATTTTCTGAATTCTGATTTTCTGAATTCTGGTTTTATATTAATTATATTGATTCTAATCTGCTTTTCAAAAATTCTGATTTCATTTACGAAAAATAAAAAAAAATCAGAATATTCAAGGAAACATTAAAAATCAGAATTTTGATTCTGTATTAAAATTCTGAGACCTCAATTTCAGTAAATAAATAAACGAAAATAAAGATAGTATGTAGTTGAGTTTGAGCTTAAATTATATTTAAACTAGTACTGGTCAAATAATATTAATATGTATTTTTATAATTTTTTTTCTTTTAATAAATAAAAAATAAAATTTTATAATTACGTTCTCTACCACTTTTTTCTTGTCATTTTAAGCTTTTCCATTTCTTCTTCCAATTTTTCCAATTTTGGTAAAAAATTGTTTGATACAGCAGGTAATCCGGAATTTTTTGTAGTAGTAATGTCTTTTTTATTGACAACAATATTTTTTGAAGGAGGAGGAGGGGAATCATCGGCAATAATTATAGGATTCTCTTTTGTTCCAAGTGCAAATCTAAAAATTAAAAAATTTAAAAAGGGATCAAATAACAGTGGTCTAGCCGACCCGATTCCCCAAAAATCGGGAATTACCCACATTTTTTGGGTCAGGAATTGGAAAATTTTTTTTAATTGTCAAGTATCAGTGTGGTCTAGCCCAACATTTTTTTGGATGGAAAATCTAAAAAAATTTTTTTAATTAAAAAAATTCAATTTCTGAAAAGCAGGAATCAAATTTTTTTACAAAAAATTCCAAAAAAAAATTTGAAAATCGGGAATTTATATTTTTTGTCGGCTAGAACCCTTGTTAAGTAAGTCTATTTTTGACTAATTGTAAGTCTGGAGGAACCGTATCCAAAAAATCCTGGATAACCAAAAATTTTAAGTTCCTGTATCGTTTCGCGACATCCCGGCCCCAGATTCAGTCCCTTTTCTTACCCTTTATTATTTTTCAACTCTTTTTTGTTGCCTCCAATTTTTATATTATTTTGTTTTTGATTTTGTTTAATTTCATCATTATTATTAGTCTCATTTTTTAATTTTTTAAAAGGATTAATTTTATTAATTGTTGCTTCTTCCTCATTTTTCCTCCTTTCTTCTTGTTTTTCTTCATTATTATCACAACGATAATTTAAAGCTAACATTTCAATTTTTTCAAGTCTTTCAGTTAATGATTCAACAGAAGATGATGATGTTGATGATGATGAAGAGGCATCAGAAGACTCGTCAGAAAAATCATCAGATGAATCAGAAGAATCCTCAGAATCTTCTTCCTTCTCCTCCTCTTCTTCCTCCTTAAATTCTTCTCTTTCCTCTTCAAATTCCTTTTCCTCTTCAAATTTCTTCTTCCTACTATTTTTTCCTTCCTTCACCTCCCCAAATTTATTTTCTCCCTTCTCTTCTTCAAATTCTCTCTTCTCTTTCTCTTCAGAAAACAATTTTTCTATCAATTTTCTTTGAATTTCAACCAAATTTTCATGTTGTTGTTCTTGTTGTTGGTGTTGACGCTTCTTCATTTTATTACTTGTATTTTTCTTCCTCAAATGTTTTGGTTGTTGATAATTTTGTAATGTTGCATATTTATTATTATAGACTTTATTATTGTTGTTGTTGTTGTTAACAAAATATTTTCCTCTATAATTCTTCATATTATTTCTTTTATTTTTCTTCAATGTAATTATTTCTTCCACAATATGATTTTTAATATTAACATTATTTTTAAATAATATAGGAAGCTTTCTATTATTGTCGTTTGAAGGAATTGAAGGAATTGAAGGTAATGAACCAAAATTAATTAATGCATTATTTTGTTGACAAAAAGTGATTAATCTGAATGAAAGAAATTAGTTTTAAATTTAGAATTACCAGAATTTCTGGTTTTAGAAACCCAAAAATTCTGGTTAAGAAGTCCAGATTTTCTGGTTAAGAAAACCAAAAAATTTAGAAATCAGAATTTACGATTGGCTTTAAAAATCAGAATTTACCAGAAATTCTGATTTTGAAAATCAGAAATTCTGATTTTAGAAATCAGAATTCTCCAGAAGTTCTGATTTTGAAAATCAGAATTTTCCATAAGTTCTGATTTTGAAAATCAGAATTTTCCATAAGTTCTGATTTTGAAAATCAGAATTTTCCAGAAGTTCTGATTTTAAGAATCAGAATTTACTATGATTGCTGGGGGTTTGAAATTTTAAAAATCAGAATCTCCAGTAATTCTGATTTCAGAAACCAGAATCTATGTTTTAAGAGACTAGAATTTATGGCCCAGAATTTCCTATTAAAATTATTCAAAAAATTTTTTTTACCGTCCCCAACAACCAACTTTAGCCATATTACGAGAATCACCAACAATAATAAGTAATTCCATAGGTCGAGTAACTGCTGTATTGAAACGCTAAAAAATTACAAAAAATATTCAAAAAAAACTAATTTTTTAAAATACTTTTTGGCAATCTAAAAAACCAATTCCATTAGAACGAACAGTTGAAATAATAATTACACGTCTTTCACATCCTTGAAATCTCTCAACAGAATCAATAAGCAATTGAGGATGTGTTTTGGCAAAACGACTTCGAAGAAGTTTAATCTGTAAAAAAAATCAGAATTATTAAAAAGCAGACTTATTAAAATCAGAACTAAAAATCAGAATTAATTAAAAAATAAAATCATAAAAATCAGAACGGAAATTCAAAATTAAAAAGAAATTAAAAATCAGAAATACAAATGAGAATTACAAATAAGAATTAAAAAAAACAGAATTACAAATCAAAATTAAAAAACAGAATTACAATCAGAATTAAAAATAAGAAATACAAATCAGAATTAAAAATCAAATTTCAATAGAATTAAAAAACAGAATTACAATCAGAATTACAATTAGAATGATTAAAATCAAAATAAAAATCAGAATTAAAAACCAGAAATACAAATCAGAATTAAAATAGAATTAAAAATCAGAATAATTAAAATCAGAATAACAATCAGAATTAAAAATCAGAATAATTTACAAATCAGAACTACAAATAATCAGACTATAAGCAATATTTCAATAATCAGAATTTGCATTTCCTTTTTTCATATTAAATAAAAAACATTTTACAAATCAGAATTTACAATTTACAAATTCTGATTTCTCTTTTTAACCTTACCTGAAATCTATATGGTGTAATAATTCCAATATCTGCTGCTTTAACTTTTGCTCCAATAGTTAATTTTTGCACATAACCACAAACAACATCGCATTCCGCAAGATTTTGATAAGATTTATTTTCGGTATCGCGTGATTCTGGTGTAACAATTGAATGCCAAAGTAGAGGAAAATTCTTTAAGAAAAAATAATTAAAAATCAGAATAGTTCTGATTTTTCAAAATTAAAAATCAGAACATTCTAAAGCAAAAAATCAGAATAATTCTGATTTTTTGAATTAAAAATCAGAATATTCTAAAGCAAAAAATCAGAATAATTCTGATTTTTCAGAATTAAAAATCAGAATAGTTCTGATTTTTCGAAATTAAAAATCAGAATATTCAGACCAGAAATAATTCTGATTTTTCGAAATTTAAAATCAGAATATTCTTACTAATTCTGATTTTTCAGAATTAAAAATTCAGAATAATTATGATTTTTTTGAATTAAAATTTACATTCTTATTTGGAAGATCATCCCATTGACACAATGTATTTTTTGTTTTAATAGGAGCACTAGGGCATAATTTACCACCATAAAATAATTGTGAAGGAATTGTTAAAAATGCAGGATGTGAACGATAATTATTTTCTAACATTGTTGTTATTCTCCTTTTTGGGAAAAAAAATTTTTTTTTTAATAATTAATTAAGTTAATTTTGACTCTCAACAAATTAAAAATTAACCATTTATTATCTAACAAAATTATTTTTGATATGCAGGATTCGAACCCTTAAGTCATTTAATAGAGGTAAGCTAAATAGCTGGGTTTAATTCTGATAGATATGTTCTGATTAAAAAAATTATTAAAAATTCAAAATCGGAACAATTAAAATCAGAAAATTGTTAAAAATCAGAATTAACAAATCAGAACCAGAAAAAGACCAAAAATGTCAGAAACCAGAATTAAAATCAAAACAAATCAGAATTATCAAAAATCAGAATTAACAAATAATCAGAAAAAACCCGAAAATGTCAGATTCTGATATGTTCTGATTAAAAAAATTATTAAAATTTCAAAATCAGAACAATTAAAATCAAAATTTTCAGAAATAAGAATTAACAAATCAGAACCAATAAAACCCAAAAATGTCAGAAACCAGAATTACAATCAGAACAAATCAGAATTATTAAAAATCAGAATTAACAAATAAGAATCAGAATTGTCATAACTTAACCCAGAACAAATCAGAATTCTGTTTTTTAATCAGAATAAAATAAATTTTTTCATGATAAACTTATTAATTTTTAAAAAATTCAAAAAAAAATTTTTTTTCTTACTTGTCAAAATCAAAAGAATTCATTAATCCATTAAAATCAGTTAAACGTTCAATTATAGCCATTGCTAAAAAATTATTTTTTTAATTTTTAAAAAATTTCCCCTTACATTTAGCCATCTTTTTCAAAGGATCACAAGTCTGTACAGGCCCCAATTGTTTTGGATCCCCAGCAAAAATTATTTTTGTTTTGTTATTTAAATGACTTATTAGGCCAACTAAAGGAATTAAAGCTTCAAGTTCATCTGCTTGTCCTGCCTCATCAATAATTATATGAGTAAAACAGTCATTTAAACCACCGTTAATCTGAAAAAAAAGACAAAAAATATTGATGAGAGAAATTCCAAAAAAGTTGTTTTAAGGACACGCAGGCATATCGAGACGAACATATCGGGATATTTCATGTACAAACATTTAGCCTACTGATTTCGTGGCCTACGGCCACTGGGTCTTGGAAAGTACTAGTCCTATTGAGGAATAGATTTTTATGTTTTAGAACAAATGTAAACACGCAAGAAATTATTTTTGTCACCCCAATCCCGATATGTCCGCACACCGTTTTAAGGGAACTTGTGTGCAGTTTGGGCTCACTTACATATTTATTCGCAAGCTCAAAATGGTAAAAGGACCCTATAGAAGTCGTAGAGACTAGTGTTCGGCAAATGGATTTTTCAATACCAATACCAGTACTACCGAAAAGTACTGGCATTGACTGAGTACCGAAAATTCGAAAATCTCATCAGTACCATACCTCAAAATAGACCAATACCACTAGTATCGGAAAGTACCGAGTCGGTACTATCAGTAGTACTGCGGTAGTATCGAACTGTGCCGAACACTAGTTGAGACGCTCCTGCGAGAGTCACAACGGTTGCTTGATTTTGTACGTGATATCATAGGCCTATTGTTAACTCACAAACAAATGGGGGAAAAGTGAATCTAAACTGCACAAATTCCATTTTACGTTGGTCAGAGCTTTTGAAGACTCAGTCATAAAATGCTCCATTAAAAATTTCTTTTTCTAAAATTTTTTAAATAAAAAATACCAAATATGTTGAAGTATTCAAAGTGCAAATTATAACACGCTTCTTTGCAATTAATTCATTTTTCGGAAAAATTCCAAATTGAGGGCCTTCTGACGAGTCTCTAAAAATAATAAAAAAATTTCAAAAAAAAATTCAAAAAAATCAACAAACTTTATACACAAAACGCTTTGATTTTTATCAAATAAGGCATCATTTTGTTCATATACAGCTTTTGAAAGTGAAAATATTCGAAGAATAGAACCTGAGGTAAAAGCATTTGTGGACATTAAACAAAGAGTAAAGGCATCTCTGAAAAGAAAAAAATTAATTTTTTTTTCAATTTTTATAAATATAGTTTATATCAGGGATGACACAAAAGTTACCAGAAATCCATGAAATGTGGACATTTATTTTCTACACAAAAACACCTCACAAACCTTCTGATGCCCCTTCTTAATCCTTCAAAAACCTATCGGTACTGACCCGCCCAACAAACAAAATTTTTTTCTCAATATTTTTTTTTTCAGGTTTGTATATAAAGGGAAGTGGACCTAAACAGAGATCTGAAAAAAATCTAGGTTATCGAAAATCAAAATTTTTAAATATTTTTTTCTCGTTTCGAGTCTTGTAGGACCCTCACAGTCCTGCTTATATTTTGCAGCGACTTAAAAAAAATTCAAAAATCTTTTTTGGAATAATCTCAAAAAAAAAAATTTTTTTTTTGACGAAAAAAAAATTTCGAAATCGAAAAATTTCCTTGTAAAAATCATAAAAAAATCCAGAAAAAAAATTTTCACCCAAAAAAGAAAAATTAGAAAAAACCCCAAATTTAAAAAAAAAAATTTAAAAAAAATTCAAACGCTGCAGTATTTGACGGCGTACAAACAAGTATTCTAGCCATAGAATCATTTTCACAAATTAATCTAACAGATTCAACCAAAGTTACAGTTTTTCCAGTTCCAGGAGGTCCAAATAAAATATAGGGAATATTTCCATGTAAACCAGAAACTATTGCGTGAATTGCAATTTTTTGTTTGTAGTTAAATTGGCGAGAAGGAGAAAATGTTGTTGAAGAAATAAATTCTTTTTCAAAAGATTCATAATTTTTCATTGGGAGCTTTTTTTTTAAAAATTAGAATTAAAATATTAAAAAAAATTAAAATTCTGGTGGTTTATGTGAAAATCAGAAGAATTTTTAAAAATCAGAAATGTGTCGGTGTAGTGAGTCCACCCCTGAAGAACTACACCCTGAAGACCTATTTACCCTGGAGACCTACAACTTTTTGATTAACCAAATTTTTTTTCTTTTACGAGTTTAATAAGTGAGTCTGAGGGATTAAAGGGGGATCACTATCCACTTTAACACCCAAAATCCTCAATATCCCCCTTAATCCCTCCTAGTTCCTCTTTAACTCCTTTAAATCCCCCGATTAGACTTGTAAAGAAATAAAAAGTAACAAATTGTGGTGATCAAAAAGTTGTAGATGTTCAGGGTAAATGACCCCGGTGTGTTTTGGCGCCCATACGTTTTGGCGCGCTCTTAAAACTGACACAGCCGAATTCTAAAATACGTCAAATTTTCTCATGATTTATCTACATTCCTGGGCATCTCCCTAATAAATTCTAAAATTTTTCATCAAACATTTTTACAGTTATCGCGAAAAAAAGGCATGTTTGGGTTATTAATCGTCATTTTTGGTCAAAAGTTCTGAATTTTTTTTTTCTGGAAAAAAAAAGTTTTGAAAAAAAATTTCCAAAAAAATCCAAAAATTTTTGGTCATGAATTCTTGATAAACGTATTAGAGTTATAATTAATAAAATTTTATCTTTAGAGTTAATTAATTCACTTTCTTATAAGTCCGCGCCAAAACACACACATCCCAACTGGGTGCCGAAATTTTGGTCACCACGATTTTCGGAACTTTGGTCACCAACTTTTTTGGAATTTTGGTCACCAGCGGAATTTTGGTCACCAAGTCAAAAAGCGGAATTTTGGGCACTGAACTTAATGACCAAAATTCCGCTGGTGACCAAAATCCCAAAAAAGTTGGTGACCAAAGTTCCGAAAAATCGTGGTGACCAAAATTCCGTACACCTCCCAACTTCCATATCAAAAGCGTCCCCAATTTAACTAGCCGAAAACGCCACTGTTGTTACAGGATGTGTTTTTTAGGTAAAAATAAAATTTTTCATAAAAAAAATACCAATTGTTTAGCAAGCTCATTTCTATAGCTAGGAAAAATACATTTTGCCCAATTTCCAGGAAATTGAGTCAACGTATCCAAAGTACGGCAACGAGTGTTAAATACAAATATACTTGGCAGAGCAATTACTTGATATGTCTAAATTAAAATTAAAAAAAATTCAAAAAAATTAAAAAAAACCAAAGACGGATCCATATGTTCTGGCGGATAAATTTTTGAAGGAAAAAATTTTACAACAATTATAGAATCGCGTTCAAAAAGTTCATCAACAAAACCCTTAAAATAAATATTAAACACAAAAGAACACACTAGAAACACCCAAGTGGAGAAAGAAAAATAGAAATTGAGCAGCCCACCTCCTCTCTCCAAGTCAGGCCCGTAGCTTAGAATTTGAGCTTAGAATTTGTCTGAGCTTAGAATTTGTATATTTCGAACCCCGGACCCGAATTCGACCATGTCAAACATGGGATAAAAACTCGAAATTTCAAATTTTATGTCTAATCGGACTCAGCTCTTCGAGCTGAGTCGATTGATATCAAAATTATTACGTTTCGACGTTTGCAGACTAAGTTATGGTATACGGAAGTCTAACCAAGCGTGTATTTAATTGATTATAACTCACAATCAGTCTAGAGTTGTCGAAACACAATAATTTTGATATCATTCGACTCAGCTTGTAGAGATGCGTCAGAATAGCTACAGCCTAATAGTTTCGAATTTTTACCCCGAATTTGACTTTGTCGAATTCGGGTCCGGGGTTCAAAATAAACAAGTTCTAAGCCCATATTCGGACTCAGCACACTCGATTACCTCATGGGAGACCTTAAAAATATCGAAAAGTGTTTCTACCACATTTTTTCCTAGGGACCAGTAAAGCGGAAAATTACCAAAACATCTCTTAAATAGAGGTGTATCTTACATCGGGAGTGTCTTATAATGAGATCCAATCCTAATTGTATCTTAAATAGAGGGTGTCGCTTAGTAAGCCTCCCCACCCAGGAATCAACCAATCTCTTAAAAGTCGTCTCTTAAATAGAGATGTTTATAATATTGAAGGTGTCTTATAATCAGGTCTATTCTATTGTGTATCTTAAGTAGAGGGTATCGATTAAAAAGCTCCTCTTATCCTGGAAATACCAAATTCGGTCTATTAAACAGAGGTGTTTCCAATATTGAGGGTATCTTATATCGAGGTTTCTGATGAAGCGTGGCTTAAATAGGGAGTGTCGCTTAAGCACCCAAAACTCACCCATAATAGCTAACAAAATTTCGAAAAAGTATCTTAAATAGAGGTAGGTGTCTCCAATATTGGGGGTATCCTAAAGAGGTCTAACAAAAAATAAACCGTATATTGTTCACAATCAGAATTCGGAGTCCAACAAACAGTATTCGGTATCACCGAAATTTCACATTTTCTACGCAATTTGTTTGCTTCAATGAATTTTTTGTCAACAATAATTCGGTAATAATGCATTTCTTGCTTCTTTCTGACGTATTTGACTTTTGATTCTTTTGAGGAATTTTCCATTGAGTCCAACTGAAAAAGAGATAAATAGCAAAATAAATATTTTGGGAATATTCAACTTTATGGCCCCCCTTTTGCTTTATTACCTATTTCTTTCTTTCTGCCTTTGGCAAGCAGAGATGGACGGGTACCTGAAACCTAGACTTGCCTAGAACCTTTTGGCAACTATTTTAAGTCCAATTTGAGTAAATCCGACCCAAAGAAAAATTTTTAAAACCCGGCTCGAAACTCGACCTGACTCATGTCAATTCTCAGCCCTCCCCATTTGACCGTCAACGTTTAAATCGGGAGAAAAAAAGTTGGATCGAGCTTCGAATTGAGTTTTCGATTTTTCATCAAAACGGGGTTCCGGTAGGGAAGTCCTGGTATAGAGTAGCCAAATTTGAGTTAAAAATTAAAGAATACCCAAACTTGTGCCCATTCAATTTGATTGACATGTTGAAATTTTGCAACGAATTCAGGAATTGTAATTGGATCCTTTTTCAATTCTTCGATAATAGACTGAAAATTAAACAGAATTTAATAAACAAGGGAGTTCTTAAACTTCGACAGCTAATGAAATGGAGCACTATGATCAGTAATAAGAAATATATTCGTCTGGCTATTGGGTTCACGATGGACTGCCCTGATTTCTAAAAGTTACTGCATTTCAAGCTGTGCTTCTGAGAGAGAACTATCTGGCTTCGTTAAACAAAATTAAAAATCGCCACCAGGGCTGTCCGCAAATTGAAAAAATTTGCGGACTTTGGACCGCAAATTATCTAGACCGCAGTCCGCAAGTCCAAAAAACCACAATCCGCAATTGCGGACAGCACTGCTCCCTAGCCCTTCCACAACTAATTTAAAAAAACCTTTGCTTCCCAATCCCCACATCTTGCTGACAATCTATTTCCAAGCAATCTTTTGTAAACTGGTGGTTGCGGATAACCTGGTAATGGATTGACAATTTCTAGGCCACCACTAAAAAAAAATTAGAAAAAAAGTTTGTAAAAATTCTTTAAAAAATTCAAACCAAATTGTTTTATAACTAAAGGCTTGCTCTTTTCGCTTTTCTTTTACCATTAAAAATGTGAATAAATGTTGTCGTTGATTGAGCTATTAGATTGAAATAAATGTTAAAAATATATAAATATAGCTGAAAATAAAAACAAATTAGGTAGATTAGTTCACAGTGCGTGGTTCTCAAATAGAGATAGGCTCGGGGGATCACTCACGGAATTTGAAAAAAATTTCGTAAATTCTCGATGACGTCACTGGAAAATCAAGATCATTGAAAATAGTGTGATTAAAGAAGAGAGACGCCAGACATTTTGCTTTTTTACTTTATTAAAGCAGTTTCAGTGCCAGATTGAGTGCCTGGATGTTTGAGTGCCAAATTCCCTTGATAAATTAATGCGGTCCGGAAAAATTCCGGAGAACCCGGATTTGGGACGTGGACTCCTGAAAACCAAGCCGGAGGTCGGTCCGGCCCGGTCACTAAAAACTTAGTAATCATTATTCTCCCAATTTGATCCAGAAAGTTCGGAATCCATCCACAATTTGGGGGTATCCTACAGTACTGTCAGCTATTTCTTCATTTTTTTAAATTTATTGACAAAGTCATTATTCAATCCCCTTCTCTCGTGTCCAAATGTTTTTAGCACCATCTAAAAATGGGTACGGCCCAAGTAGGCGCACGGCCAAGTGGGCGCAAAGTCATAACTTGCTTCAAAATTTCCGAATCTTACCAAATTTAGTATTAAACGATTCCTCTCATCGAGCTAAAGAGAATGGTACCAAAATTGTTAAGGTCCATAAATTTTTCAGGTAGTTATGGCTTTGCGCCTACTTGGCCGCGCGCCTACTTGGGCGTGTCCCTCTAAAAATACGTCTTTCACATTAATTTTTGTTTTAAATGATAGGGAACGTCGAGAAATATTTTTAAAAAAATATTTTTATTCACTCTTATCGCTTTTTTACTCATTCGTAATTTTTATTAAAAAATATGTAGACGGGTAATAACTTTTTTTAATGTCATTTTAGTCATTTCCATTGATATTGAGTCAAACAAACAAGTAAATTTAGAATTCAAATTTTTTCAATTAAAATACAGTCTGGTCTCATTATAAATAAGATACCCCCAATATCTCTATTCAAAATACGATTTTTAATTTGGTTACCCTAAGGCAGAGCTAAATCGGAAATGACGAAGGTGCCGGAACTCGGAACTGTCGTCAATCGGAAATGACTCAAAAGTCGGAACTCGGAAATCAGCCTAAATTTTCAGAAATCGGAAGTCGGAAATCAGAAATCCGATTCACCTCCGCCCACAGGGCTTGGGAGCTGCCTAAGCGATACCTTCTATTTAATATTACAATCATTCCCCGATCATAGATACTCCACAATATTAGAGACCACTGGGACGGGGTCTAATTAAGCTTCGTTCTTCAAAATTTGGTTGGCCATAGTGGGAGCAACATTATAAGGTATTATTTTTAGCCCCAAGGGTGTATCCATAAGCAGGCTCGAAAGACCACTGGGTATAGGAAGCTGCCCAAGCCATACCTTCTATTTAAGCTACACCTCATTATAAGATACAATTTATTATTTTTCCCATCCTAAGAGGATATCTTATAGAAGGGCCGACTGTTATTAAAATAATTTTTTCCTTCCAAAATTTATAGATTGTTATTTTATTCTAAAATAGCATGTAAAGCATTTCCTTAAATTAGCTGTACTATTGCATAAATAAGCAGATGAGCGAGAGAGATAATATCTTGGGCTTTAGCTTATATTTCTTATTGCTATATTCCTTTCCCCAATAGAATAGCCATTTTAATTCTTAAATATTTTTAAATTTTTAAAATAAATAATTTTAATGATAAATTGTCTTTTTGTTTACGGGCACGTCGTCTTGGGGTAACGTTCTTTCGGATTTTTTGAAAAATACAAAAATGAACCGATATCCATAAAATTTGGTAGAGATGTGGCTAAGGATGTTACCCAGCTCCATTAAAAATTTCAGAATTTTCGGTTGAATATTTGGAAAGTTATGCCTGAAATAGTCAAGAACGCTGAATAGTTAAGAATGTTTTTCGCGACTTGAGTGATTTTAAAATTAATACACTTTGTTTTAAAACATGTTTTAGCATTTTTCTTTAGAACTTACTAAAACTTTAAACTTTACAAAACTTGTTTTTAAAACATTTTTAATGAGCTAACAGAAATGTTTCCTTTAAAACATGTTTTCGAAACTTAATGTTTACAAACAATTTTACAGACTAAAAACTTAGAAACTTGTTCATTTAGGTTTCAAAGACAAAAACAAACCTAAAACTTGAGCATGTTTTTAAAACATTTCAAGTTTATTTAAAACAAGTTTTCTCAACCTAAAGGTTAGCTTATTTTAAAAACATTTAAAACTTGTTTTAAACTTCTAAAACTTTAATAACCTTTTCTAACTTTGTTTTCTAAAACATGTTTTCCAAAACTTCTAACGCTTTGGTTCTGTTAAAAACTTTGTTAGAAACATGTTAGAAACATTGTTTAAATTAAAACTTAAAACATTGTTTATAAAATATTGTGTATTAAAACATTGTTTCTCCAACTCCTAAAACTTTGTTTATCCACCCACATCTCTGACCACATTAATCTTAATTTTCATCTTTTAACCAAAATAAATAAATATACAAATCAATCCTTAATTCCCACAAGTCATTCCCCTCCTCCCCTTCAACCATCCCCCTTATAGCCTATAACAATCCCCACAAAACAGCAGCTAGTCACACAAACAAAAAATTTTCTTTTTATTTTATTAGTCATCTTCACAACATTAAATGTCCCATAAAAATAACATTGCTTAGATTTTAAAAAAAAATGAACGGTTGTTGATGATTAACATATAAATATAAATTTTAAAATAAATTTTTTATGTTTTATCATTTGCTGTTTTCTGTTATTGCACTTTCTAACATTTAATATAGGAGAAACTTGTTTTTATTTAATTTTAAAATGTTTTTCTCAAATAAGTTTATTTTAAGTTTTATTTTGCTTTTAAAGTTTTATTTTTATAACAAGTTTTTGTTTTTGCAAAACTTGTTTTATTTTATCGTAAACATGTTTTAATTTCATAAAACATGTTTTGTTTTTGCTAAACTTGTTTTATTTTATCAAACACATGTTTTAATTTCATAAAACTTGTTTTGTCTTTGCAAAACTTGTTTTATTTTATTAAAAACATGTTTTATTTAATTTTTGCAAAACCTTGTTTTATTTTATCCAAAACATGCACGACATGTTTTATTTATCCAAAACATGTTTTGTTTTTGCCAAACAGGTTTATTTTACCAAGCATGTTTAATTTTCTGCCAAACATGTTTTATTCTTACAAAACATGTTTTAATTTCACAAACATGTTTTTGTTTTTGCTAAACTGTTCTATTTTTCCAAAACATGTTTAATTTCATAAAACATGTTTTGTTTTTGCAAAACTTGTTTTATTTATCCAAAACATGCACAATATGTTTTGTTTTTACAAAAAATGTTTTATTCTTTTTTCAATTTTCAAAACTTGTTTAATTTTCACAGAACATTCTATTTTTATAAAAACAAGTTTTGTTTCTAATAATGTTTTTACTTTTTTAAAACATGTTTATACATAATATTTAACATGTTTTAAGTTTGAATACAACATTCTTGTAATTTAAGTAATGTTTTGAATATACAAAACAAGTTTTAAATTTTTATTAATGTTTTAGAACCTTTGTGCAACAAGTTTTGATTTTCCTAAAAACATGTTTTTACAAATTAAAACAAAATATGTTTTGCAAAAACATTGTTTCTAACATATTTCTAAACAAAATCAACTCTCAAAACATTTTATATTTCTCCAACATTTTCCCGATTTCACAAACATTTTCCCGATTTTTTGCTATTTAAAATGCAGAACATTCCTTAAGCGTTCGCTTTCCTTTTTTCACATAAAATCAAAACGAGAGATAAGCAATTTTGTCGACTCATATTTATTCAATATAAACACAAATTTAAAAAAATTTATTTATTCACATTTTATTATCAATAAAATAATTTATTTCATTTTTTAAAAATAAAATTAAAGAAAAAATGAGTAGCAATGATGAAATTAAAGAAGATAAATATTTAAATAAACAACAAAATTTAGCTGATTATAATTCCTCTTCATTTTCCTTTGACGACGAAGAGGAGGAGAAATGTGCTAATTATGGTAAGAGCCACAATTTTGTTTCTGACGATGTTGTTCAAGAGGATGACTTGCCGGGGGATGTAAGTTGAAACTAGGGATTTTTTCACAAACATGTTCATTTAAATGTTTAATTTTAAATAAAACACAAAACTAAAACTTCAAACTTTACAAAACTTTTTTTAAAACATTACAAAATAAACAAGCTTCTTACATGTTTTTGAAACTTTAAATTTTGCAACCTTTTTACAACCTTTTACAACCTTTTACAACCTTTTTAAAAACTTAATCAGCCTTGTTTTAGAAACAAGTTTTCAAAACAAGTTTTAATGAATGTTTTATTCAGCTTGTTTTTAACATTATTTCAAAAACGTAACAAGTTACAACTTGTTTTAAACTTTTGTTTAGAAGACTTATAAAAACATCAAAAACATGTTTTTTTTCAAAACATTCAAAAACAAGTTTTTAAACATGTTTTTAAAAATTTTTAAAAGCTTGCCATCAAAAACTTTCAACATTTTTATTTAAATAGGTGAATGTTTCAGTAACTCCATATAGCCAACAAGAATTGCCTTATACTAATCAAGGTTTAATTAACAACTATTTATTTTAAATTTATTCATTTAATAGAAAATAACGTTTATACCTCAAAGCGTTTGTCGAGTGAATTTGACCAAGAGCTTGAACTCCTTGAAAATGAGGTTGAAAATGAAGCAAAGAGTTATGTTGAAAAGATGGAAAATGAGGAGAAGAATTATGCCACTGTTGAAAAGGCAGAAAACGAGGAAATTGAAAAGTATGAAGCAGAGAAGAAAATTGAAGAGGATCAAAAACATTCACCGCTACCACCTCAAACGCCCCCACCCGTTATCTCAACGCCAAAAGAAAACCAACAAAAAGTTTCTGAAACACCAACATTAAATAATTTGAAAATTGAGGATAGCCAAACAACAAAAACACCACAATTACAAACACAACAATCGACAGACGCGTGCGAACAAAAATTGTTTGAACAAATCAAATCGAAAAGTAAGCGAGAAATTGTTTTGTTCACAACAATTAAATCAAGTTTTAATTTACACAAAAACATTTACAAAAATATAAATAAAACATATACAATAAGCAACGAACAAGTTTTGTTTTACAAAAACATTTATAAAAACCAAACAGAAACATTCTATGAAAAGTAAAACAATTAAAAAATTTTAAATAAAGTTTTAAACAAACAAAGTTTTAAACAAAACAAAATTTTAAACAAAACATTGTTTATGGTGTTCAAACTTTGTTTATAAAAAAGTTGGAATAAAACATGTTTTTTTCATAAACATAAGTTATAAGAACAAGTTTAATTATTTTTTAGAAGCAAGTTTAATTATTTTCTATAAACAAGTTTAATTATTTTCTTATAAACAAGTTTATTTAATTTTGACGAACATTGTTACAAACATTTAAACTAAACATTTATACAAATGTTTGTTTCTGTAAATGTTGTTTTATAAATGTTTGTTTAGATGTTTTTATCAAACAAACATGTCTATTCACTATAAAAAAAGTAAAAATAATTAAGAGACTGTAGCCAATCTTGTCGCAAAGTTTAATGCAGTTGCCACGGCTTCTGATGAGAAAAGTGGAGGGCAAAATGGGGTTAATGCTAAACTTAAACAAGGTGTCCTATTTTCATTCGTTCTTTTGCCTCATTAAAACATTTAATTTAAATTTAATAGATATCTCTGGAGCTTCGATCAAAATTAATGAGCTTCGTCAACGTTTCAACGATGATAAATGAATTAATAAAATCAAAATGAGAGTATTTTTGATATGGTGATATACTATATATTTATGTGCAAAAAACATTGCAAATCTTAATTTTTTAATTAATCAGCATTTTTTTATAAAAATAAATTTTTTTCTGATTTCTTATTATTAAAGAATTTATTAACAGAATTAATTAAATGAACATGTAAAAACATTAAAGATGCAAAAACATATAAAAACATCAAAACATTTTAAACAAAAAATACAGAACATTAATTCAATTGTTTTCTTCTTCCAAACTTACAACTTTAATTGATGTCGGGACTCCGCCTCCTTCTTGTTTTATTTGTTTTTCGATGTTCATCTCCCCAATTGTTGTGTTTACATAATATGAGGGGTAATAATGTTGTTGTTGTTCTTGTTTGAATTTTATATCATTAAAATTAAACTCATTTAGTTGTTGTTGAGTTTGTTCGAATAAATTAGCAACTTGTTGCTGAAAAACAAATAATTTTAAAACTTGTTTTAATAAACTTGTTTAAGTAAACTTGTTTAGGATAAACTTGATTTAAATAAACTTGTTCAAATAAACTTGTTTTCGATAAACTTGTTTTATCTAAAACTTGTTTAAATAAACTTGTTTTAAATAAACATGTTTCGATAAACTTGATTCAAATGAACTTGTTTTAGTTTAGTTTAAATGTTTTTTAAATTAACTTGTTATATTTAAATCATATGTAAATTAAAGTACTTACTGCTTTCTTTTCTCTTTTGCTCAGAGTTCCATTTCTAGGCTTTCGTTTTCTAAATTCAAGAAAAATTTAAATTTATTTTTTAAAAATTATCTTTTAATAAATGAATTGTTAAAATTAAAAATATTATTTTTTGCCTTGTTTGGACAGTTTGTTTCTTCATAGTTAGAGGTCGGGCTATGTGATGCAATTTATAATAGAGGCCACAAGCACTACAAAATTAATTAAAAAATTTTTCCAAAAAAATTTAAAATATCGGAAATACTTGCAGACAGGTTCCCCATTATGATTTCTTCTCCAAAGCGTAGTAATCGTAGTATTACAATTACTACAAATTAAATTCTGCCGTTTTTGTGTAGGCATGGGTGGAGGGCAATTCTTTAAAATTTATTATATTTCAAATTAAAATTATTTTAAATTACCAAAGCACTTGAATCTGAACTGGATTCATCCATAACTGATATATCATCCATTTTTTCTGGTTTTGGTAAAGTTTTTGTTGGACCTAGTGAAAATTAAGTTAATTATTCTGATTATATTTTGATTTGTAATTTTATTAGGTTTTGTAATTTATTCTGATTTGATTTTTATTAAATTATTTTATTCTGTAATTTATTCTGATTTCTAAATTCTGATTTTATTATGTCTAATAATTTGTTCTGATTTTATTCTGACTTTGTTCTGATTTGTAATTTTATTAAATTTTGTAATTTATTCTGATTTTATTATTTTTCGTATTTGTTCTGTTTCATTCTGACTCTGTTCTGATGTGTAATTTATTCTAAATTTATTCTGATATTTAATTTGTTCTGATTTTATTATGTCTCATAATTTGTTCTGATCTTATTCTGATTTTATTCTGATTTGTAAATTCTGGTCTTATTCTGAATTTAATCAAAATTTCCTTACCTCCTTTCAACACATTTCTTTTCCCACTATTCGGCTTTCTTCCCCTAACTTTAGGTAGGGTAGGAAAATTCCCTGAATTTAGAGGAGATAATTGAGTTGCAGTAGGTTGTTGGTGTTGTTGAGGTTGTGGAAGCAAAAACTCAGAACAAAATTGTTGTTGTTGTAGTGGTTGTGGGGGTTGCTTAAAAAATAAAAAAATTTTTTTAATAAAAAAAAGCAAAATTACCATCATTCCTCCAATATTTTGTTGAATGCTGTTGTGTAACAAAGCCTCACCGGATGTGGTAATAAATGACGCGGAAGGGCATGGTCCGAGATCCATAATATAAGGGCAGGACTAAAAATAAAATTTATAACGTCTTAAAAATAGGAAAAAATTTTTAAATTTGAATAGAATTTATAGTCTGATTTGTAATTCACCTGCTGTTGTTGAGCATGTAGTAATGCGGCAGGCTGTGCACAATTATCGCATATAGAGTAACTAAACGTGTTGATTTAATTGGAATAGGATTAGAATAAAATTAGAAAATAATATCAAAACAATGCCAGAATAAAATCAGAAAAAAATCAGAACAAATCAGAAAAAAATAAAAAAAATAAAAAAAAAAATCAGAACAAATCAGAAATAATCAGAAAAATAAAAAAAAACAAAAAAATCAGAACAAATCAGAAAAAAATAAAAAAAAATCAGAACAAATCAGAAATAATCAGAAAAATAAAAAAAACAAAAAAATCAGAACAAATCAGAAAAATCAGAAAAATCAGGACAGAATCAGAAAAAATCAGAACAAATCAGAAAAATCAAAACAAATCAGAAAAAATCAGAACAAATCAGAAAAATCAGGACAGAATCAGAAAAAATAAGAAAATCAGAACAAAATCAGAATTTTTAAAAATATTTTAATTTTAATACCCAAAAGCATCCTTCCCCAAGTGATCAAACAATCTCCCACAGGAAGCACATTCATGATCAGTCAATTGTTGTTGAAGTAACAATCCAGAACTGTTTGAATTACCAACTAATACCATAGACATATCAGGGGGATATTGAATGGGTATTAATTGTGAACTCGAAACAGAGGATCCATCATCCTGTTGAGAGACAAACAGTTGAGGCTCTACCATTAAGGGAGGAACAGTAACAGAAGACCATCTTTTAAGAAAATTTTAAGATCTAAATTCCTTTCTAGACTCACTCATTATTACACCAACCAAGAGAGTCAACCGGATAGTAAAAAGCCGTTGATTGTTCTGGGCTGCCATAAGCAGTAAGTGGATTAATATAAGCACTATTATTTTGAGAAATAAAAGAATGATCAGTGTTTGCGCTTATTGGGATATTTAGAGAAGTAGAATCACCATAGCAGAGTGATGGAGTACCCATAATTTTTTAAGCAATCGGAGTTGAAAAGGTGAGCAGATGATGGAGTAATATAAATAATATCAGAATTTGTAAGATAGCTACCTAATTCTTTATCAGAATATAAATTGTTAAAATCCTAAAGGTAAAATGGTTTATTATAAGCTCTAAATATATAAAACGGTTACAGAATTACAATTTGTAAATAAATATCTTAATTATTAAACTTTTAATTATCTTAATTATTACAATTGTTAATTACAATTTGTAAAAAAAGTTTTATTTTAATGGGTATTATTTGTAATTGTTTATTTTATAACTACAATTTGTAAAAAAGTTTTATTTCAGAATTACAATTTGTAATTAAGTTTTATTTCAGAATTACAATTTGTAATTAAGTTTTATTTCAGAATTACAATTTGTAATTAAGTTTTATTTCTGAATCACAATTTGTAAAAAGAGGTTTTGTAAAAAATTACAATTTGTAATTAAGTTTTATTTTAGAATTACAATATGTAAAAAAATTTTATTTTAGAATTACAATTTGTATAAAAGTTTTATTTCAGAATTACAATTTGTAATTAAGTTTTATTTCGGAATTACAATTTGTAATTAAGTTTCTATTTCTGAATTACAATTTGTAAAAATTTCACAATCAGAATTTTTTAAATTACAATTTATAAGAAATTTTTGTTTACAATTTGCAATTATAATCTTAAAAGCTCTCTAATTTAATAATCAGAATTTTTAATTTTAAAATTCTATTTCAGAATTAAATTATCAAATCAATATTTTAATTAACTCTTAAGGCAATCAAAGCTTATCTTATTAATTGTTATTATTCCGAATCATTATCAGTACTATATATAAATTAAAATTTAATCAAAAAATAAATATTTAAAATAAAAATAAGATAATATTTTATTTCCGAGTGCACAAAAATTATTTTTTTTTGGTTTTATCTAATCTAGAAACAGGGCACTCACTGATTATAAATAGGCGGAGGGTGTGAAGACTGGACTCGGATAAAATAGGAAAGGTTTTTCATAAATTATTATCAGTCACACATTTTTATTTTATAAATTTTCTTAAAATAATTTTTACATATTTATTTTAAAATTATTTTTTAATATTTCTTAAGGTTATTTAAAATTCATATGAAAATTTTTTTATTTTAGGAAATGATAAGACCAGAATATTAGTTTTAAGGAAAAAATAAAATCAGAATTTATTAAAAATAAAAATTCTGATTTTTAAAATAAAAATCAGAATTTTATTAAAATATCAGAATTCTGATTTTTTAAATAAAAATCAGAATTTTCCTATAAAAAATCAGAATTTCCGTATAAAAAATCAGAATTTTAATCATTACAATTTGTAATTTAGCCCATTCATTAAATCAGAACAATTGAGCAATTTTTCGATTTAATAATAAAATAAACAAGTTAACAAATAATAAACGACTACTACTTTTTAGCTAATAAATGATCAAATAAATTTATTACTAACTCCTTAAACCACATTCTAGTGACAATCCTTATATTTCTCCATCGTCCCAATTTACAAACATTAACTTTTTATTTTTTCATTACCTATTAACAGTAAGCGAAGAAGAAAGTTTGCGCTCGACAAACTCCACCTCCATAAATACACGCACTGATTGGCTAATTATTTTTGAATTTTTTACTTTTTTTTTGTCACAAGCAATAAAATTTTATAAAATTTTAATTATTCTTCTACGTTTACTTATTAGCTTTTTTAATTATTAATCATTTTATACTTCCGAATTACAATTTGTGATCTTGTTTTATTTCTAAGTGCAATTTGTAATTTAGTTTCATAGCAGAAATACAATTTTTAAATCGTTTATTTCAGAACTGCAATTTGTAAATTAATTTTAATATCAGAATTACAATTTGTAAATTATGTTCTATTTCAGAATTACAATCGGTAATCAAGTTAAATTTCAGAATTACAATTTGTAATTTAATTTTTGTTTCAGAATCACAATTTGTAAATTAAGTTAAATTTCAGAATTACAAATTGTAGATTAAGTTTTAATTTAGAATTACAATTTGTAATTTGTGTTTAATATCAGAATTACAATTTATAAATAAATTTTTATTTCAGAATCACAATTTGTAAATTAAGTTTCTCGAATTACAAATTGTAAATTAGGTTTTAATTTAGAATTACAATTTGTGATTTGTTTTATTCTCAAACTACAATTTATGATTAAAGTTTTATTTTAATTACAATTTGTAAAAATTCTAAATTAAAACTTAATTTACAATTTGTAATTCTGAAATAAATCAAATTACAAATTGTAATTCTGATAAAATTTAACATTATAATCAACTTTACAATTTGTAGTTTAAGTTTTATTTCAGAAATACAATTTGTAAAAAAGTTTTATATAATAATTATAATTTGTAATTTTGTCCCTACAATTTGTAAATTAAGTTTTATTTCAAAAATACAATGTAATTAAGTTTAAATTTAAATTACAATTTGTAATTAGGTTCAAACCTACAAATTGTATATTTTTATCTAAAAATTACAATTTGTAATTAAGTTCTACTGTACCTACATGACAAATAGGAGCATAAATTTATGAATAAATTATAATTTGGCCCTCAATTTCACTCATTTCTGAGAATAATTATTACATAGTACATAGTTTATAGTTTATTATTTTAATACATAAAAGAATCGTATGAAAAGTAAAATCACTGATAAGGCAAAATATTTTTCTCCTTTCAAAAAATTATTTTTGTATCCCTCCCCGACAGCATCTAACAACTACTATATAGCTTTATTTTTATTTGTTTTATATATTAAAGTCTAAAAAAGAAAAAAAGAGTGATTTTAGGTAAGGGAGAAACCATCAACATTATTATTATGAGACTAAAGAAAAAAATTAAGCAATGGGGTGATGACCCAAAAAAATAAAAAAAAATTTTGGTTGATAAGGAAATACATGAAAATAAATGGAAATTTTTTTTGTTTATTTTTACTAAAATTAATTAAAAAAATAAAAAAATATACAAAAATAAGTTTCGGCAAATTTTCAACATCTGACACTTTATTTACCTCAGAAATAAATAAAAGGATTATTTAAATAAATTTATTTTCTCTTTGAAATCACCGACATGCCACTGACTTTATTTATTAAAAATAAATACTATATACCCTACCAGTCATTTTTTGATCAAATTCGGAAAGGGACAATTCCGAGCTTTTTGTTTTTTGGAATAAGGCAAGTTGGTTAAAATAGGCGGTAAATAATAAAGAGAAATACTATAATAAGGTTACAATTTTTGTTTAATATTAATTTTGATATGAGAAATCAGAAGAAAAGGAAATAGTGTTTATGCTATTCCGGAAGTTGAAGAATTCCGGAATATTAAATTTGCATTTGTAAAAAATGTATTGGTTGTAAAGGATTCCAGAAAATATACAATAGTATTCTGCTGATTCCGGAAGTTAAAAAGAAATCAGAATTTGTATTTGTAAAAACAGAATTTGTATTTTTTAAATCAGAATTTGTACTTTTAGAGTCAGAATTTATATTTTTAAAATCAGAATTTTTATTTGTAAAATCAGAATTTGTAATTGCAAAATCAGAATTTTTATTTGTAAAATCAGAATTTGTATTTTTAAAACCAGAATTTGTATTTTTGAAATCAGAATTTGTATTTTTAGAATAAAATTTGCACTTTTAAACCCAGAATTTATATTTGAAAAAATCAGAATTTGTACTTCTAAAATCAGAATTTGTATAAGTAAAATCGGAATTTATATTTGAGAAATCAGAATTTGTATTTTTAAAATCAGAATTTTTACCTTTAGAATCAGAATTTATATTTGTAAAAATTATCCGAATGTATTACAAACCCGGTCAGAATTCCGGAAACCTATTTCACATACAAATATGCAAAATCAGAATTTTACAATTATAAATAATTTACAATTCATCTGCTAGTGATAGTCTCAATTATTTATACAATTAAAAACAAATTGATAAAACAAATGTAAAAATTATTGCAAATATGTAATAAATACTAATAAAAATTGTTTGTTATATTAAAGTTGTATTTTTAGTCATCAGTTACGATTTAGAAAAATTTCTGCTTCATATCCACATTGAATAATGCCTAGTTAAGTCATTTAAAGGTTTTGGAAGCTCTGGACCATAAACTGAAAATTTTGTTTTTATTTTTGCTTTTTAGCTGAAAATTTTTCTTATATGTATTTACAAGAATTACAGTAGAAAATTAAGATACGACTTTAAATTTTGAATAGCCATTGAACGGATGAGGTAACTAATGCGTTGTTATAAAATCACACTTTGCGACAGAATCTCGAGACGGCTACAGGCGCTAGTGGGTTCACATAAATGAAAATTGCAAAGCGAAAAATCTTTTGCTTAATGTGAAGGTAGCTTAAGCGATACGCCAAAAGACACGAGTTTCGGCCCGAAGGTTCAATGAACACTCTTAACATAGTAATCACCTTGTCGTTTTCTTCTCTTCCCAGAAATATTATTAGAAGCCGCAGAACCTTCAGCTCCGTCTTCATTTTGCTGTTCGCTTGGTTCGACTGAGAGAACTCGTGAAACATCTTTCACTGTTGCGTAGGCAAGCATATACCTATGGGAATATAATTGAAGAATTTAATAAAAATTTTTAATTAAATAAACACACTTTCCACCCAATTCAACTTTGCACACGAGATCGCCGGCAAAATGAATCTAAAAAATTATTAAAATAAAAATATAGTTGGAGCTCACTATAAGACACACCCAATAGAGGATGTACCTCAGTTTAAGATGATTTTTTAAAATTTTATTGGCTACTGGTAGAGATCGAGCTCCTAAGGCGTTACCTTCTATTCAAGGTAACCTCATTACAACAGTAACTCGATATAACTTTCATAAGGTTGTCGGTTCCTGGAAATTCTTCGGATATCCAAAACAGAACCGAAGAATCGAACCGAAAAATCCTTGGTTCTTCTGTCCGGGTCGGTCCAGAACTGACAACCCTAACTTTCTATATTAGATACACCTCTATTAAAGGCATGTTTTTAAGTTAGGGTGGACACTGCATGAGGAAGATACAAGCGTTACCTTCTAGTTAAGATACACTTAATTATAGGTCCTAAGGGATGTCTTATAGTAAGGTCCGCCTTTATGCATTAAATTAATTATATTTTAAGTTTTATCTAAACATACTTTTTGTGCAAAATCGTCAAAAGCAGCAACGGTCTCGAAAGACATGTTAAACCTTTTTTTAATTAAAATTTTTATTTGGATTTTTAAAGTATTAATGGATAACAAGAAAGTTGGAAAAATCAGGGAAAATTCAGAAATAAATCAGAAAAAATCAGAAATCAGAGGAAAATTCAAGGAAAAAATAGAAACTCAGAAAAATCAGAATGATCAGAAAAACCCAAAAAAAATCAGAAAAAATCTCTTTTCCCCTCACCTCGTCTCGGCCCTAATCTGCAGGTGCTGTGCAATAGCATTAATATTGCCTTAAATTATTAAATTTCTAGGTAATCCAAAAATAAAAAAAACATGTATGAAATCTCGGTTTGCTCTCTAACATTGTGTAAGTCTCCACAATTAGGTCGTTGAGTTCTTTTAAATTATTAAAAAATTTATTTTTAAATTTAAATTATACTTGGATTGCAACAGGGGTAACCCGTAGGGTTGTGAAAACACGTAGGCAACGGAAGTGGAATTCTGGGAGGATAATAGTAGCGATGAGCCTTTTAATTTAGGTTTGGCTTAAAATGTTTAAAATCTAGTCGAACCTCGCTATAAGATACTCTCAATACAGGATACCCCTCTATTTAAGCTACGTTTTTAAAAATTAAATAGACCATTGAGTAAGGAAACCTGACTAAGCGATTCCCTTTTTTAAGATAAACCTCCAAAGCTCCCCTCTATTTAATGACTTGCATGCCATTCATGATAAACCTCATAATCTCTCCTCTATTTAAGATAGAGTTGTCCTGCATATAAGATAACCTCCTAAGCCATCCTCTATTTAAAAGTCTCCTAAGCTCACCTCTATTTAAGATAAACCTCCTATGTCCCCCTCTATCTAGGATACACTTACCATCTATTTAAGATACTCCTCCAAACCTCCACTCTATTTAAGATAGAGTTGCCCTTCATACAAGACAACCTCCTAAGCTCCCCTCTATTTAAGATACACACCCTATACTTCACTATATTTAAAAACTCCTGCCTCCTATACAGGATACATCTCTTAAGCTACCCTCTATTTAAGCTACATTTCATTATAAGACACAATCATCCTCAAGGAGGTATCTTATAATGAGATTCGACTGCATGAAATTATCTTCTATAATAAGTTTATTCTGTTAATTACGTTAGTTCCAGGCGGTAAAGGAACGCTGCTAACAAAAGGTTTGTGCTGAAAAGGTTAATAAAGCAGGTGCAGGTTAACAAAAAAAATAAAAGTGCAAGATACCCCTTTCTGTCCTAGGCTAATCATTGTTGGCAAATTTGAACCCCTCGTCGATCCACTGAGTACTCCAACACCCTGAGGCGCTTCTCCACCTCCAGCGCCACCCCCATGTTCTCCTTCACCTCCAAAAACTTTTGTTGCGGCATGTGGGACTTGTACATATTGCTGTTGTTGTTGCTGCTGATGGTGGACATAATCAGCCCCTCCTTGAGTGGAAGCGGGCACGAAAAATTGGGAATGACCTCCTGGCCTTAGATGAGGTGGACCTCCTCCATGAAATTGCTGAGTTGGATGTATAGAAGGTTGATGGAGTGGGGCAGAGGAATATTCATGATCTGCTTGTTGGATCCGATGGCCGTGGACACGGCTTTGATGATTTTTTTCTAATTAAGTGCTTTTTAAATTTTATTTTTAGTATAGTAATACAGTCGAACCTCACTATAAGCTACAACAATGGGGCTAAAAAATTTGACTTATAACGAGGTATCTTAGATAGAGGGTATCACTTAGGCAGCTCTATTGGAGAGGGGAAGGGGAAAGCCCTAGTATTAGAGAGGGGATTGGAAAGGGAATGCCTCCCCTAGTATTGGAGAGGAGGAAGGGGAATGCCTTCTATTAGAGAGGGGATTGGAGAGTGAATGCCTCCCTAGTATTGGAGAGGGGAAAGGGGAATGCCCTTGTATTGGAGAGTGGATTGGAGAGGGAATGCCTCCCCTAGTATTGGAGAGGGGGAAGAGGAATGCCACTAGTGAGGTGACCGTCTAGTATTGAGGTTATCTTATAGTGAGGTCCGACTGTACTCAAATGTGAATTAATTGTGTGACTATAGTGCGTTAATTTTAAAATTAAAAACCATTATTATCTATCCTCCTTGGTGCAATATCCACATTAACACGATGTGAAGGTGAACGTGCTTTTACCCTTACTGGAGGCACAGGTCCTTTTGTACGTTGTGCCAGTGAGTCAACGATAGCAGCTTCGCGCAGGCAGCGAAGCAGTGCTTGTGATTGCCTTGGCTGTGGTGCTGTGCGTTTAATGCGTTTTGTGCGGTGTGCAAAATTCTGTCATTGCTTTGAACATTCAAAAAATAAATTTTAAACCCACAGATAATTGTGGAGGAGGAGGAGTTTCGTTATTTTCATATCCGGAAGGTGTAGCAGCATTGTCTGGTGATAAAGGCGCTACAGGTGTAGCTATACTCTGATAATCCTCCTCTGTAGCAGAAAGTGTAGCATGCTGCTGTTGTTGTCCAAGTCGGGCATAAATCTAGGAACAAAAATAAAAAGTCCTCTCTATAAGAAAAAAATACCCCTCTATACATCAACTTAAGATAGTAGGCTACTGGGTGAGGGAGACTGCCTAAGCGATATCGCCATGTAATGTACACTTCTATCCCTCGATTCAAGATAGTAGGCTACAAGACGAGGGGGGCTGCTAAACTCTACCTCCATGTGATCTAACTAACTCAATCTCTAGTTCATTTAAAGTAGAAACTTTAACATTGGGGGTTGCCCAAGAGATACCTCCCATTTAACATACAGCTCATTATAAGCAACGTTTTTCCTCTCTATAACCAATATATTTATTTTTAAAATTTGCCATACATTAGGTAGAAGGGTCAGTCCTAAAGATAATCTCTATTTAAATAACACCCATTGTAAAGGACGATTTTTATAGCCCTAAATCCTGAACCGGTATCTTTGGACGAGGTACAACTTTAATAATTAAAAGTCATACCTCAGTCGATTGTTGTTGCTCTACTTGGTAGTTAGCAGGAGGTGTTGAAGATGGTGGATAAGCTTCTTGTGCTTGTTGGTGTTGGGAAAAGGCAGAGGGAATAGAGGAGTGAATTGGTGCCACAATACTTTGTTGTTGGGTTTGTTGTTCCCCCAAAACGTTTTGAACATTGTTGGGTGGTTGCTAAATTCATTTTTAGGGGTATACTTTGTAACAGGGATGTGCCGTTCACTTTCGCATTTCACCAAATTTTTCGCATTTATTGGTGGGTTTCTTTCGTCCTTCGCTTTTTAATTAGGATTGGGGGCTCGGTCGGTCCGGTCCAATAAGAATGAAGCCCAAAAAAGACCCGGACCGGCCTCGATAAAAATGAGGCACTCAACAAATGACTCGAAAACCCCAACCCTATTTTTAATTTAACTTTCGTATTTCGTCTCTCACCGAGAAGGCGAAATTCGCTTGTAAAAGAAAGACAGAAAAACGCCAAAAAAGGCTAAACTTCGCCGAAAGTCGCAAGTGACCATCACAGCCCTGCATTGTATTGAGTCTATTACCCTTCCAGTAGCATCATTTCCTGTATTTATTGAAGGCAGTGGACCCAACAGCCCCCCAACATTTTCGACCTGTACATCCCTTTGATGTTGCAACTGCTGCCGAACAGCCGCCGCGTTCGCTTCGAGACGCTTACGACGAAGAATGGACGGGTCCACAAAGGAGGCGGAAGGTAAAGTTAGTGGGTAATGAGCTTTAAGGATGGCTGTCTCTGTTGAGGCTGTAAATAATTTAAAAAATTACAAAATTAAATTTTGGAAAAATTTTTTCAAAATTTCTCACTTCATTAAAATTAATTAGAAAAAATATTTTATTAATAATATAGAAAATTAGAAAAATTATTTTGAATGGTCAACTAAAAATGATAAACTGTCTCCGATAAATATTGATTAGAGGGATTAATAATTGACTTATTATCCGATTAATAATTAATTTAGTTGAGAATTACCTGGAGTAATCTGGAGAAGGATATTTGTAATTATCAGTAAAATTGTACAGGAATCAAGTTTAAGGCAACGCAAAATGGCCATAATAAGTGGAGTTGATATGAAATTTTATTTATTTTTGGGGAATTAAATTGGTGTATTTTTAAACTATTTTTAATTGAAAAAAATTATTTTTTAAGCGTATAAAATAAATTCTGAAAATCCGGTATTAAATCTACTTAAGGTAAAGGAAAATGAAAAGCTGTGTGAGTAAAGATATCCCACAGAGTATATTTAATATTAAATCCCAGTCATGAATGTAAATCAGAATTAATTATGTCTTTTTATTAATTTTACAAATCAGAATATTTTTTGCAATTTCACAAATCAGAAATTTAAAATCAGAATAAAAAATAGAATTTTTAAAAACCAGAAACATTTTCAGAGTTAGAAATAGTAATTATAAACTAGAAAAATCAAAATTATGTATAAATCAGAATTTATTAAGGTTTACAAATCAGAATTTTTACTAAACAGATTTAAAATCAGAAATTTTACAAAACAGAATTATTTCAAGTTCTAAAAAATCAGAATTTAAAGCAACACAGAATTTCTACAAATCAGAATTTTTAAATCAAATTATGTACTTTCAATTTTTACAACTCAGAACTTATTAGCTTTTATAAACCAGAATTATTTCAAGTTTTAAAAAATTAGAATTCTAAGCTCATAAACAGAATTAGTTTCAAGTTTTTAAAATCAGAATTAAAAATAAAACAGAAATTTTACAAATCAGAATCTTATAATCAAATTATTTTCAGATTTTTACAAACCTAACTTGTTATATACATAGCTTATTTTTACATAAGCTAAATCAGAATTTTAAAAACCAGAAATCAGAATTTAAATCAGAATTTTATAAATCAGAATTTTATAAATCAGAATTTTATAAATCAGAAATTTTATAAACCAGAATTATTTCAAGTTTTAAAAAATCAGAATTATTTTTCAATTTTAAAAAATCAGAATTTTCAATATTTTTAACAAATCAGAATATAATTACAACTTAAAACAATTAATTGACAATAAAAATCAGAATAACCAGAAATTACAAAATAAAACTTTTTAGTACACTAAAAATCACAATTTAATTAAAAAGCAATAAATAAATAAATATTTGCTTCCAACTTTATTAAGCAATAAAAGGATTGAAGCATAATTTCTCTCTTTAATTATATTTCCCCTAATTATTTCCCCATGCATAAAATATATTTTTTTATCTCATAAAAAAGTAGTTAAATTAGCTTTAGAGGGATATTTATAGAGTAAATTAGCGTAAATAAATAAATTTTTTTTTATTTTTTATTAATCTATGCGCATTTTTTTTTTGTTCCAAGCCGTCGATTAAATAGTAAATAAAGATGGGCGCCTGCACCTGCGCGTGCAGCGATTTTTTCAAAACGTCTCGATTCTAAAGCTATTAGCATCAAAAAAATTTTTTTGTAATTTTTTAAGACGAGAAAATTATTTTTTTAAATATTTTTTAAAATTAAATTAATTTATTTTATTTAAAAAAGTTGAAGGGTATACCTCCTTTCAGTTTGGGGGCAGTTCAGCCGCGCGCCCTATAACTCTTAAAGGTGCTGATATTTTCTAATGATCTTGGTACCATTGGATAGAGAATTAAATACCCTACAAGTTGTTAAAATATCAGAATTTTCAAGTGATTGATAAAAAAGTTATGGTTAGAAAAGTATGGGGGATTTTGGTATACCCTCACTGACTAACGATTTCAGCAGAATCCAACACCCATATCTCAAGAAGGGAAGGCCACTTTTTAATATTCTTGGTACCATTGGATAGAGCACTAAACATTCTACAACATAACAAAAATCAGAAGTTTTGACCCATTGATAAAAAAGTTATGATCGATAAAGTGCCAAAAAATCAAATTTTTTTGAAAAAGTGTTGGTTTTTGCATCACAACTTTTTTATCAATCAGTCAAAAATTTTGATTTTTTGGTATTTTGTAGAGGTTTTGATTCTCTATCGAATGATACCAGGAACATGAAAAAGTGACACTTTCTTGATGAGTTATAGGGTCCAGACTGAGCTGAGGTCGACTGAACTAAGGTGCTCCGATAGCTGTAGGTCGGGGGCTTCTCAAAAATCCAAAATTTTTTGACAATATCAAACGTTTAAAATTATCGTTTTCAGCAATCTGCCAGTCCGAAAAATTGTTGAAAATATTTTTAGAAAATTTTTTGTCTCATGAGAGAGGCAAATCCTGCAAAAATTCTGGATCAGCTCCCATAATCTGTTAAAATTTGTTTTATTTTTTAAAATAAAATTCATTAACCTTTGCAATATAAAATGAGTGTAATGTGAAGACTAAAGCTAAAGGTTCATCACATTCTATATCCTTTGAAAATTAAATTTTAAATTTTATAATAGTCGACACATTTATAAGGTACCGCTAGATTAGAGATCGAGCTGGGCCTGGACCAAGACCTGGGTTTTGCCTACCCAGAGTTTAGGCCCAAGCATTTTTTGACCTTCCTGGGTTTTTTGGGCTTGGATTTTTCCTGAACTACATGCCTAGGATTTTTCCTCCCCAGGTCCATAAATCAAACCCAGAGCCCATTAATAGGTTCAGGCTTTTCAAAAATCTCGGGCTATACTAGATACATTTAAGTTATTTTCTTAAGCACAAGAATTGGGATTCAATACAGGATAAATACCATATACCCTTAATTGCCCTCTAATTAAGATGCATTTATAAAAATTTAGTCGGAGATTGGGTCAGGGGAGAATAAATACCCTCTATTCAGAACAAAAACCCAGAAATTTTTAAGCCGGTATGTCCACGCCCTTTTGGTTGTGTCCAGATTATATGTAGGATACGAATTTTCAACCCCAAGGGGTGTCTTTAAGCATATAGGAGTGCCTATACCCTACAAAATTTTTTTTCAAAAAATTTACTTTAACATCCAACTGTCTAACATCAATAGCTTGAGCAACCGCATCATTTCTAAAAATAAATTGGACCCTCATTTTTCCATCGTCTGAGGAGGATTCCAACTCAGAAAAGCCATATTGCCATATATAACTCTTTGAGGAAATGTCATAAAGAGAAAATCCGAGTCGGGTGTCGATAACTAAACCTGCCGGTCGTCCATCGTAACTACAGGCAAATGTTCGTGTCTGTTGGAAATTAATATTTTTATTCGTATTTGAAATTAGTTAAATGATATTATTAAGGAAGGATATTCTGTGGAGGAAGATTCCGAGAGGGATTTTAGGGATATCCGGATATCCTGATATATCAGGATATCCCATTAGTCCGTTAAACCAGGCATCACTCAAAATCCACTGAAGTCTCCCTAATTTCTCCAATCCATTTTTTCTAATCAAAGGATGTAGGGGCTCCGGAGTTAGCTTATAGTGAAGGAAATAAGCGGCATTATTATATAGCAACATTCTTAGTTAGAAGTTTGGGATAAGTAAGAGTTTGAGTAGTAATCTTATATCATCCTCCAAGAGGGCACTATTAAAAAAGGGGTGATTAATTAACGATATTATCCCCCTTAACGATATTAAGGGAGGATATTTTAGAGGAATATCCCGATATTGGATGGATCTTGGGATGTCCGGATATCCTGATATGACCCAAAATCCACCTGCATAGTATTCACTGATTTGTACAAACACCCATAAAAAGCTATTTCAAAACGATGTAGTTGCTCTCTTGATTGGAATGAACAATAATGCTCTTGACCTTTATACAAAATTTTTTGGGAAAATTTCAAATTTAAAAACCATGTACTGTACTTAAGGCGAATACATGTTCACGACGATCTATGCGTTTTATAGCTGTTCTAAGTGCTGTCTCGTATATTTTGTGCATGCAAACACACTTGTCTAGCTCGTCTGCGTTTAGCTTAAATAGAGACTCTCGTTATAAGCACAGGAGGGTATACTGTATATTTTTGAATGGAGTGACCCTATCAGTTGAATGCCCCTTCTGACTCTAAGAGAATGGCCCTCTCCTTCTAATAAAAGACCCCTCTAAAATGATGATTGAAATATAAGGAACTAGCGTTCAATTAGAGTGAATACGTATCTACGCACTTTTTTAGCCGGAACCAGAACTTGGGTCGGAACGGGAATTGGTTAAAGATGGCATCTTTAAGGGTTTAGTAGATCCCAGGTTTAACTAGAACTAAAGGGCGGCAACAGGACTAAAAAATTCCGGAAGTGCGTCCAACGACCTTCAGAACCCTAGGCCCATAACGGCTATCCGGTCTTATTCCCCCTTGAATGGCTCTAATACTGGGAGTTTCTAAATTATAAAAATTCACAGGGGGCGTTTCAAATAGGCAAACATCAGCTCCTTTAAAAATCAAAAAGCGTTGTGCCCATTGTTGTCTGGGGTCTGTGGATACAGGAAAATTATTGTAATAATTATTATTTGCGTTGTTTGGGGAGAATGTATCTGTTGGACGTCTACGCTCTTCAAGCCAGCCGATAAAGGCGATCTGAGGGAGAGGCAGTTAAAAAAATTTTTTTTAGAATTTTACACAGTCGGACCTCACTATAAGATATCCTCTTGGAGCTAAAAATTGAACCTTATAACCTCCGACAGTGGGAAGGACCGGGGATCGCTTGGGTAGGAGTGTGCACGGGTCAGTAGGAGGGATCGGGGAGCACTTAAGCAGTCCCGGGGAGTTCTTGCCAAATATTGGGTAGAGAGATTGCCTAGCAGTAGAGGAGGGGACGTTTACTAATTAGAGTACTGGCGACAGTCACCAGTGAGTAACTAGAAAGGGGAGGGGGAAGACTTTCATAAGAGACGGGAGGAAGAATGTCACAGGGGAGAAGAGGGCAGTCTTCAATGTGGGAGTGTTTAGTATTTGGAGTATTCTAAGTGAGGTACGACTATTTTAAGTCTAAATTACCCTATCAGATGCATGTAAATATTTATTACTCATTCTAATAGTTTTCCGATTTAAAGCATTTATATGAGAGTCAATATGTTGAACCCATTGCTTTAAAATTTAATTTTAAATTTAAATAATTTTAAAGTCCCAACTTCAAGAGCTTTGCGATCTTCACAATGAATAATGCCTGAAGAACGGCCATCTACTGAACGGACTTCAAAGGCGTTGCTTCTTGAAAAATTCAATTTTTAAATTAAATTTAATCCACGGGAGTAACCCAACCCCCAACCATGAGGGAGTTGAGGAGTACGAGAGGGAACAACCGACGAGGGAGTACAACCCTGCCATCCCGACCCACGATTGATCTTGTTCTCCCAGCGTAACTTTGCCCACGAGCGAACGTTCGGCCGATGAACCTCCTCAACGAATCTAGGTTCAGGAAGGGTTGGGCCGTTCGAATGAGAGAGATGAAAGAGAGAATAGAGACCTCATTTTTCATTCGGATGAGAGACCCCAACCCTCCAATCCGTTCAACGACAGATTTATCCCATTCCAAGTATCTCAGTATGCTTTTGAATCATTTAACTTCATACCTAAGCTTATCAGTTGCCCATAAATACCTACTAACAAAAGCTAGAGGTAAAGGTATTTTACAAATCGTTTTCCATTTTTCTCCTCCATTTCCAACAACATCATCTTCACTTTCAAAAACTAAATTGTTTTGTGGCTCTTCTATAATTATTGTTTTTTCTTCGAGTTTTGGAGATTGTTGGTATAACATTGGGGTTTTTAAAGCGCTCTTAATAAGAATCATGTGTTAACGAGTAAAATGATATTACGTACACTCTAGGAGGTTGTACCTTGTCTCCGAACGCCGAGGAATTTAGCTTCTTCGATCCTAGCCGATTCCAATCCTATCAGATTCCCAACCCAAAAAACGCCGAGAATTCCCGATTTTATTGAATTAGGGTGGTAGATCACTGTCTGTATAAAGGCTAAATTCGAAACACTCGGATGCTCTCTAAGAACATACTCTCACCTTCCCAATGGATCTAGGTTCACGAAGAGTGGGCCTTTGAAACCATCATGAAGGTCTTAAGATGATCTCAAGTCACGTATTTATCTCAATGTCCTGTCTTTAATTTGTATATGGACCCTGTTAGATCAAAGCCTAGTTATCACTACTATCGAAGATGACAAGCGTTACACAGGTGTACGTAATATAGAGGTACTTCTCTTTAATAGACTTTCTTCTCAAATCCCTACCTTAAAAACAGTAACATGGTCAGAAACAGGAGAAGTTTCTGCAGTGTTACGCAAAAGAGGAGAAGCGGAACTGTCACGTTTTAGAGTTAACGTAACGTGTGGACCAGTAGAATCTTTTAGAAGCTGGACAACCTCTGAAAATATTTTTTCAATTTAAAAAATTTCCAAAGAACCCTCATGCGTTTTTCCCTCCAAAGACATTCCATTAACCTCAACAATCAAATCACCAACAAATACTTGATTAGTTTTGGCTGCTGAGAGGCCGGGAAGGACCTATTATTTTTAATTAGAGTTTACTGGAATCTCTTCCTTATAAACCTCGAGAGAAAATTTAAAGGTCTCTCTAACTAAGGAAATTATTTCCCTCCAAAACATCGGTCACTCTAACACTTTTTCAATTAGTTTAGTTAATAGGTGTTAAGAAACGATCCGATTCGAAGAACCGAGGGGTTTTGCTTTAGATATCCGAAGGTTGAAACTGTGACCGTAAGAATTCTGGGACTGTCTCTCATCGGTTATTCGGAGATTCTCTCCATTAGCTTAGTTAACTAGAGTTATTATTGTCATTTTTACATCGGGAACAAGGAAACCAAACAGATTGTGTGGATAGCCATGTTTCCCTGAATCGGCTCCTGGAAAGGGAACAGCGCTTGGATTTCCAGGACTGTTAGGTACCCTGACTACCTAACCGTTCGATTTATAGGAGCCGGGAAAGGGATTGTTTATGCCTCAAACATATGCGGACACTTTAAAAAGCTGAACAAATTACCTTAGAAATCACTATCGGCACTCGATGTGTCCCTTCACTTCCTCCCTAAACAACACAAAATATTAAAATATATTTTTTCAATTTCCAACTTTAATAGAAAGTCCAAGTCCCTCAGGTCCTTTAGGCACATTTACTGTTCTAAGCGTTACTTGCTGTTCACTATTTAAATCTACAACGCTTAATTTTGCTGCTGGTGAACGTCCAATCCCTTGATGCTGTTGAGCATCTGCAAATTCTTTTGCAGACTCGTCATTAACGGGTAATTGGACGTTGAGTTGGTCTGAAATATTTTGGAGGAATTTATAAAATTATTTACTCTCTTCTCTAAAAGTGAGAGACTTTATCTCATGAAATAAGAGACCACTTCGCTCAAGAGGTAGAAGACCCTCTCAAGAGGCAAGGGACCTCTCCTCTAAAGTGTTATAAGACAACCCCTTTTTTGAGATGAGAGTCCTCTTATCTCAAAAGAAAGATACGAGGAGATAGATGAGAGATGGTGTGAGATGAGAGAGGTGAGAGAAAGACGGTAAGAGCTGAGAGAGAGACGGTGAGAGAGACTGTGAGAGATGAGAGAGAGAACGTTGAGAGATCTTTCTAAGTAGGAGACCCGTTTTTCAAGAGGCGAGAGTCATTGCTCTCAGGAGGTGAGAGACCTATCTTTTAATGAGTTGATAGACCTTTTTTCAAAGGGTGAGAGACGTCTCCCTTCATAGTGCTAAACGAAAGATACCTTTAGTTAACAATAAACGTGCAATGCGTTCACGCCCAACGATGGAGCCAAAAGAGGTTGTTGTTGGTTTTTGTTGCTGCCAGAGTACCAAACCGCTATGGACCTATGTTATGTTATGATACATTTAAAATATTTTTAAAAAATACAGCAAAGCTCATTATAAGGTACCTTTTTGGAGCTTAAAGTAGGACCTTAGAATGTGTGTCTTAAATATAAGGTTATCACTTAGTAAGCTCCCCATCCAATGGCCATCCAAATTCAAAGTAACATATCATAGGAGGTGTATATCTGGTATATGGTTTAAATCTAGACCAGTCTTTTGTAAGTAGTGGAATCTTATAATGAGGTGTATCATTAATGGAAGTCCAAGCAGCTTCCTTTATTCAATGGTCACTAGAGATCGAGCTGGGCCTAGATCAAGGCCTGGGTTTTTTATGTACCCAGAGTCCAGGCGCAGTCATTTTTTGACCTTCCTGGCTATTTCCTGGGCCTGGGTTTTACCTGGACTACAGGCCCAGGATCAGGCCCAGGTCAATAAATCAAATCCGGAACCCAGGAAAAGGCCCAGGCTTTTCAAAAATCTCGATCTCTAATGGTCACCCAAATGCTTAAAATCCCAGGTGTATCTAATATTAAAGGTATCTTATAACGAGGTCCCAGTTCTATCTAAAAATACATACAACATCCAGATTTCGATCAATTCCCCTTTGCTTCCTCATGGCGTTTAAATTTTAAATTGAAATTAGTAAAGCTAGATCAATGTCTTTGAGAGGACAGATATTAGGGAATATCCTCTTCAAAGATTTTTGGGGTATAAAATATTTTAGTAAATAACTTGTCGATAAAGTAGATCAAGCCAGCAAGGAGAATATAAACAACAGCTCAACAGCTGACGTTTATAAAAATATTAAAGTAATAAACTTAAAGTAAAAAGCGGATTAACTCTCAAAAAGAGTTTTAATATTCTGCATAATATAAATAATTTAATCAAGCTTTGGATTAATAATTACAAATGATTAAGATTTTCGGCTCTAGAATAGATTATTAGTATTGGAGCCAAAAGTCATTTTTCGCGATTTCTCGGGCTTTCGAGTCAGTGGAAAATGTCCAGTTGGCTGTCTATCAGGGGTAGAGCTCGTGCCACAAAATACGAGACACGAGATTCACAAGATACGAGATTCTCAAAAAATACGAGAATGAAATAAAACGATACGAGATCTCTCGAAAAATATGAGATTTCATGAGATACGAAACGAGCTTCACCCCTGCTGTCTACTTGTCCACAAACACAGCATCTTAACCTGTTACTTTTCTCCGTTTCAGTGGCACTGAAATAAATAAAAATACTGTATCTTTTTCTTTTCCCCACTATTTCTTTCGCGTGCTATTTTCTAAAGATTTGGGGGCTGCAATTTCGAGAAGCTTAATCTCGAAAGAACTCCTTTTAAAAAAATTTTTGTCCAATCCAAATCATGAAACAAAGTCTTATTTTTGTTTTAAAACCAAAATTATTGATTTTTACCATGTTTAAAAAAAGTTAACCATGGGTTTGTAACTAAATTTAGAAAATGGAAAATAATAGGAAAAAATTATTTTGAAAAAATTTATTTTAGTTTAAAATGACATTAGATGTTATTAGAAAAGATATTATTAGGATTTCCTTATTATATAATTCATTTTCACTGGAAGGGTTCGAACCTCGCCCATATTTCGCTTTAAAGCGGGCGCACTAACCAACTAAGCCACATTCCCGCACTGAAAGGCGAGTAACAGCCTCTGCCTATTTTAAGATGCTGTGCACAAAGAGAATCCGCTCATTACTTTCCTTATCAAACCGGGTCATTTGACACTTTTTAGGTCTAAATTCCATTAAAAAACTGTTTCGACCTTGCGCTGCAGGGAGTAATTAAGCGAGGGAGGGTAATTATACGATGTGTGAAATTGGAACGTGTTTTAGGGCATTTGTTGTGGGTAATTATTCTATCGCTGGATGGGGTAATTAATGGAAGTGGGGTAATTATTTGAGTGAGGGCAATTAATACAGGTTATACAGTATTTAAAAATGTCCTTATTTATTCAAAATTTTAAAATATCTTTTATCAATTTTAAAATATTTTATAATTTATAAAATAAAAAAATTAAATATATCAACACATATTTTTTGGATTTATTTAATTCAATTTTCTTTTTATCCTAATAAATTCTGTTCCGTTGATTTTCTTCAATCCCTCAACCTAAATATTTTTAATATTAAACTTCACTATAAAATACTCATTGGACGGAAAGTTTTTATCTTATACTGAGCTATCTCTTAAATAGAGGGTTCGCTTATGTAGGATAGGGCTGTGCGTCATGCCGATTTTTGGAGTTTTGCATTTGGCGTCCTGGTAGCACATTGGTAGAGCTCATATAAGTGGTGAGCTAAAACGCTTATGTTAGCCAAACGCAGGTTCGAATCCTTCCCGATGGCTAAACTTTTGCTTAGTTCTTTATCTTAGGCAGTTACTCCCCTCCAGTGGCCATCAATTCTAAAAACTTTAATAGAGGTTATCTACTAGAGATGTGCGAGACCGAAATTTTTCCAAGACTCAAAACCCAAGACAAAAATTTTTCCAAGATCAAGACTCAAGACCAAGACCTAAACTCCAAGACTCAAGACCAAAAATCAAGACCAAATTTTTAAATCCTATAGGTCAAATTTTTGGTTTATTTTTTGTTATTTTGATATGATCACAGTAATTCAGCCCAATCACCTATAATTTCAAAAAATCTATGCGAAATTCAAAGAATTTCGGGGAATTTATCCGGGTGGAAAATCAATGAGATATATTATTTCAGAGGATTTGGGTGGATTAAGGGGATATTAGTGATATCAAAGGGTAAAGCCAAAATTTTGGCGACACCCAACGTTAGCCCTCCTCGAAATCGACCCCCTGGCTACGCCCTTGGATTAAGGAGGATATTGATGTTTAAAGGGGAATTTAAGTGGATTAAAAGGGATCAAAAGGAATATTATGAAGTTGGGGGACCTGGGTGATTGAGTGATGCTGGCTGCTGATATTCATCCTCTATTTTATCCATATTTTTTTGCGCCGTAGGCGAAAATTTTGGGAATTACGAAGTCCAAGAAGCCAAAAATCTTTCTTTTCCTGCGCCGCAGGCAAAAATTTTGAGAATTTTGGATGGCCGTAGGCAAAAAATTCACTTTTTCAGCGCCGCAGGCGAAAATTTTTCGAATTTTGGAGTTCAAGAAGCCAGATTTCTTCCCTTTTCTGCGCCGCAGGCGAAAATTTTGAGGATTTTGGATGGCCAAGCACTAGGTCCAATAAGGCCAAAAAACCAAGAGTAAAAAATAAAACCAAGACAAGACCAAGACAAACACCCCAAGACCAAGACCAAGACCGAAAAAAAACCAAGAAAAGTCTTGGTTCCAAGACCAAGAGTCTCGCACATCTCTATTATCTACTATTGGTTACTTACTATTAAAAAACTAAGATAATCCGCCCAATTCCGATACCGGCAAACTATACTAGAGACCCGACTGGGAGTGTCATACAAGAGTCGTTCGAGATATCTCGATGAAATTAAGTATTCAATAAGAGGTAGATTTGACATTCCGTTAGAAAACTGGCATATATTTTAGTAATCTTTTCTTACCTTAATATACTCAATCAAATCATAACTATATTCATTTGAACAAGAATATACTATTGTGTCCTGTATAGTATGCTCTTCTGTTTCAACAATTGGTTTAATTTTATTGTAGCTCTGGCAATTAATGCTAATCCGAATTCTTTCTCCGCCGTTTAGATTGACAGAATTACTTGCATGATTCTTATTGCCCTGATCCTTTTGACTTTCGTTACCATCCTATATTTAATTTAGTTATGTATTAGGGCTGTGCGCCATTGCTTCTGGCGTTTGGCCTCCATTTTTCGCCGATTTTGGCGTTTGGCGATTGCGAGTTTTAAGAATTTGAAAAATTAGCGTTTGGCGCACCACGCAAAAATTTTGGCGCACAGCCATGTTATGTATGCTATAAATAGGGTTTCCAAAAAATGCAATGGATACACACCAGGGCTGGGCGTAATGAAAAAATAAAAAGCGAAATGCGAAACTTTTCGCGCCAAAAAATGCGAGAATGCGAAAGATGCGAAACGCGAAAGTGCGAAATAAGCCCAGCCCTGATACACACCCAGATACCACAATGCCAAGATATCACGGAGCTATAATATCGTTCAAAGCTATCAAATGGCAGATGGAATACGGTACGGCAAAATTCTGAATTTTATCGGTATTTATACGTTACAAAATTCCAATCTCTAGTAAATTTTAAAATTTTCCACACATATGTACATATTTTTGGAAACCCCAGTTATAGATTTTAAAATAAAATACTACTAACCACCCACGCACTGCTCCATGAATAATTACTAGTCATATATAAAATGTAGATGATTTCTCCATCTAAAAAACATAAATTTTAGGATTAAAATAGGCTTAATACAAACATTCCTTGCTGTTTTCCAAAGCCCTGTGCATTAGATTAACCATAATACTTCCATTGAATGGATTTGGAACTTGTCCTTTAATTATAATTTGATCACCTTCTACTAGCCCCTTGTCTGTTTTAGCTATATTTGACGGCAATACATATTCTTTAACTTTTAGGCACTTTTTATCGTTAACTTCCAAAAATTTAACGTCCTGTAAATAGCCAGTGACCTGCAAATTAAGGCCATCTATATTGCTGGGTATGACTTAGGAAGATAGATCCGGCTCCTCAGTTAAAATTTTAAATCCCGGAGCCATGAGCCGGAGCCAACAAATGCCCAATACTCAGCACTGGTCATCGTAAGAAGGAAAGTCTTGAGAGGGGAGTCAAACCAGGCTAAAACTAGAGTTCAGCGGGATCGGGATCCCGGTCGGGATCGGGCGGGATTATCCCGGGTTTTTCGAATCCCGATCCCGATTTTTCTGATCCCGGTCCCGAAATAAATATCCCGATCCCGATCCCGGCCAATCTCAATCCCGAGCCGGGATCCGGGATCGGGATCGGGATGTGCATCAGATCCCGATGCAAATCCCGACTTTATAAATTGACTAGAAGCCTGTGAAATGAAGTTAACAAAAGAGGGGAGGCATGAAAGTAAGAAAAATTTTCGCCTGCGGCGCAGAAAATGAAAGAAATTTTGCATCTTGACATCCAAAATTCTCAAAATTTTCGCCTGCGGCGCCACAAAAATGAACAAAGCTGTTTTTACAGCTTTAACGAAATACTGATGATTTGGTGTGATATCGAGGGATCAAGTGCGGTTGAGAGGAGTATCGGTAGATTTGGAGTATAGAAGGATATAGATTTTACTAAATGAATACATCAATTAATCCCTCAGTCTCAATTCTTAATCGTCCACATTTGAAAGTAACCAACTTAATCGTATAGACTTGAACGCTTAGATTGAATGCCCTTGGCCTTCCAAAATTAAAATTATTGCCTGCGGCGCTTAAAAGAGAGGAAATCTGGCAAATTTAAAAAAAAAATCTTCCAAATTTTTAAAAATTTTTGCCTACGGCGCTTAAAATAAAAGAAGCCCAATCCCATTTATTCCCGCCATTACCTTATGTCCCCTAAATCCCCTGAACCTGAAAGTAAATTGTGCGTCTATGAGACTTAAACTCAATATTTTAGTACTGCAGTGGCAATTTTAGAATTATACTGAGTT